CAAAGAGTGAGTTCTTATCCCAGAAGCTGGGGTCTTTGGGTTTATCAAATAATAGATTACTATAGTCATTGATTACTGTGTCTTGCATACTTAACCTATTCAACTGATCCACCACTCTATTTCTTAACCAGTACTAAGCAGTTTTGATGACTGCTGCTTTATAATATAATTTAAGATCTGGAATGGCTAGGCCACCTTCCCCTGAATTTCTTTCCATTAGTTCTCTTGATATTCTGGACCTTTTGTTATTCCAAATGAATCTTGTTATTTTTTCTAACTCTGTAAAATAATTTTTTGGTAGTTTGGTATGGCACTGAATAAGTAAATTAGCTTAGGTAGAATTGTCATTTTTATTATATTAGCTCAGCCTACCCATGAGCAGCTAATGTTTTTCTAATTATTTAGATCTGACTGTATTTGTGTGAAAAGTGTTTTGTAATTGTGTTCATATAGTTCCTAGGTTTGTTTCAGTAGGTAGACTCCTCAATATTTTATAATGTCTACAGCAACTTTAAATGGAATTTCTCTTTCTATCTCTTGCTGTTGGGCTTTGTTGGTAATATATAGAAATGATGATCATCATTTATGTGGTTTATTTTATAGCCTGTAACTTTGCTAAAGTTGTTTATTATTTCAAGTAGTTTTTTACTTGATTCTCTAGAATTCTCTAAGTATATCATCATGTCATCTGCAAAGAGTGATAGCTTTGTTTCTTCTTTGCCTATCCTTATATCTTCAATTTCTTTTTCTTCTCTTATTGCTAAAGCTAATGTTTCCAGTATGATATTGAATGACACTGGTGATAATGGACATCCATGTTTCACCCCTGATCTTATTGGAAAAGCTTCTAGCTTGTCCCCATTACATATAATGCTTGCTGCAGGTTTTAGGTTGATGCTGTTTATTATTTTAAGGAAGACTCCATTTATTCCTATGCTTTTTAGTGTTTTTAATGGGAATGGGTGTTGCATTTTGTCAAAAGCTTTTTCTGCATCTATTGAGATGATCATGTGGTTTCTGTTAGTTTCGGTGTTGATATGATTAATTATGCTGATAGTTTTCCTAATATTGAACCAGCCCTGCATTCCTGGTATGAATCCTACCTGGTCATAGTGTATTGTTTATGTGATGAGTTACTGTAATCTATTTGCTAATATTTTATTTAAAATTTTTGCATCTATATTCATTAGATAAATTAGTCTAAAATTTTCTTTCTCTGTTTTGACTCTTCTTGGTTTAGGTATCAGCACCATATTTGTACCATAAAAAGAATTTGGTAAGACTCTTTCTTTACCTATTTTCCCAAATAGTCTATATAGTATTGGAATTAATTGTTCTTTAAATGTTTGATAGAATTTGTTTGTAAATCTACCTAGCCCTGGAGATTTTTTCCTGAGGAGTTCATCAATGGCTTGTTCAATTTCTTTTTCTGAGATGGGGTTAAGTATTTTACTTCCTCTTCTGTTAATCTGGGCAATTTATATTTTTGTAAATATTTATCCATTTCACTAAAATTGTCAAATTTATTGGCATACAGTTGAGCAAAATAATTCCTGATTATTGTTTTAATTTCCTCTCCCTTGGTGATGGATTCACCCTTTTCATTTTTGATACTGGTAATTTGATTTTCTTCTTTCTTTTTTTAATTAAAGTGACCAAAAGTGTATCTATTTTTTTTTCATAAAACCAGTTCTTAGTTTTATTTATTAGTTCTATTTATTAGTTCAATAGTTTTCTTAATTTCTCCTTTGGTTTTCAGTATTTCTAATTTGGTGTTCAACTGAGGATTTTTAATTTGTTCTTTTTCTAGTTTTTTCCAGTTGTATGCCCAATTCATTCATCTCCTCTTTTTCTATTTTATTCGTGTAAGCATTTAGAGATATAAAACTTCCCCTAAGAACTGCTTTCCTGAAACCCAAGTGGTGGAGCAGGCAAACACCAACACCAGGACCCCTGAGTGCCTCAGTGAGGGTGGGGAAACTGGTGGAAACCAGTTTGGAAAACCACCAGGTGCCTTGGCATTCTGAGTCTCCCAGTGCCTCAGCAAAACTGTGGGAAGCAGTGTTCCAAAGGGCCCCAGGCAGATAAACATCCTGCAACATTCATCTCAAAGGAGCTGAAGAAAGCAAAAGGAAGTAAAGGCCTGGGTGAGGAGCCACACTACCCAATCTTACCCCTAGAGTTCTAGTGTTGCTGATTCCAGCCCAACACCAGGTAAGCTGCAAGAACCCTACAGCCTCCAACTGCCAGCATTGGAGGCCCCAGAACACAAAGCCAGTCACCAGGCTCTAGGGTCCCAACACAAGAAGCTCGGGTCAATGCCCCTTGCTCCCCAGCAGGACAACTCAATCTCTTTAAAGGCCAGGAGATAAACAAACATCATGAGAAAAAGAAACGTACATTAGATTCTTACTATGGGAACAGTGAAGATTAAGGCAAAAGAGGACAACATTGTCAACAAACCCACATCTGAAACCTCAAAAGGGAATATGAACTTGTCTGAAGCCCAAAAAGCCTTCTTAGAAGAGCTCAAGAAGGATTTTAAAAGTCAAATGAGAGAGGTAGAGGGAAAAATGGGAAAAGAAATAAGAAGTATGCAAGAGAGAGTCAATAGCTTGGAAAAGAGGGTCTAATTTCTACCCACCTGAAGTACTGCAAATATAGCCATTCTCTCCCCATTCTATTCTAGGGTTCAGACCACCATCAAAGTAGTCTTTCTTACCCAGAGATCTGGTCATGTCACTCCACAACTCAAAAGTCTTCAGTAGCTTACTAACCAACTACAACTTGATATTTTCTTTCTTTCATTGCAGTTACGTCTGACTTTTTGTGACCCCATTTGATGTTTTCTTGGCAGAGATACTAGAACAGTTTGCCATTTCTTTCTCCAGCCCATTTGACAGATGAAGAAACTGAGGTAACCTGGGTTAAATTACTTGCCCAGGGTCACACAGCTAGTAAGTGTCTGAGACTGGATTTGAACTCAGGTCTTCCTGATTCCAGGCCACTACACCACCTAGCTGCACCGCACTACGAAGTAAAACTCAAACTCCACTGCGTGGTATTCAAGGCCCTCTATAATGTCAAATTAGCTTTATCTTACATTTTTACTTCTTTCACCTACTGAGAAACTCAATTATTTACTCTCTATCCTCTCAGCATATCCTACGTTTCACCGCCTCCATGCCTTTGTTCATGCTATTCTCTGTGTCTGGAATACCCCTTTTCACCTACTGACTTCCCACCAATCCTTTAAAGCCCACCTTAAATTCTAACTCCGCCAGGGAATCTTCCCTGATTTTCCTAGTCAGCTAAATCAATTCAGCAAATATTTACCAAGCAGCTGCAATGAGCCAGGTACTGTGCTGGGTGCTGGGAATACCAGAATCAAAATGGAACAATCCCTGTGCTCCAGCACCTGACACAATGCCTGGCCCCTACAAGGTATTTAAGAGATACATCCTTGCTTGCTTGCTCAAGGAGTCTGCATTCTAGCAGTCAACCAATAAATCAATCAATCAGTAAATGTTTATTAAGTGCCTACTATGTGCCAGGCACTGTGTTCAACACCTGAAGGTGTAAATACAAAAAAGATAGCTGGGCCCTCAAGTAGCTCCCAGTCCAACGTGGGAAGGACAACACACAAAGGGAAGCTAAAGTGCTGGAGGAGGGGGGAGGCGACAGGGAAGGTACCTGATGAGGGCAGGAAATTCAGAGAAGCCCTACAGATGTTCTGAGCTGAGCTTCCTCCTCACATGGAGGGTTTGGGCTTCATGGCCCCACCCTCCAATCAGAGGGCCTCAGGGTGGGGAAGAGGTAAAGTACCAAGCTTGGCAGGGTTCTATTGGAGGCATCCATACACAAAAAAATAAATGCAGGGTAATTTGGGGAGGGAAAGAGCATCCAATGGAAAGTTTCATGGAGAAGATGAAACCTAAATTGAGCCTTAAAGGAAGATAAAGATTCCAAAAGGCAGAGATGAGGAGGGAATAATGATAATAGCTAGCATCATATAGTGCTTTAAGAGTTATAAAGCATGGGGGCAGCTAGGTGGTGCAGTGGATAAAGCACAGGCCTAGAAGTCAGGAGGACCTGAGTTCAACTCCAGCCTCAGCTCAAACACTTGACACTTGTTAGCTATGTGACCCTGGTGAAGTCACTTAACCCCAATTGCCTAAAAATAAAAGAAAATTTTAAAAACAGATTTGCAAAGCATTATACAAATATTATCTCCTTTGAACCTCACAATAACCCTACAAGGTAGATATTTAAGTTATTACCCCCATTATACAAATGAGGAAACTGAGGCAATCAGCTGTTAAGCTGGTAAGATTATGTGACTGGATTTGAACTCAGATTTTCCTGACTCCAGGCTCAACCCTCCATTCACTGTGTCATCTACCTGCCCTAGCTTTTGGATTGTGACTCTGCCAATCCAGTTTTTAACTATCCCTTCTGGCTTTTTGCCACTTGAAAATTGTATAAGCATCCATCTGTGCCTTTATCCAAGTCACTGATAAAAATATTAAATTACCCAGGACCAGGCATAGATCCGTAAGGTTCTCCTGCTGTCACATTGGCATTAATCCACTAATAACTACTCTACGAGTCTGGCCAACCAGCAAGTTCTAAATCCATCTGATTATATAATTGTTTATATCTCTCTATCCTTTCCTCAAAAACAGCATGAAAAAAATAGCACAAGATACTCTCTCAAAAGGTTTGCTAAAATCCCAATAAAGTATATCCACAGCATTCCCCTAGTTCAGTAATTGTCTCAGAGAAGGACAGGAGGTTAGTCAAGCATGAATTGTTTGATAAAACTGTTCTAGCTCTCGGTAACCACTGCTTCTCTTTTCAGAGGTTTGCCGGCCATTGATTTAATGATCAGTTCTAGAGTGTCCTAGGAATTGAAGTCAAATTAAAAACAAAATGAACTGTAAAAATGAAAAAAAAAATAATTGAAGTCAAGCTCACTGACCTGATTCTGTTTTCTTTGCTTTTTGAAAAATCAGGACAATATTTGCCTTTCTCCATTCTTCTTGACTTGAATTCATCAAGGGTAGCTAGGAATTCTTTTACTTTCAGTGTATAGGTCATCTTCCTTGGAAGAGAAAACAGAAACAAAGTATTGAGTAGCTCTGCTGCCTCTCTGTTGTCAGTTATTATCATCCCATCCACCCTAAGCAAAGGTTCCATACCATCTTCTTTTCCCATTTTCTCCCAATATAGCTAAAACAAACAATGAATCCCCCTTTTTGTTGTCCTTAGCTTCCCTTACCAGTCTCAGTTCAGTCTGCGCTTTAGCATTCCTGATAAGAATTTTACAAGATCATTTTCATTCTCTTTTGTCATCTTCTATTACCTGACCTTTCTTCCATCTTTTAAAAATCTAGGTTGTTTGGTGAATTCCCCCTCCATCCATGTTGATCTCTTCAGACACATCCCATTTTTTTTTCCGTATTCGAATTGTTTCCCATGTGTAAGAGTTTCATTTGAGCATCTCCTACCTCACCTGGGCTGACTTCCTCTGAAACATTTTACCACATTGGATCCTACCTTAGAATCTTAGGAAAGACAGAGACAAGCTAGAATGTTTCCAGAAGAAGTTGACTAGGATAGTGAGAGGACTGGGAAACTTCCAAATCATACTTGATTCTTTCTTATCCTTCACCTCCTATATTCAAGCATTTGCAAATTCCTATTTTTTTAAACCTCTAAAACATCTTTCACACCCAACTTCTGGTATCTAGTTGCACCTTCTACTTCAGGACCTGGAGCATTATAATAAACTTTCAGGTGGTGTCTCTACCCTAAATCTCTCTTATCTTCAATATATCTTACATATAATTACCAAAATTACCTTTGCAGAGGTCTGACTGAATTACTCTCCAGCTCAAAAATTTTGAGTCATATCCTACTGCCTAAAGCATAAAACTAAAACTCCATAGTTTAATTAGTATTTAAGGTATTCTAAAATCTAGTTCCAACCTACCTTTCTAGTATGATCTCTAAGGAAGCTGGGTTTCACAGTGGATAGAGTGCCAGACCTAGGGTCAAGAAGACATATCTTTGTGAGTTCAAATCTAGCTGCAGACATTTATTAGCTACGTGACCCTGGGCAAATCACTTAACCCTATTTGCTTCAGTTTCCTCATCTGTAAAATGAGCTGGAGAAGGAAATGGTAAACCACTCTGATATCTTTGCCAAGAAAACCCCAAATGGGGCCATGCAGAGTCGGACAGGACTGAGCAGTAACAACAATTTCATCTTCTGCTACTCGTAGAATTCACCGAATCTCACAGCTGGGAGTGAGCTACACCTGAACAGTAATTCCCTCTCTAAATGAAACCCTGTCTTTTCCCTAGTGATAGGGAACCCTATACTATTCAAGGCAACTCAATTCACTCTTAAAGAGCTCAAAAAAAATTTTTTTTAAAGAAAATGTCTTCTATCAAGACAGAATCTACCTCTTCCACTTCCAACCGTGGCTTTGCCCCAAGGACCAAACAGAACTAGAATCCCTCTTTTGCACCACAGCCTTCAGCTACTTGAAGACAGATATTATGTCTGTAATAAGTCTTTCTTTATCCAGGCTAAATATCCCCAGCTCCTTGAACTTATTATCATACAAGATAATCTCCAGGTCCACTGACATACTGGTTATTTTATGCTGGGAACATTCTGGCTTATCAATATCCTTTTTGAAATGTGACACCCTGAAGAGAACATTGTATCTCAAATGTGGTTTGACCCCAGGGCTCAAGAGTATTCCCTCCTCATTCTGGGCTCTAAGCCTCTCTTAATAAAGCCCGAGGTCGTGTTATCTTCTTGCCCCATATCTTTTACACATAAACTTCTGTCTAGCCATACTTATCCCTTATTATACCTTATAAAGGTCATTTTTTGAGCCCATATAAAATTTTTACATTTGTCCTTAAATTTCATCTTATTAGATTTGGCTTAGAAAAGAATCTCAAGCCTTTTGTTATTAAAAAAAAAGTGACAGAATGTTAATTACTGATAACTTAAAAGCCTACTTTCTCATCTCCACAAACTTTTTCTGAGTATAATCTATACACATATCTAGAGTATTCTTGATGAAGTTATAAGCAGGGAACAAGCTAGGTTTTGCAAACAATAGCTGGCTACATCTTTATATTCACACAATTGACTGAAAGGTTTAGAGAAGAAAGGATCCCACTGTGTTCGACTATAAAAAAGCATTTGATCTGGCAGAGCAAAATGTTGCTTTAAAGACTTTTTTTTCCAACACTGTCTCTCATGATTTTGTCAAAGTTGTGTAAGATCCCCTGAGAGCTGAGATAAATTTGAGTAGTTACCATTTGATTATTATAAATCAAGGTACAGAACGGAGATGTACATTTGCTAAAGGTGTCTAGTGCAGAGTCCAAATGGAAGAATTCCTCATTGCCATAAACCCTCCAAATGCTCTCGTTAGCAAATGATAATAAGCGTTGTAACAGGCAAAGCCTCGTAAATGAGAACTATAATCAAAGGAGTTTGACCTAACTATCCACACTAGAAGGAAATGAACTAAGCTTATTGTCCCAACTGTGATATTCACTTAGATGGACAACCTGTAGAGTTGATCAATCAGAACATATAACTTGGATAGATGCTATGTATGGACAATGCTTTAGGTCCAGAATTGAACAGAAGAAAACTGGCTTGAATTGCCGTTGGGAAATTACACAGTGCTTTAAATTGCCCTAAGCTTCTCTATAAATTAGAGGTCCATTTTTTTTTAACACCAATAATGTTCAAGCAATGCTGCAGGGCTCCAAGTTACAGGATATCATAGTCTCCAAAGGGTTAAGTTACAGGTCACTCAAAGGGAATGAAGAGGTACATGGTAGAAGGCAGGGTGATGACATCACCAAAAGATGGTGATCAAAGCCTTGAAATAGGTTCCTATTTCTGTGGATTGAAACATATTACTAGTCAAGAATTGTGCAAGAGAAGCAATGTAAAGGATATCATAAAAGTAATGGATAGCCAGAAAAGAAGGTGGGCTAATCATGTGGCAACGGTAAGAGGTAAATAGTTGATAGCCTGTGCGTTCTATGGGTATCTGTTCAATGTCAGAACAAGAGCAATCCCCCTAGCACACTGAGTATCCTTATAGGGGATTTAAAGGGCCTGGACAAAAGACACAAAGGACGACAAGGAATGGATGGATTAAGATCTATATCACTGAGGGGCAGATAGAGCACTGGTCCTGGGATCTGGAGGACCTGAGTTCAAATTCACCCTCAGACACTTAACGGTTAACTAGTTGTGTGACCCTGGGCAAGTCACTTAACCCTGATTGCCTCACCAAAAAACAAACAAAAATCTATATCACTGAAATAAGTATCCACATTAATGAGGTTCCAGATCTATCAAAGAATTGAAGATCTGGCTCAGAGTTCTAATCTATTGAGGTCTCCTTAGAACTTGACTGTCATTGGGAGTATTAGTTATTCCCTCTAACTTTGTGGCATCTGTAAATTCCATTTCTGCCTTCATCCACGTTATTTATAGAAGTGTTAAACACCATTGAATCAAGTACAGATCTTTGGGGTACTCCACTAATGACCTTCCCAACTGACATAGGATCATTAATGATTACTTTTTGGGTACATCCATCTAGCCAATGCTTAATCCACTATTTTTTACTCCTCCTCTCCCTATTTTTTTTCCGCAAGAAAGTACAAACAACATTATTCTGATGCTTTGATAAAAATCTAGGTAAATTATAGTGACATTTCTCCAAACTACTAGTTTAATTATCCTATCAGAAAAGAAAATGGGATTAGTTTGACACAATTTGTTTGTGATTAAGTTATGCTGGCTAATTGTGATTTTTAAATGTTCACTAACCTTCTCATTAATAATTTTTTTTGTTCAGTCATTCAGTCATGTCTGACTCTTCATGACTCCATGGATCATAGCCTGCCAAGCCCTTCTATTCTCCTGAAGTCTGTCCAAGCTTATATTTGTTGCTCCCATGTCACTATCTGTCCATCTCATTCTCTGCTATCCCTGGGGACCCATTAATAATACATTTTGGCATTTTGCCAAAAATTGAAGGCGAACTCACTGGTCTATAGTTTACAGGGTCTATCTATCCTCTCCTTTTTTTTTTTAAATGGAACCCATTCTCCAATATCTCTCAATGATCATTGGAAGTGACTTGGTAATTATTTTTGTTATCTCTTTCACTAGCTTGTAATATAATCTTTCTGTGCCAGGTGACATGAACTTATTAAGGGCACTTCAGAACTTTTATTACTGCTCTATTTATGTGGAGGTTTCTACTCCTTATTAGCTATTTTTGTTCTCTTTTTAGTCTAATGCCCATTACTCTCTTTGACAGATAAAACAGAAGAAAACAAACTTCAGTAGTTCTGCTTTCTCTCCAGTTTTCATTATCTTCCCTTCCCTCTTTCCCTCAATATAGTTTAAAAAAACCAAACCCCTTTCATCATCTTTACACTTGTTACATCATTGTACTACTTTTGTATTCACCTTCATTTTCACTGCTCTTACTTCCATCTTCAATACATCTTTTAAAAATCAAAGGTGGCTGATGAGTTTCTAGGGCATCTACATTAGTCTCCTTAAACAACTCCTCCTTTCATTCCTCATTGGAATTCTATTTTTGTTTCTTTTCCTTACTGAGAACTTCTCCTCTGGGCACATTGCCCCTGGAGAACTTTAGTCTATGAGACTCCAGCTTCCTTTCTTTGAACTCTTTGAACCCTTCAAAAACTGCTCTCTAAAAATCTTGGGCACCTATTAGACTAAACCTGGCTTTTCTGTCTTCCATCACAAATTTTATGATAGAGTGGTCCCTTTCCCTCCAAAGTTCTCATCTCTAGTCATCAGTTGCTCCACATTAGTTCATCCATTTTTTTGAAGGACAAAATTAACATTAAGGCAAGCCAAGACATTTTTAGCTTCTTCCTTTTTTGGAAGAGGATTTAAGAAGATATCCAGATAACTGAAATTTCCTATCACTACTATGTCATGCTTCTCTTTTCTTCCAGACTTGAGATGAGTTACCTAAGTTCCTCCTTTATTTCTCCTATAACCAGCAGTCCCTTTTGTGGACATTATACTCCAGCAAAATAGGTCTACTTGCTATTTCCTATTCTCATCCTGTCTTCTGAGTTTCCCAACTCAGTCTTTAACCCCTTAAGGATGAGGAATAAATCTTGTATTTCCCATGGATCCTCTCTCAGGGCTTAGTCCAGTGCTTTGTACACATTAGGTCAATGATGCCAACCAATTAATTAACTGATAAACTCTAAAGTTTCTACTTTTCACAAACAAGAGATTTAGTTTTACAGTAATGGAAGGTGCAAGGAAAATATTGAAATAAATTCAAAGAAAAGAGTTCTACAGAAAATAAAGTCATTCAAAGAGAAAACTTGCTTTCAGATATGCAGCACATAAAAGGTAAATAACTGAAGACAAAGTGTCAGCTCCCCAAGTGAAAGGATTTGAGCTGGAAAATTACATTTGACTTTTTTTTTCAAGCATCATTAACTTGTCAGAAAAGAGCAGAAGGATATTGTGATTTGGATATATTATGTTCCAAAAAGAGATGATGAATTATGACTCATGGGCATTTGAGTTATTCCCAACCCTCACTTGGTCACTGTTTGGGCTCTGATGCCTCAGTGAGTGTAAATAGCAATTGTTTCTGTTTTGGCCAGAAATTCTGAGGTTCTTCCCCTCCTAGGTTGTTGGGGTTTTTTTTTTTTTTGGCTAGGTAAAAGAAGCCATTCTTTGCCTTACTTCTTACCTAGCCTTAATCACTGAATGGGCATTGCCTCAGACAAACTGAGACCTGGGAGAGACCTTAGCTTAAAAACGCCAAGGTTTCCCACTACATCTGGGGCCATCTCCACTTGTCCTGATCTATATCTTCCCACTGGACTCAGATGGCTCCAGAAGAGAAAGTGAGGCTGGTGACTTTGCACAGCCTGCCCTCACTTAAATCCAATTCACTTGCAAGTTATGATGTTATCTTCCTGATGTCACTGGTCCTTTTCGAGAAAGAAGGACAAACAACTATGATTTCTAAGCTAAGTTGGATTACTGTAGAGAGTAACTGCACTTTTACCTAGTAGCCTAAAGGATAATCTGGTAGAAAATAGGTAGGCATTTTCCTGTGCTATCTCGGGTAGAGGAACTTCTAACCCAAATCAAATACAGTTAAGGATGATAGTTACCAGACTGCTTGCAAAAATGAGTACATAATCCTACCTCTTTAATTTCTGGCTAGAAAAAGTACACATGTGGAACAGAATATATTTCATTCTTAAGAAACCAGTCAAGTCTATTTGCTAACAGAACAAAAGGGAACATACATGGGTTTAGCTAAACAGACAACCAACAAAATTTGAAGTGCAGAATGTTAAAAAGCTAAGATGTCAAAACTAATCATTCAAAATAGAAGTAGATAGAAAGATGAGGGGCTAATACAGAAAGCCAGGTCAGCAGCAAGGCCTAGCCTTGTATTAAGTCAATATGGAATACATATAGCTCCTAGTTAGATGAAGATTCAGAGAATATGGTAAGCTCCAGAAGAATAGGACAGACCTCATAAGTTCCTGACAGGAAACATGTGTGCTTATCAAGAGATATCAGCAAACAGTAGAGCATAAGGATGGGATTGAGTAATCTAGTTCCTTTTTTCTTTTCTTTTTTTTTTCAGACTAGGTTTCCCTATCTTGCCTAGGCTAGAAGTGCAGCAGCCACTCACAGAACCAATCCCTCCTTCAGATCAGCACAAAAGCTTTAATCTGCTATTTCCAACCTGCACTGTTTGCTTCTCTTTAAGCATCCTGGTGACCCCCCTAATCCTGGGGGCTCACTGCATTGGTTTTGTATTTAGTGAGGACACCTGATTAACTTTAGCTCTACTGCATACAGCTCAGAACTTTTTTTTTCTTTTTAGGCAATGGGGTTAAGTGACTTGCCCAGGGTCACACAGCTAGTAAGTTTCAAGTGTTTGGTCTGAGGCCAGATTTTAACTCAGGTCCTCCTGACTTCAGGGCCAGTGCTCCATCCACTGTACCACCTAGATGCCCTGAATGGTTTGCATGAACAATCTTTTTTTTTTTCAATTGGGGTTAAGTAACTTGCCCAGGGTCACACAGCTAAGCTCAGAACTTTCACATTCAAGTGATCCACCAGCCTCAGCTTCCTCTACTAGCAGGGATTGTTGGCAATTATATGGAAATCATTGCCAAAAGTTCTGGAATTTATATGATAAATTCTAAATCAGAGCTCTTTAACAAATTATAAATGAAAGGCAGTGACTTCTTGGCCAATCCTTGACGGTCGCTATTAAAAAGGGTCAACTAAGGTAAGGGAGGTCCCAAAACATTGTTATATCATCGGTGTCAGCCTTGACCAAAAGATAGTAGATTTCTTCCCATAATTCACAACAGACAGAAAAATCTAAATTTTTAGTTTTCTTACTATAAACTCTGGCAAGGATTTCTATATAATCATCTATTTGACATTTCAAACTGGATGTCCCCAGTCACACTAAGTTGGGATTGCTGAAAACCCTGAAATGTCAGGGTACAGGGCAGTATCTCTTCCCCCCCCCAAATGAATTGATGTAGTCAAACCATCTTCCAGTCAACCTTCAAAGTTTATTGTAAGGCTTATAGAAGTAGGCAGGGTTCCTAGTGGAACCTGCAACTTAATGGGAGTGAAACTGATGCTTATATACAAAAGGGACAGTGAAAGAATCTGGATGAGATTAAAGACTAGTAAATAGTCTGGGGTGGGCTAAGAAAGACAGTGAAAGGCATGTCAAGTAAGCTAATTAGGTGATCAAGTAGTCTGGGGTGGTCCAGTGATCTGGGCTGCTGAAATGTATGGGAAAATTCAGGAACTGGGTTGCTTTCAAAGACATGGTCTTTTCTTTTTAGAGGTCCAGATCCCATCGCCAGTTTATCTCAAACTTAACAAGTCATGAAGAGTTGGACAGACTGAACAACCAAATTTATCTGTTCATTATTTAAAGAAATGTGTGTGTCTGTTCAGGTTTGTCAAGTTCATAACACTAAATTAAAATTTTTTTAATTTATCACTGTTCAATACAATAGTGTAAAAGTTTACTACAAGCACAGTAAACATTTCATAACAGGTGTGCTCCCTAACTGTTGTTCATGAAGTTAATTTCGGTAAAATGTGCCTCAGTGGCCCACTAACTTCCATCTTACTTTTAGCCTGAGCTTCCACATCTATCGCCATTCTTGCTAGGCTCTGAAAGCTCCTTTCCTTACCTGGAATGTGAATGAATGTATTTATTAAGTGCTTACTAGGTGACAAACACTATGCTTGAGATATAAACACAAATGAAAAGACAGTTCCTGCCTTCAGGGTGTAAGAATCAGCAGAATCTGCTTTGGTCTGGAAATACCACCTACCAGGTAGTGAATAGGGCCTTGGGAAGTAGATTGACATTGTCCTTCAAGAACGATGGCAGGAGTAGATCTGATCACCTTTCCAGAACTAAAATGGGAGGGAGGGGAGAGGAAAGAATACATTAATTAGGAGGGGAGGGATAATCTCCACTGGCAGCTAGGTAGTTATTGGGGCTGGGCTGATGCGGGAAAGTAGGAAATCAAATGAAGTTTGGTGGCTGGGTCTTGCCTGTGTAAGATGTGGATGTCCATAGAGATTATGCATGTCCACAAGGTTTGTCTAAATGTGGTCTGTAGGCAACATGGATCTCTGGAATCTGGCCCACCCCTCTCCAAAGCAGATCAAAATCTCTGCCTTGAGGGAAGAAGGGCTGTGGCTAGGTGTTTGCTCCTTCTCTCTCAATCTCTAACTCCTCAGCTTTTATAGATTCAGTTCTCTATGTTGATGATTATCTAAATCTACTAGTGCTAATCTTTTTGCTGACCTGCAGTCTTAAATTGCCTATTAGAAATCTCAGACTGGATTTCCTGTAGATATTTTTTTTTTAGGCAATTGGGGTTAAGTGACTTGCCCAGGGTCACACAGCTAGTTAAGTGTCAGGTGTTTCCGTGTTTGGTCTGAGGCCGGATTTTAACTCAGGTCCTCCTGACTTCAGGGCCAGTGCTCTATCCACTGCACCACCTAGCTGCCCCTTCCTGTAGACATTTTCTACCCCTTTCTAAACTCCTCTATTACTATGGAGGGCAACGCCATCCTATCAGTCCCTCAGATTCACTATCAAAGAGTCATCCTGGATTCCTCACCTTCTCTCCACTTCTCATATCCAATCTATTGCCAAGGCCTGTCAATTTCATCTTCACAGCATCTTTTGAATACTCCTCTCCTCTGATGCTGCTACCTCCCTGGCGCAGGCCCCTTGGACTGCTCCAATAGCTTGCCCATAGGTCTGCCTGCCTCAAGTCTCTTCCCCCTCCAGTCCATCATCCCACATTCAGCTAACAAAGTGATTTTCTTAAAGTGCTGGTCTGATCATGTCAAGACTCTCTTCAATAAACTTTAGTGGATTCTTATCACCTCACCTCTAGTAAGCAGTACAAAATCTTTTGTTTGGTGTTTTTTAAAAATTGTAACATCAAATTCAATTTTATTTTATTTTCAGTTCCAAATTCTCTCCTTCCACCCATTTAGAAGGCAAGAAAAATAAAACCCCATTATAAATATGTATAGACATTCAAAATAGATTTCTGTATTACCCCTTCCACCACACACCACCTCCCAAAAGAAAAAAAAGAGAGAGAGAAAGAAACAGAAGAAAATATAATTCAATTCTTTCTGGAGATGGAGAACATGCTTCATTATGGGTCCTCTGGAATTGTGGTTGGTCAACGTGTTGATCAGATCTTTCAAAGTTGATTACCTTTACAATATTTCTGTTACTATATAAATTGTTTTGAGTTCTGCTCACTTCACTTTGCATCAGTTCATACAAGCGTTCTCAGGTTTTTCTGAAACCATGCCCTTTATCATTTCTTACAGCACAATAGCATTCCATCACATTTATGTACCACAACTTGTTCAGCCATTCTCCAACTTATGGGCATCCCTCAGTTTCCAATTCTTTGCTACCACAAAAAAAAAAAGAGCTACTATAAATATTTTTTTTATATCTGTTCCCTTTTCCTCGTTCTTTGATCTCTTTGAAGTACAGATTTAGTATTAGTATTGCTAGGTCTACTCTGAAGTTCAAAGTCCTTCATAACCTCCCCCCACCCCCACCCCCGTAGTCTTACACCTTCAGCCCTGTGAAAATGGCCTTTCCACTGTTTCCCCAATCACTCCATCTTCAGGCTCTCATGGATATCCCCTATTGATGAGGATGGAATCAAACCTCTAAAAAGAAAAACCCTAGACTTTCCCACATGGCCAAATCTCTGGCCTTCGCCTGAGACTATAATCACATCAACTGGCCTTTCTTTGTGGCTACATCCAATCTCCCAATTCTCTGTTACCCTTAACCTAGCCTAGCCCTCCATTGTTTTACCTCCCTATGTCCCCTGGCCACTTCCCACCCTTAATCCTAGCTAGGCTCCATTCTCCCTTGCCTAATATGGTGGCTACATTCTTGGTTTTAACCAATTACTCTGGCCCTACTTGCCCCTTGACCTCTCAAGTCTAGGCAACCAAAGCTTTCTTTCAGCTAAAGACAAGGTTTACTAAAGATTCTTAAGGAATCTGAGAGTCTGTGAGGTATTGGCTAGATTGTAAAAATCTGAGCAGTGGCTAGATTATAAGAATCAGAGCACCTTAATGGAAACAAGATGGACCTTATATTCAGAAAGACTGTGGGAGTGATCTAGGAGTGGCCAAGTAGTTTGCAGGGGACTGTGAGGTAATAGAATGCCAGGGACCTGGAACCACAATGGCCAAGGGAGAATGGAGCCTAGCTAGGATTAAGGGTGGGAAGTGGAGGGCTAGGTTTAGGTTAAGGGTAACACAGAATTGGGTGATTGGGTGTAGCCACAAAGAAAAGCCAGTTGATGGGATTATAGCCTCAGGGGAATATCAGAGATATAGCCAAGTGGGAAAGTCCAGGGTTTTTCCTTTTTGAGGTCTAGATTCCATCCTCATCACCACGCCCAGAAAGTCTCCACATCTTGGCTTCCTTCAAGTCCCAGCTAAAATCTCACATTCTATTTGTTTGTACATAGTTTCCATGTTATTTCCCCATCAGATTATGAGCTCCTCAAGGGCAGGGAGTGTCTTTTGCCTTTCTTTGTATCCCCAGCATCTAGAATAGTATATGCTTTTTTACTGGCTGACTCCAACAGGAGTCTAACACTAGAATTATGTCAGCTCCCCTTAAAAACTGCTGGTCCCAGGGTTCAATGAGCTCGGAAAAAAGGGTGCTTCCCCAGTTGCTGGAGTTCCTCCAGGTCCTCCAGTTGGAGAATAGCCTCAAACTTATACTATCCAGCTTGGTCCCTTCCTACCAAATGCTGGTTACACAAAAGACCATCATAGTGAATAATGAATAAGTAAACCCATTTATTCAAGCAAGCAGAAATATAAGTTATAGAGATTAGAATATATCAGATAATGGGCAAGAGTAAATGAGCCCTCTTTGCTGAAAGTGAGATGACATCTCACCTCAAACAAAGAGACAGAGGCTGCAGTCTCACTCATGGGAAAAGTCCTCAAAGTCTTTTGTTAAGTAAGCTGGCAGTCAGAGACATGTTGAGAATCAAGCTTCCTTTACATGTTTGCAGCTTCCAAAGTTTCTTTTTCTCCTCCTCAAGAGTGTGTGTCTCACCATAAGTATCTTTCCCCAAGTTCTGGTACCAATTTCACTCCCTGGATAGGGTACTCAGTGTCATATCTGGTCAGCATTCTCTCTATTATCCAGGTGTGTCTTGTACACAGTACCATACAAAAACACCCCAGGCTTGGGTGAAAACCACATTATACTTGAAATGCGACAATATAATTCCAGTGACTAGCACAGTACCTTGTGCAAGATTTCTCATTAAATTGTTGTAAGGGTAACAGAAGTCAACAGATACTTAATGTCAGAATCTGTCACAGTGAATTCAAATCCCAACTCTTCTACTTATCAGCTATGTGACCCCCTAAGCAAGTCACTTAACCTTTCTGAGATGCAGTTTCCTCATCTATAAAATGAAGGGTCTCCTTCATTTAAATTCCACCTACTGTAGGAGTCCTTTCTTGGATCCCACACTTGCTAGTGCCTTTCCCTTGAAAATCTTCCATTTAGATATACTTATTTATATGTTGTCTCCCTCATCTGAATATGAGCTCCTAAAGGGCAAGCAGTGTTTCATCATTTCCTATATCCCCAGTGCTTACATAGTACCTGACACTCAATACATACCTGCTGATTGAATGACTGACTTTATGATCTGTAAGATCTCTTTCAGCTCTAAAATTATGATTCTATGATGACATCATAAAGGAACAGGAACACTACACTACCAAGAGCTGTTTGCCCTTTGTAGCTCACTAACAAGATCACATGCATCTATCTTTCTCCCTCCTTGCCCTGCAGGAGGAAAGAGCAGATAATAGCTGTATTACTTAGTTTATATTCCTTTTTTCCTGATGTCCCATATGTCTCTAAGGTTCAGTACACAGTCTACCTTCCTCACTGCTTCACATCCTCTAATGCCCAGAAGTCCTGCTTTCATTCACCACACTGCCAGCAGCGTAAGGAGGTAAGAGCATTAAATCACTGCCTCAGCTTTTCTGGAGTGCATTGTGCCAGCTCTTCCTGACTACAAAGCTGCTCCTCTATCCACTAGGCCCATACTACTTGCCAAAGGTAAATGAGGAGCTAATTACTACTTAGCTAAAATGTACCCGCCAGTGAATATAGCTTTTGGATAATGAGTAATCAAAATGAGATATTTATGTGAAGACTTCACTGGCCTGATTGCAAAGTGGCATGAACCTTGTTCATAGCTCTGAGGAAAAAAAATTGCACAATTCCTTCCTGTTTATCATCTTTGAGAGAAAACTCTCAATTCACCTAGGAAGAGTATTGAAAAATACTCAAAAGTCAAAACAGGGCATATTTGTTGAGATGGATGACTAACGGAATTCTTGATAAAGACACTTATGTTTAGGGATTGTTTAGGCAAACAAACATCAGCGTGGTGGTTTTGTAAAGTCAATATCCCAAGTTTTGGAATACAAATGTTACAGAATGGGCAGTTGGTAGGGGGCAAGTGGATAAAGTGTTTAATCAATCAAATATTTATTGTGTACCTGTTCTTCCCACACATGTTACCCAGCCAGTATAATCTGCTGACTTGTCAGAGCTTGTGCTCCAATGGTATATAGCCTTAAAGAATTTAGTCTCACCTCCACACCCCAATGAGACTTCAGAGCAGGATATTCCCAGGTAATCTGAAGACAGAACTTAATATAACCTATCATTATTTTTAATCAGCTCAGCTGTTAAAAACTAAGAAAAGTACCAAGTTCCCTTAAGTCTTGCTAGGCTATGGTACAATTTCATGTTCTGATGAGTTTTGATCCTGGATCTTATAGGTTATATAGTCCAATCCATATAGATGGGTGAGACTCCAAAAGTTAAGTGGCTTGCTTATAGGATCATACAAGGAGTAAGGGGCTGAGGTAGGTTTCAAACTGAGGTCTTCTTTCAAATACAAAGCACAACCACATTGATCCTATCCATAAAGGAATCCTATGACCGCAATTCTTTTTTTTTTTTAAGTGGCAAGAGCATTTTAACCTTTAGGCTGTCATTTTGCTAATGAGATCAAATAAATTTGAAGAAAAGCATGTATACACATTCTCTTTCTCTCACATACACACACACACACACACACACACACATAGAACACAGACATATACTTTTACCATTTAATTTTTATTTTATTTTTTCTCAATTACATGTAAACAAAAAATTTTAACATTTATTTTTTAAATTTTGAGTTACAGATTCTCTCCCTTCTTCCTTCATTCAGAAGAAACAAGCAATGTGACATAGATTATACATGTACAGTCACATAAAACATTTCCATGTTAGCCATGCTGCAAAAAAAATGCAGATTAAAAAAAACCCAAGAGTAATAAAGAAAGTAAAAAAAAAAGTATGCTTCAATCTGCATTCAGACTCCATTAGTTATTTCTCTGGAGGTGGATAGCATTTTTCATCATGATCCTTTGGAATTGTCTTAGATTATTGCATAGGTGAGAATAGATAAGTCATTCACAGGTGATCATCATACATATTACTGTTACTGTGTAAAATGTTCTCCTGGTTCTGCTCACTTCATTTTGCATCAATTCATATTCTCTTCCTCAGGTTTTTCTGAAACTAGGCTGCTCATCATTTCTTATAGCACAATAGTATTCCATCACAATTATATGCCACAACTTGTTCAGTCATTCCCCAATTGATGGGCATCCCCTCAATTTCCAATTCTTTGCCACCACAAAAAGAGCTGCTATAAGCATTTTTGTACATTTGGTCCTTTTCCTTTTTCATTGATCTCTTTGGGATACAGATCTAGTAGCAGTATTGCTGGCTCAAATGGTATGAATAGTTTAATTGCCCTTTGGGCATAGTTTCAAATTGTTCTTCAGAATGGTTAGATCAGTTCACAACTCCACTAACAATTCATCAATGTCCCAATTTTCCCACATCCCCTACAACATTTATCATTTTCCTTTTCTGTCATATTAACCAATCTGATAGGTGTGAGGTGGTACCTCAGAATTGTTTTAAGTTGCTTTCTTCTAATCAATAATGTTTTAGAACATTTTAAAAATATGACTACAGGTAGTTTTGCTTTCTTCCGAAAACTGACTGTTCATATCCTTTGACCATTTATCAACTGGGGAATGACTGATATTCTTATAAAATTGACTCATTTCTTTACATGTTTTAGAAATGAGGCCTTTATCAGAGAAACTTGCTGTAAAATTTTTTCTTAGTTTCCTGCTTTCCTTCTAATGTTGGCTGCCTTGGTTTTGTTTGTGCAAAACCTTTTTAATTTGATGTAATCAAAATTATCCATTTTACACCCTGTAATGCTCTCTGTCTCTTGTTTGGTCACAAATTCTTCCCTTATCCATAAATCTGACAGGTTACGTATTCCATGCTCCACTAATTTATCATATCACCCTTTTATGTCTAAATCATGTATCCATTTTGACCTTATCTCAATTTAAGGTATGAAATGTTGGTATAACCTCAATTCTTCATGAACAGTTCTTGGATTCCTGTCCAGGAGATGTAACAATTATTCTTCCAAATCACTTCAGAATAGCCTTTGCCTCTTTCCAGGGGAATTCAGTCTCGTGAAAAGGATACCTGTCACAGCCACTGAGCCTTGAGGTAGCTGGCATATTTTGGCTTTCAGTTTATCCCAGGCCTCTTTTATTTTTAGTTTTACATCTTTACCATTTATTAATAAATCTGATGAATTCACAACTAAATTTAAATGAAAAACGCCAATACTACCCAGTTAGAATAGTTTATTAAATCCCACTTTTCTCTTTGAAGACTATTCTAATAGTGTTAATCCATTAAAGAAGTAGGTGAAAAGAATTAATGTTTCAGAAAATACACAGAATAGGGTTAAACTAGCATTTCCATGAATCCACTGGATTGAATTACATAGGAGAATTCATTTTTTTCAAAAACTCAACATTGGGCAAAAATTACAAACAATGTAACAACATTCTTCTGTAATTAAATTATTTTAGAGAAATGAATAGTCTAGTAGTGGCAGCCACCTTAAGGCTCACTGGCTGCTGATAGGTAACTTTTTCTTCAGACTGAACTTCCCTGGATAGATACAAAGGCCATTTTGAGGTGATTTGGAGGAATAATTGTTAGGTCTCTTGGACCGGTATTCAAGAACTATTCATGAAGAACTGGAGTCATAGGATTCCTTTATGGACTGAATCATTACGGTTGAGCTTTGTATTTGGAATAAGATGACCTTGGTTCGAGTCCTAGCTCAGCTACTTATTCAAGTCACTGAGCTTTTGGGGCCTTACTCATCTATGTAAGTTGGATTACATAACCTGTAATGTCCAACTCTAAAATTTTGATGCTCCAAAATTCATCTCAACATGAAACTGCACCACAGCCTACCAAGTTACCGCTTGAAATAAACTGCAAGCTGTCACCTTAGCTGTAATGTCTTAAAATGAACAAAAACCCTTAACTGTCCTCAACTGGACAATTCAAGTCTCAGGAAAGTCAAACTGAATGTCAAAAAAAAAAATCTAGAGAGCACTGAAATGCATATATACATTTTTCTACTAAAATGTGTTTACATAAAAAGGACTAAAATTCAACATCGACTTATTAGCATAATTATCCCTCCTGGACCACTTTAATGGATTCCCAGGGGATATTCCGGCTGCCTTTTAGTTTTCCTATCTTGCTTCTACTGGAAAGAATTTCTATACAATCCCCACCAGCCAATCAGTAAGCAAGTGTCGCACTACAATTCCCGGCAGGCTGTCTGGGATCTATGCCGCCCATCTTCCAATCCGAGGATGGGGAGGGCACCCACCCCCGTGAATGGCCTGGCGGGACTTGTAGTCCCCAAATAGAGTTTTGGGTACGCGAGGTCGCGTGCTCAAGTCTCCGCCCCCTTTTTCTTTCCTACTCCACCTCACGTTAGTCTCACGTACCCCCATCCCCCGCGTGCCCAAGCCCCCTCCCCTCCCCCCTCGGCATCCCAGGGCGCAGGCGCGCGCACGCTCCCCGGCCCGGTGGGCGGGAGGGGGTGGGGGGGAGGAAGGGAAGAGTGGGGTGGGGGGGTGTGGTTAGATGCGGAGCCGGCGGCTGCGGGCCACGAAGGGCGGTGCGGCCTAGTGAAGAGGATAGCAGGCTCTGCACTGAACCCGGGGCAGGCGAGGGTGGCCGGAGCCGAGCCGGAGCTGACTGCGGGGAAGAGAAAGAGGCTAAGGCCGGGAAGCGGCAGCGGGAGGGCAGCCGGCGGGACAGCCCCGGCCTAGGCCCGGCGGAGATGTCCGGCTGCTGTGCTTGTACCTGCGCGGCCGCGCGACTCATCACCTCCTCGCTCGGCTCCGCGCAGAGAGGTAAGAAAGTAGTCCCTCTTCCTCCTTTCCCCAACCGTGCGGCGGGAGACGACTCGCTCGCTGCGGCACTAGTTTGCCCGCCTGACAGCGGGACCTTCCCCAGTCAGGGGGCGAGGCCTTCTTCCTCCTTGGGCCGTGGGCAGTTGTGTCGTTTCGCTTGTCCTCTCGCCTCCTGGGAGGGTCCGCCCCCACGCTCCCCTTCTTGACAAATTAGGGGCGGGCTCAGATAGCTCCCCTCATCTAAAGTGAATCCCCTCGTTTCCCATCATACCCCCCCGGCCCCCAGATCCTTGGGGCTGAGACTTCTTGGGTGCGACTGAAAGAACCACGGATCTCAGTGTCATGGGGGGAAAATCGGAGATGGTAGCAAACAGCGGCCCGAGTCCCACCGCCCCCTCCCCAGCCTCCCCACCCTCAAGGTCCCCGCCAGTGGTTTGTTAGCAAACTTGACCGTGGGGGGGGGGGCTGTACGTGCGTGTCTGTGTCTGTGTGCGTGACGGCCTGGCTTCGTTTCTCGGGGGAGGGGGGTAATTAGTCATTATCCCGCGGCTTTTGCCCTGTCCGGGCTTGCTCCCGAGCGGTCACTTTGCAACCTCTGGGGCATAGGGCGCTTTGAGGGCCTCCCACGTCTAGTTTCCGTCGTTGTGTTGTCATGCTCACACACACACATAAACAAGCCTCACAATACTTAATGGATCCCGTGATCCCTTTGGGAAACGGATCCCAAAGCAGCTCTGCCAACTTAAAGAACGAGGTCCGCAAGACAGGGAAAAACTCCCCTTGGAATTTTCTTTCTTTTTAGGGAGGAGGGAATGGGAAAAAGGGGAGAATACTATCCTTTCTCTGTGAATGTTAGCAAGCTTTCATAACTAGACAGCCGTGTGTGTGTGTTTCTCCCCCCTCCCCCCACAGTAGCATGGAATTGTTTGGTCAGCAAGTGGTTTTTTTCCCCATATCTCTGCCTATGTGAAAGAGATGGGACAGCAACCAAAAAGCTTTTCCCAATTAAGCGTGAGTACATATCCCAAAAGTGCCATACACTTAAAGTAAAGGAGGCCTAGACCTAAATAATCATTACTTCCTGCCTAGTAAGACAAATTTGTAATCATAGGACCATGATCTTTGTTAACTTTTTTTTTTCAGTTCTGGAAAAGTAAAACGTTCCTCTTGCACAATTTTCTGTGGGATAGTTTTAGTAGATTTTAGTAACAGTTGCTCAATAGTACACAGTATGGCTTAGGCCTGTGTTTTGCCGTCTAAATTTGGTTACGGATAATTGTTCTCAACAGGTAAAACTCCCCATTCCAAGAATCAGTTTCGCAACTAAGAGTAATTGAGAGAGCCTGGTATTTAGATTGCTTGACACATTTCAGGAAATACTCTCTGAAAATAGTATAAGTAATGTAATTTTAAAGGAGGGTGGTAATAGAGGAGAGTGGAGTTTTTGTTCAGGGCTCTTTAAAAAAAATTCTGAAAAAAATGAATAGAATATTAGGATTGTCAGTCATAATTAAAGGCATCTTTGGGAATTGCTCTGTTACTACTAATTTTAACTAGCATTTACATAATAACTAGATGCTTTACATGTATCTCTTTTGATCTTCACAACTCTAGGTAGGAAGTGTAGGGAGTATTATCGCCATTTTACAACTGAGACCAACAGTTTAAGTGACTCACCAAAGTCACACACAGCTTATTAAGTGTCTGAAGCAGGAATTCTGCTCGGGTGTTACTGACTATAATACAAGCCCCAGCACTCTGTACGCTGGGCCATTAGTATATATCACCACTAGTTTTGTGAAATGTAGAATCTTAAAGCTGTAAGGATAATAATAAACCTTTTAAAAATGTTTGAAATACAGTGTCCACATAATATGTTATTGTTCTTTTGTGACCCTATTTGGAGTTTTCTTGGCAAAGATACCGGAGCAGTTTGCCATTTCCTTTTCCAGTTCATATTACAGATGAGCAACTGAGGCAAGCAAGGTTGTGACCACTTACTTGGTCTAGGGTCACATAGCTAGTAAAGGCTACATTTGAACTCATGAAGATTTCTGATTCCAAGGCCGGTGCTCTATCCACTTCACCACCTAGCTGCCCCTTTATTATTTATGGCTTTTAAATTTCTTGATAAAATGTCTATATTCATATCTACTAAAATAATTTTTATAGGCTTGATGCTAACTTCATTTTTCTAAAATACTGATATAAGGTTCTTACTTTAAAGTCAGGTTTGTATCTTCAGTAACTAATAGGATTGAACTTCTTGTGAACTGTAGTTATTAATTTAACAAATTAACAGATAACTAATTTTATTATTTTTGGGGAAAGCAAAATGAATATAAAGTAGTGGACTCAGTGAAGTACCAGACTTCGCTTCAGATACCCTATTGATCATTTCAAGCCTTTCCAATTTCTAAATGAAATTTGAAAAATGGATTATATGGTAAACAGTAATGGCTGTGACACTGCAATGATCCGTATATGTCTCCTATCAGAAGAGGGTAGGCATCCTACCCACATATCATGTAGGCACGCTGGCATAACGTTGCTGAGAGACCAACATGGTTATGTTCATGGAACCATAATGTTTCATAATCTTGCTATAATGTTACTTGGTTGATCACTGATTTATAATATTGTTTTTATATAGGCCAAGTGTGCCCTTATGTTTTTTTTCCACCTAATGTCATGTTTTTTCAGAACCAATTAAGTCAGGTATGACTATTGTTTTTTTTTCCTTCAGAATTTTATTTCTCCTGAAATAATATACACAATTTTAATGTTGTATGTTTTAAAAATTAGTTTCAGCTTCTACAAGTAAATTTACTTTCTAAAAATATAATTATCCAAAACCACAATTCCCTCTTCCCAATCCTGAATGCCAGTAAGGTAGACAAATTCTTTTTTTATTTTTCTTTACATAGGGAACCTCCTCTAACAATGCAAGATGGAATTAAGTGACTTGCTCAGGGTCACACAGCCAATATAGTTATGTCAGGCAACATTTAAAATGAACCCACGTCTTTCAGACTCTAGGGTAGGCTTTTTATTTTTTAAAAAGTATTTTATTTTTTCCCAATTACACAAAGACAATTTTTAATATTCACACAGTCATGTAAAACATATTTCCATGTGTTGTGAAAGAAGAAACAGATCAAAAGAAAAAAAAAAACCAAGGCAGCTAGGGATACAGTGGAGCACCAGCCCTGGAGTGAGGAGGACCAGAGTTCAAATGTGGCCTCAAACACTTGACACCTACTGTGTGACCCTGGGCAAGTCACTTAACCTAATTCCCTAGCAAAAAACAAAACCATACAAAAAATAAAGTGAAAAAAGAGTATACTTCAATCTGTATTCAGACTCCATCAGTTATTTCTCTGGAGGTGGATAGCATTTTTCATCATGAGTCCTTTGGAATTGTTTTGAGTCATTGTATTGGTGAGAATAGCTAAGTCATTCACAGTTGATTAGCATACAATATTGTTACTATGTACAGTGTTCTCCTGGTTCTGCTCACTTCACTTTACATCAGTTCATATTAAGTTTTCCCCAGGTTTTTCTGAAATCATCCTGCTCATCATTTTTTTAATTGATTTTTAGTTTTCAACATTCACTTCCATAAGCTTTTGAGTTTTAAATTTTCTTCCCCTCCCTTTGCACCTCCCTCCCCAACACAGCATGCAATCTGATATGGTCTCTGTTTATACATTCCTATTAAACATATTTTCACATTAGTCACGTTGTAAAGAAGAATTAGAACCAATAGGAGTAACCACGAGAAAGATTGCTTATCATTTCTTATAGCACAATGTTATTCCATCACAATCATATGCCAGAACTTATTTAGTCATCCCTCAATTGATGGGCATCCCCCTCAATTTCCAATCCTTTGCTGCCACAGAAAGAACTGGTATAAATATTTTTGAACAAATAACTCCTCCCCGCTCCCTTTTTTTTAATATCTTTGGGATACAGACCTAGTAATAGTATTGCTGGCTCAAAGGGTATGCACAATTTGATTGCCCTTTGGGTATATTGGTCTCCAAAGTAATTGGATCAGTTCACAACTCCACCAACAATGCATTAGTGTCCCAATTTTCCCACATCCTCTGCAACATTCATCATTTTCCTTTTCTGTCATATTAGCCAATCTGATAGGTATAAGGTGATACCTCAGTTGTTTTAATTTGCATTTCTCTAATATTGTAATGTTTTGGAGCATTTAAAAAATATGACTATCTATATAGCTTTGACTTCATCTGAAAACTCTAAGAGCAGGCTTTTTATGATGATTGCCAAAATCAGATATCCTGAAACTCTTCTGTTCCCCTTTCTTCCCTAATCAAAGGGAGTAGCTTCTTAGGGATTAAGGTGAAGATTTAAAGTTGTTCAGATGCTTTTGCTCACATAAATTTCACAGGGGTTATAAATCAACAAAATGGATAAATGCTAAATCATCTCCATTTCTGCTGTAGCAAGCCTGTGTTTCTCTTACGAGTTGCCTCTTGAAACCATTGGGCTAGTTAATGATAACCCAACAAGTATTCTGAAACTTTTATTACATCACAGTTTGTTCGCCAGATGTTGAATTTTGTGGCAATGTCAGCTGGAGAAGAAACAAGAATGTGGTCTGTGTTAGTTGAGAGAACCCACACCACAGAAATCAGACTTTTCAGAGTATAAAAATAGGGAAAGAGATCTTAAAAGTTGAGAGCTTTGTTATTCATAATTAATGCTATGAATAGGAATGAATCTTATGAATATAGGATCCTTTGAAAACTGACCAAACTACTTTGGTGTAGAAACTAGAGGTATAGACTCATTTACAAAATTGGGAAAACATTAATTATCCTTATTGATTTTGTTTGCAAACAACATTTATATGGAAACCAAGTGTTTAATCAAGCAATGTATTTGATAACTTTAAGACTAAAATGTGTATACTTAAAATTGTTGATCATAAAAGATCTTTGTCAAGTTTTGGTTTTTGAAGGGGAAAATGTAACATTTAAAAGTTTCTTGCTCAGTATTTTAACTCTGGAATTGTTAAAGATTAAAGGTCATTTCCTGTTGTACACTGAATAATCTTATTATTCTAAAAGAATGTATGCATAGTTGAAAATTATATAATTCAATTTAACAGAAGAGAGCAAGTGTTAAAAATTGGGTAAATTATTCTTCTGTTTCTTGCCATTCTGACAATGTGAAAATATTTTATTGGAATAATTTTAAAATGGCTGCTCCAGTAAAAACAAAAGTTATGAAAAGAGTAATCTTGTGAAATACAACATGTAACACAAAATGCTTCCTTATTTTGGTCTGTTTTGCCAAGCTGTAATTGTTTACATTTTTAATATGAATTGATTTCTTAATTTCTCATAAAACTTGTGGAGCTTATGAATGTGAAATTGTGTAGATTGATTTCTTCAACAGGCTCTATCTAATGAAACAAATGATTTAACTTCTTCTGGCTTGATTGAATTAGAAGATATTTATTTAGAACTAGTCATTTAGGTATAGCAGTTTGGATGTCAGTTGGTTAAGTTTGACCCTAGATGTAAATATTCCTGCTTGTTAAAACAGTACTATAACGTACTACTGATGTGAAGAGACTAAGAAGATTTAGATTCTGAAATTTAAAAAAAAAATCATGTTATGTGTTTAATAGGTAATATTTTCTTTTGGTTGGTTAATAAAGTTGAATTGCTTCCATAGTAAATTCTTTATCCCAGAGGTCACGCATTTCAAATCTTTGCAAAACCAGGGTATTTCTACTTATCAGGATCATTAACATTATTATTTTTCTTAAATCTCTCCAATGAGATTCTCTTGAAGAGTTATACTATGCCATTTTTTTCTAATAACAGGTAAACTAATATTACTGCATCTTTCTGAAATTGTCTTAAAAAGTACTTGGAAAAGGGGGGTGGTGTGTGAATTTTTTTTACTGGGAAAGAAAATTACTTATGTTCTAAGTTAATAAGATCTCAAAGATATGTTAATCATTTTGCTTTTGGAGTAGTTGAAAATGTTTATTTAAAAATAGTCAAAATAAAACATTCAAGAAACTTAAATCACAAAACCCCACTTACAATTAGTGACCTATAAATTAATTTTATAAAAAGCTCTCTGAATTATGCTAGTTCTTTTTAGCTTGCATATTTATTTGACCTATTTTGCTGGGCCCATTATGTACTGGGGGAGGGGGTGGGGTTGTTAATGTTTAGCTTAAAGTTTATCCAGATTGTCTGCCTTAAGTTTTTGTTCAGCATTAATAGAAATATTTATAGAGTATTTGTTTTGGAGGCAAAGATAGGAATATAATTACATTAAAACAGTGGTTCTCAAAACTTACTTGTCTGATGACCCCTTAACACTCAAATTATTGAGGACCTACCTCTAAATAAGTTTTTTTTAATCTATTTGGGTTATATCTATTGATATTAGAATTTAAAATTGGGGTAGCTGGTTGGCGCAGCTGTTAAGAGAACTAGGCCTAGAGTCAAGGAGACTTGATTCAAATCCAACTTTAGACACTTTCTAAGTTATGTGACCCTGGCCTCTGTGTGTCTCAGTTTCCTCAACTGTAAAATAGGGATAATAATAGCACCTACATGCCAGGGTTGTTGTGAGAATCAAATGAGATAATAATTGTAAAGTTCTTAGCAGTGCCTGGCGCAGACTAATACTATATAAACGTTAGCTATTATTAAAAATCATAGTGTTATTATGAAAATAATTTTGACCACAGGGACCCCAGCGGTTTTTAGACCATATTTTGAGAACCGCTGCATTAGAAAAATGAAGTTAAACAGAAAAGGAATCTCTTTTTAGTTGTAACTGGCTATATTAGGTGTAGGATGAATAGCTGAATTTTTTTTTTCCTTTTCCCATTTGTTCATCATGCAGTGAAAAGAGTTATGACTTGGGAGGATCTGGATCCCAATCCTGTGTGTGCCACTTGTTATGACCATTTTCCTTATCTCTCTGTACATATCTGTGTTTATAAGCCACTGTACTTGGTGATTCATCTGTGTACTCTTCATCTGTATACTGTTGTTGAGTGCTATTTTTAGGAAAACGGATCAGGTTGCTTGGAGTGGTGTGAACCTTTTAAACTTTTTAGGAAAGTCCTTTGTAGGTTTAGGCAGAGTGGTGAATGAATATATTTCCCAATCAACTCTTCTCAGGAATAATTGAAGAATATTATTTCCTCAAGTGCTTTAGTGGATACATTGTTTCTTTGGGGGGGGGGACCCAGAATAGGAAAATTAGGTTGAATGATAAAGTGGTTTTTGGCATTTTTAGAAAAACATGGACAAGAGTTGCATATGTTGAAAAGTTATGGAAGAGTGGTGACCTATATGATATCCTGGATCCATAAAAATAGGCTGCCTCTAGCCCTTAACGGTTTGCAAAATGTTTTTTTCCCCCTGATGTTCTCATTTGAGAAATCAGTTTCAGACCAACAAATCTAAAAAAAAAATAATTTGGTGGTTTGAATTCAACCCTTTATTTTTAGATCAGTTTTTGAGTATAGATATATCCTGAATACATTTTGTTTATATGTTAAAAATCCATGTGTTGTAGTAAATAAAATTCAGACATCCAGTTTGATATTTTGGGGGGGGAAAAAGGGAATCATTTGCAAGTTTTAGATCTTGCTTTGTCAAAGATGTTACTCTCTGCATTTTAGTTCTGGTTAAACATAAACTTTTAGTTATGTCCTGACTGTGTAATTGGAGAGCTGAAAATTTTATTCAGCTAACTAACTTTTGTGAATATGAGTAATAACAGAAACTATTCTAATAGGCTGAGGCTTTATACCTTTTTTTTTTTAAACAGGTTGTAGATTGACTTTTCTGGATTGTGAAGAGTTGTGTCTGTTGTCATAAAAATTGCAGGAAGAGTATGTGTTCCAAAGATAGTCATCTTTTTCAGAAATGTCATTTTTGGAGGTAGAAATAATATAGGAGGCATTTGACTACATTTTAGGATTGTGGTTTTATAGGGTACTCTTTCTTTATTCTTTAAAAGTTGAGGTAGGTCCTAGGTCCTTGACCTTCATTATTTACCTCACCTCTTTTGGAATGTGTGCTTATTCCGTAATAGGTTGGCCACATACAGTGATGCTCAGGAGGCTAGCCTGTCCTCCATCTACTTCCAAGTGATGAGGCCATATCAGTTCTGGTACTTAAACCAGGCTGAATCCTAGCCCATTTTTTCACAATGGGCCTATATCTGAATGATATCTTTATCTCTTCCTCAGCGTCCAATGTCACTGACCCAGCACTGAATTGACTACAGCATCCTTCCAACTTCCTCTGAACCCAGGCCTGACTTTGTTAAAAGAAAGACAACTTTATTATCGTCAGGTGATTTATTAGCTCTACATACCGTGTGCCACTTCTGTTTTGTAGGCTAACCAGCTATGGGTTTTTTTTTCCCAGGTATTTCTTGTGGACGAAGTCACTTCCCAGTTTTAGGAAGGCTGGGGACCTTTGAGACACAGATTCTTCGAAGAACTCCTTTTAGGACTTTTTCAGAAACACCAGCATACTTTGCTTCAAAAGATGGGACTAGCAAAGATGGTTCTGGAGATGGAAATAAGGTAGTCATTATAACTTTAGTGTGTTTAAAACATCTCTTTCAAAAAAGAACTTAAAATTCTGGTTCCTTGGTAGGTTTTGCTTTTGGTTTCTGAAGCTGAATATAATTTGTTGATGAGAAAATGGTTATCAGATGCTTGGTGTAATGTTATATAAATATGCAGTAAACGTTTCATCCTTTATATGCATGAATTTTAATATACATTAATTGAGACAGATGATACAGAAATTGATCTAGGTGAAATCTGAGCCAGTCAGTGGTATTATTTGGAATTTTCTGGTTCTTAACATGATGTAATGTCTTCACTTAAAGCCATCTCCTGCCTACTGTAAATACATTTAGACTTAAGTTCATCCTCTCTCATCTTTTATAGTTATTGAGTATTGCCTATTTGATGTTTACATGATATTGAGTTACTCTTTAGTTAGCAAATAGGATTGATAGCATTTTCCCCTTTTTGGGGCATATTTTGCCTGTGACAGTGCTTTGTTTTTTTTTTCTTCTTTTGTTTTTATTAAATCACTGTTGCTTCTCAGTACTGCCCCCATCCTTTCTTGTAACAAAGATAAACTGGTAAGCAGAACAAACTAATAAATCTATAATGTATGATAACACGTGTAGCATTCCTCATCCCTGGTCTGTTCCATCCTTTGCTAAGAGAGAGAGAATGTTCATTGTCAGTCAGTCTAGTCAATCTAGAATGGTTATTGTGGTCCTCAGAATCTGCTTTCTTTTAATGTTGCAGTCCTTAATATTTTTGTGATTATTATGTATGTACAGGTCTTTCCAAGTTTCTTCAAATTCCTAATTTGTTTTTTCTTATGGTTCAGTAATATCTGACTTTCATATACCACAATTAGTTCAGCTTTTTCTAAATGGTGAATATCTACTTTCCTGTTTTTGTTATCACAAAAAGTCTTGTTATAGTACTTTAGAAATTTATTGATGTCCTTTGTTTTTTTTATATCACCAAAATTTCCTCCAGTATTCATCCCTACTCCTTCTCCTCCCAAAAAATCACCCCATATAGTAGTATTTTTTTAAAGACAAAAAGAGAGAAAAAATCAGCAAAATTGATCAATAAATACAAAGTCTGAAAATATATGCAGCTTAACATAGTTGTGGGCTTTCCATCTCTGCAGAGGAGTGGGGGCATCTTCTTGTGTCTCTTATTTGGAGCTATGTAATTTTGTAATTGTAATTCTTTGTAATTTTGCAACATACAGTTTTGCTTTTGTTATTTTTTTTTTACATTCTTGTAGTCATCATATATAATTTTTTTGGCTCTTCACTTTCTCTCAGTTCATAGCTCTTTTCATTATTTTCCGTATTCAGTTGTTATTTCTTATAGCACAATAATATTCCATTTCATTTATGCACCACAGCTTGTTTGCAATTCTTTGCCATCACAAAAAGTGCTGAGTTAAATATTTTGGCATATGTAGTTGCTTTTTTCTTGTCAGTGGCCTCCTTCGAATGTAAACCTAATTGTGGAATCTCTGAGTCAAAGAATGTGGACTTTTTAGGCACTGTATTTACAAAATTCCAAATTACTTTCTAAAATAGTTGTACTCATTCATAGCTCCACCAACAGTATACTAGCATGTGTTTAATTTCCTACAGCTAATTGTACTTTTCACAGATTGTATTTTCCCCACATGTTGCATTGTGGTAAAGTACTTTATTCTGTGATGCCCTGTGGGGAGTCCCACTTTGTACTCGAAAAGGAATTGGGATTATCTAAGATTGAAGAGCAAAAAGCACAAAGACTACAGTCTACCATGCCTCTTTTGGTTCAACTATATGAAGCTATAGTTGCCTACCAATGCTAACTGTCCCTTTCCCTGTTTTCTTTTTCCTCCTCTTCCCAACATAAGGAGGAGGGGGGAAGAAAAACAAAACCCTTGTAACACATACATAGGCAAAAGAAATTCCCACATGGTCTTGTCAAAAAAAAATGTCTCATTTTGCATGGAGTCTATCACCTGGCTGTGGATGGATAGTATACTCACTCTGCATTAATTCATACAAATTTTCCCAAGTTTCTCTGAAACCATCCCTTTAATAATTGTATGTGGTTTAATAATATCCTTTTAATACAGTCGTATGTCCTAATATAGTTAGGCTATTCCCTTGTAGTTTCCAGTTTGCCATCATAAGAAATGCCTTTATAAATATTTTTGTACATATGTGTCTTAACTGGAAACAAAGCTGCTGATTAATTGGGGAATGTGTAAGTAAATTGTGGTACATTACTATAATGGAATATTACTGTGCTGCAAGAAACAATGAATATGAAAAAAACATGAAAAGATGTGAATTGACACAGAATAGTGAAGTTAAGAACCAGGAAAACAATAGATACTATCATTCCAACATAAACAGGAAGAAGAAAATGAAACAAAACACAGTGTTATTATAATGACCAAGAGCAGTGTTAAGAGGTTGTACTACTTTCTTTTATTAGAGGAATGCGGGACTCTGGATTTGGAATGTTGCCCATGCTATTAGATACAGCTGACATGTTGATTGGTTTTGAACCTTTGTTACAAGGAAAGGCTTACTTGGTTGGGGAGGGGGAGGAATATATTTAGAAATGAATGTGATTGTAAAAAATAAGTTAAAATGAAATAAAATTGACAGTCCTAATGAATAAATCAGATTGTAAAACTTTGTAAGTCAGTTATGCTAATACATTCAAGAATTAGAAGTTGGAATAAAAATATTAGTGGATTTTACAATATTATTAGTATAAATGTTGTATATTGGTAAACTGTATATAAAATAATAGCATGAAGCTAACAATTTCCTCTTTTTCTCCCACTTAGAAACCAGTGAGTGAGGGAGGCAGTAAAAAATCAGGCTCTGGGAGTTCTGGGAAAGGAGGAAACCAGCTGAGATGTCCAAAATGTGGTGATCTATGCACACATGTGGAGACTTTTGTGTGTAAGTATTAACATTGTTTTTAGTGTTCTTTTAGTGTTCTTTCCTCTTTTCTTCTTCTTTCCTCTTTCTTATTACCATTTCTGTAAATTAATTGCAGTGATTTTGAAACTAGAATTGTTTTCTTCCTTATTATACGTATTTCCTACATGATATTTAAAACAAGCAGTGTTGCAAATACTTAAAATTTATATTTGTCAAAGTAGTATAGAGCAGAGGTATCAAACTTCTACCTGCACCATGTTAAAATGTAATTGGCAAATATTTAACAAAATAAAATACAGTAAATAGATAATAATATAGTATATATAATATGTAAATAAATAACACAATAAATAAGTAAATGAAATGAAAATATAGTACCACTTAGATAATTTGTGACTTTCTTAGTCAATATGTGGTGAGTGGGGATCTGATTCTATTTGAATTTAACACCATTGGTATAGAAAATAGTTTTAGACCCTTGATTACTAACTTTATTTTTGTCTTTAGTATTTTTAATGTGTGGCATAAGACTTGGCTTAAAGTCAAGAATACATTTAAGTAGGTTTTAATTCACCAAGTAAGCATTATTGAATACTTCTGAGTACAAGGAAGGCAGTGATACATTCTAGGGGGTTGAGTGTATACAAAAAATGAGGAACTGATTGGAGCTCCCAAGGAATTTTAAATCTAGTAGGGGAGATATAAAGCATGTATGAAATAAAGTAGTTTGTAATAAGTGACATAAAGGTAATATAGAGAATAGGAGAATGAAGACATTGCTAATTAGTAAAAAAAAAATCCATATTGTACCATACCTTTATAAATAGTATTAGTTTTCCAAATCCAAAGGTGCTATTACTCGTGTTGTTTTCTGAGCCAAATGTCACATTTGCCAGCAGTACTTAAGCTAATGGCAGTGATTCAAAAAATTATTCAGAAGGCACTGCCCTACTCACCTTCTCCTTTTAATTGTTCCAGGTGAAAGAAGGTTGTCAAGCTTTTGAGTCTGTGATTATTAATTGGAAAAATAATTATAATGACCCCAACCTACCACACCCATTTTGAAATATACCTAGTTCCAAAATTCATATTTTGTAATTAGTTCGGATTGTCATTTTGAAACATTTAAAAGCATAAAATTCTTAAAAAATTATTTTTTACAATCTCAAAAAGACCCAGGCAGTAAAAAACCTCAGCCCAAAAATTGATGCTCACCTTTTTCTAAACCCGTGAAGGAAAATTGTGAGGAAACTAGACTAAGAAGTCATCTGTGCCCATGGATAATTTACTTAAACTTCTTGTGTTTTGGTATCTTCACCCAGAAAATAAGGTGGGAGAAGTTTAGATCTATAAGGACTCTTCTACAACTAATATTATGTGATTTTGCTTCTTGAGGTCGGTGTAAGAAGTTTGTGCTTTTGAGATTAGTGTGAGAAGAGTTTTTCTTCCTTTTATGATTTTTTTTTTTTTAGCGAGGCAGTTGGGGTTAAGTGACTTGCCCAGAGTCACACAGTTAGTAAGTGTCAAGTGTTTGGTCTGAGGTCAGATTTGAACGCAGGTCCTCCTGGCTTCAGGGCCAGTGCTCTATCCACTGCGCCACCTAGCTGCCCTCTTTTATGATTTTTAAAGGTATATTGTTATTCCTTGAAGAGATAGGGGAAAGAATCAGTATGAACGGATTAAAGCTAGGATTATTAGATTCAAAATTATTCAGTCTTTAATAGTAGTATTACATAGTTTGTGGTTGTTTTAACACCAGTATCTTTGTCTTAAAAGAAATTTCTAAGTTTCATGGACCTAGAAAATAGCTTGGTATTTTTAAAGTTAATTGCAAAGAAAATTCTACAAATGAATGGACATTGAATGTTAAATTAGATGTTCAGAAGACTATATTCCTAGATTCTTCCTTGAATTTTTAAAAATTAAATTTTGGACATTTCACTTTGAGTAAGTCTTACTCTTGTCCCAAATGACAGCTATTTATTTTGCTAAGTCCTATGGAATCTATAGTTGCTTGAGAAGTTGAGGAATCATGGTGTTTAGTTACATACTATTTAAACAAAGTGAATTTCATGTATATGTATTTACCTTTTGGTGTTCTAGTCAAAGTGAGAATTGGTATTTTGTGGGTAGCTGACTGTAAAGAATTACCAGAAGATTCCCTTGCTCAAAACTATCCCCTTTATATTTCCACCAATTGGAACTGCATTTGGGTAATAAACTCTTCTTCTGTGATAGAGATAGGGTTAAAATTTTTGTCTTTCACACCTCAGTGTCAAAGGAGGAGAATCAAGAAAAAAGGGAAGAGGAGAAAGGGCTCTCTTTATTTATAAGTATTCTTAAGAGAACTCTAGGACCCATACCATGTGAATGAATCCATAGTATGTTATGTATCATTATTTTAAATTGGAAATAAGATAATATGGGAATAGGCAACAACATGGAAGCACAGGAAGGGAAGTTATGAGTCAAAATTAAAGTGAAACTAAAGAATATTTAATACATAAAATTTATTTACATTTAAAATTTTTGACTAATAAAATGTATAGCTATTTTACTTAGAACATTGTTTAAATTTTTAAATATTCTAATTAGCATTGAAATCTGTTAACTATTTTTTAAAAGTCCCTGCAAAAACTTAAATTTTAGAAGGATAACTGCCTATGATGTGCCTTTCAGATTATTATTCTGTAGGAAATTTCAACCCTCTGAATTAAAAAACAGTTATTTTATCTTATTCACTCAATAGAAATCTTATTTTCTCTTTCTACTTCCCCTTATCATTGGGGGAAAAAAAGAAAAACAAAACCCTTTTAACAGATACATGTAGTCAAGCCAAACAAATTCCATCATTGACCTTGTCTAAAAATATGGGTTTCAATCTGTGCCCAATTCTGTCACCTTTCTTTCTGGAAGTGGACAGCATGATACTTCATTAGGATCCCTTGAAATTCTTAAAGCTTGACCTAAAATATTAAAATATGGATGTCCTCTTTGGAAAAAGGAATGCACTGTTCAGAAGTTTTGAAGTTGTCTTCCCAATTTGACACAGAAGAAGCCCTGCTGAGTTAGCACTTCTTGATTCAGTTCAGTTCAGTTTACTAAATGCCTACTCTCTGCTCCATGCAAGACACTCCTCTATTGGATCACAGGGATGAACAGCCAACAAAATCCCAGGATTCTTGGGGCTTATAAATAACTTTATGGCGGGCGAGGCCAGGGTGACTAAGTTAATGTATAATTTCCTGAAATAATTTTTCTTTCTTTTTTAAAAATTTAATCCCTTTGAAACTTTTGGTTGATTTGGAGCTCTCCTTAGTGGCTTCTGATAGAAAGTTCATAATTGTTGGAAATTTCAATAAAGAAATCTTCAGGCAATATCTGACAAACATGTGCAGCCTTGTTCTGTCTTTGGTGCTGTAGAAAACTGCATGATGGTTTTTAGAGAAAGAAGGCCTTCAAAATAGGCAAGAAATTCAAGATTTTCATCATGTTGAGTTTTATTATCGAATATAAAATACTTGGGAAATCATTTCAAGGAATATACTTTTACGTTTTATAAAATCATTAATGAATTTCTGATTCAAAATTTTAATATATTTATGAGATGTTAAAACTTGTCACCCTTCCTTAAGTATTGTGTTAGTTAAACAAAAAATTTCATTTTGATATGTAAAGTTTAAGGATTTATTCTATGATGTATAAGTGCTGGTAAAGGGAGGGGGTACCAGGAAAACAAGTTCAAGTGAAACATGCAAAATCTATTCCTTCTCTGTTATGTTGGATATATTTTAAAATCCAGCTCAATGTCACTCTAGTTCAGGTAAAAATCAAGAAATCTCTTGATACTAAACGGTTGTGTCATACTGGCAATGCTTTCCCTTTGACCTAGTTTCCCTTAGGGAGGGATATTTTACTCTTGCATTCTTGGGCAGGAAGGATTTTTTTTATCACATCTGAAAGTAGGAGAAACTCTAGTTTTTAATTCTTTTTTTTATATAAATTTATTTATTTGTAGTTTTCAACATTCATTTCCACAAGTTTTTGAGTTCCAAATTTTCAACCCATCTCACCCTCCCCCCACCCAAGATGGCATGCATTCTGAATATCCCTTCCCCTAGTCTGTCCTCTTTTCTTTCTCTCCCCCCTACTTTTATCCCCTTCCCCTTCTGTTTTCCCATAGGGCAGGATAGACTTCTGTACCCATGTCCTGTATTTCTTATTTCCCAATGGCATGTGAAAACTTTTTTTTTTAAACATGCTTCTGAAACTTTAGGTTTCAAATTTTTTGTCTTCCTCCCTCCCCACCCACCCTCACCGAAAAGGCAAGCAACTCAACACAGGCCGTACATGTGCAGTTATGCAGAGCACTACCATAAGCAGACATGTTGTGAAAAACTAACTCTATTTCCCTCAATCATATTCTGCCCTCCCATTTATTCCACTCTTTCCCTTGACCCTGTTCCTCCTCAGAAGTACCTACCCCTGATCACACCCTTTCCCAATCTGCCCTCCTCTCCATCATCCCCCTGCTCTCTTATCCCCCTCTTCCCCCACTTTCCTGTAGGGTAAGACAAACCTCCATACCCAATTGAATGTGCATGTTATTCCCTTCTTAAGCCAGATCCCATGAGAATAAGATTTACTCATTCCCTCTCACCTTCCCCCGCTTCCCCTCCACTGCAAGAACTTTTCCCCTCTGTTTTTTCTTTGTGAGATAGTTTACTCCATTCCACCTCTCCCTTTCTTCCTCTCCGAGCACAATCCTCCCTCATTCCCCAATTTCGTTCTCCAGATATGACCCCCTAATCTTCAACTCACCCTGTGCCATCTGTCTGTCTGTCTGTCTATCTATCTATCTATCTATATCTATCTATCTGTCTGTCTTTCTGTCTGTCTATCTATCTATCTACCTATCTACATACATATAATTTTTTTCCTCCAACTACCCTAATAGTGACAAAGGTCTCATGAGTTATAAATACCATCCTTCCGTGCAGGAATGTAAACAGCTCAATCTTAACAAGTCTCTTATGATTTCTCTTTCCTGTTTACCTCTTCATGTTCCACCTGAGTCCTGTATTTGAAAGTCAGATTTTCTATTCAGCTCTGGTCCTTTCATCAGGAATACTTGAAAGTCCTCCACCTCACCGAATGACCACTTTTTCCCCTGAAGGACCACACTCAGCCTTGCTGGGTAGGTGATTCCTGGCTGCAATCCCATCTCCTTTGCCCTCCGGAATATTATATTCCATGCCCTGCGGTCCTTCAATGTACAAGCTGCTAAATCTTGTGTTACCCTGATTGTATTTCCACAGTACTTGAATTGTTTCCCTCTGGCAGCTTGTAAGATTTTCTCCTTGACCTGGGAACTCTGGAATTTGGCTGTTATATTCCTAGGAGTTTTCCCTTGGGGATCTCCCTCAGGAAGAGATCCATGGATTCCTTCAATCTCTACTTTGCCCCCTGGTTCTAATATATCAGGGCAGTTTTCCTTGATAATTTCTTGAAAGATGATGTCTAGGCTCCTTCCTTGATCATCATGGCTTTCAGATAGTCCAATAATTTTTAAATTCTCTGTCCTGGATCTATTTTCCAGGTCAGTTGTTTTTCCAATGAGATATTTCACATTGTTTTCTAATTTTTCATTCTTTTGGATTTGTTTTACAGTGTCCTGATTTCTCATAAAGTCACTATCTTCCAATTGCTCTATTCTAATTCTTAAGGAAGTATTTTCTTCAGTAGTCTTTTGGACTTCCTTTTCCATTTGGCCAATTTTTCTTTCCAGGGCATTTTTCTCCTCATTGGCTTTTTGGACCTCTTTTGCCATTTGGGCTAGGCTATTTTTTAAGGTGTTAATTTCTTCAGTATTTTTTTGGGTCTCTTTTAGCAAGCTGTTGACTTGTTTTTCATGATTTTCCTTCATCACTCTCATTTCTCCTCCCAGTCCTTCCTCTGCTTCCCCTACTTGCCTCTTAAAATCCCTTCTGAGCTCCTCCAAGGCCTGGGACTGATTCACATCTTTCCTGGAGGCTTTGGATGTAGGAGCTCCAACCCTGCTGTCTTCTTCTGGTTGCACATTTTGATCCTCCTTGTTACCAAAGCAAGATAATATAGTCTGACTCTTTCTGCGCTGCCCGCTCACGATCCAACCACTTTTGTTCCAAACTCTTTGCCAAGGTAAGAGTCTGCTTCCAGTGTGGAGAATGCACTGTCCCAAGCTCAGGGGTTTGTACAGCTGTTTTCAGAGATACTTGGAGGGACCTGTAAATTTTCAGTTCTCACAGGGTGGTATGATAAGGGGCGAGGTGTTTACTCCCCTCCTGGCCTGTGACCACAAGTATTCCTTTCTGTCCGGTAACTGTGAGGCGGGGTTCCTCTCCACAGCCACTACAAGCTCCACCAGGCCAGCGTTCCTCCTCACCCCAGCACTGCCACCCAGAACTGTGACCCAGATCCAAACACGGGCAAAGCAAGAGATTCCTGCCTCAGCACTGGCAAAGAGATCCCTGCAGTCCCTCTCTGATCAGCCACTGGATTCCCCCTCAGTCTGGGGGCCAGAAGCTCGGGAAGCAGCCGCCCCCCCCCCAGGGCCACGCTTTTGGGGAATGGAGCTGAAACCCTGCCTTCCCCCCTCAGCACCGACAGAAACAGACTTTTCCCACTGACCCTCTAAGCTGTCTTTGGCATTGGTGGATTGAGAAGTCTGGAAACCTCCACAGCTGCCCATGATTCACTCCTCCAAGGCCTGCCTCAGGTTCACTGAGGCCTGCACACCCACTCTTCACTGCACTGCGCTCCCAGTCTGGTGCGATAGACCTTTCTGATCAATCATCCAGGCTGTCTTGGGCTGGAAATCCGCCCCACTCCGTCTCTGTGGATTCTGCCACCCCAGAATTCGTCCAGAGCCATTCCCCATGAGCATTTGGAGGGGCCCGGAGGAGAGCTCAAGCAAGTCACTGCCTTCACTCTGCCATCTTGGCTCTGCCCCCCCAGTTTTTAATTCTTGGCATTGGTTACCTTCTAAACCTTTTGTAAATAGGTGCTTCCTTACAAGATGAGGACAGCTGCCCTTTGGAAAAGTTGTTAGAAATTTGGAAAAGGGTTATGTGCAGACTTGGTTGGCTTTTCTTTTATTAAATAGCTACTCAGTTCTCACGTTGACATTTAAAAAAGAAGTAGAAGATGAATAATCCATTTTCCTAATTTGCCACTGAAAATGTATTAAATATATGAAAGATAAATTTTGAAAGTTATCTTGAATCTAAAAATGAAAACATAAACCAAAATTGCATTACTATGAACATTTGTTTTCTAAATTTGGAAGCTTTGCCTTTATCATATGTTCCTTTGAATTATTATGTGAATATGTAGGTGTGTTTGCTAATACATTTACCCCTAAAATATGCAATGTAGATATTAATAAAGATAAGTTTGTATTTGTAGCTTTCCTAAAAGGAAAACAATTCCTTGTAGTTTTCTAGAATTTGTCAGTATTGGCATTTGTTACAGTATTATAGAAAGACACTAAGAAAAAGTAAAATTATTATTATCCAGTTGTCAGTAACATTGGTGGTCTTGAGGCCCTAGAGACCACCAAAACAAGAATTGAGTGGAGAGAGAAGAGGGCATGGAAGGGATAAAAGCATTTGGGTTTCTGACTACATTCTAAAACCATGTAGACAAACACTGATTTAGTCATTGCTTTAGGTTATCTATTCCTGCTTTCTTTTAATGTGAACAGAATTGTTGATTTTGTCTTTCTAAGGAACTGTAGTCCCATAGCTTAGGGCACTATATGTCAATGGCTTATTGTTTAGAACTGAGAAAGCTTTTCCATCCTTCCTGGTTTGTCCTTATTGGCTTGTAAAGCTCATCAGCTTGATTTTTTTTTTTTAAATCACATACAATTGGGTGATATACTTGGCCCACGTATTGCACTGTCTTATTCATACGTGGTATTTACATTTATATATTTCTTCTTGTTACTCTAGTTATTTTATTTCATGAGTTTCCCTCTTGTAAACAAAGTGATTTTAGGCTAAAAGAAGAATTAGTAATTGAATAGTGAAGTAAATATTGAAATAATTGTGATTATTTAAAGTTAGATAATTTATAAATGTTCACATTTGACCTCCTGGATTGTATGTCTTTTGCATTTTTACAGGTGAAATGAACTTTATCTGTACTTTGCTACTTTAAAAATTTGACAACTTTGGAATTTCATCAGCATCTGAGTAGTTAATGTTAGTTATTTGACAAAATGCCTGGTCCTAGTGACTTAATTTCAGCTTTCTACAAACTGCCACCACCACAGTATATTACATTATTTCAGCACAAATATGCCTTTTCTTTTCTATTTATTTCCTCTAAATGATTTTATTAATTTAACATAATTTTTGGAGAAAAGACTGGCCAAGATTTAACATGGCTTCATATTAACTCAACCTATCTATTTTTATAGTTCGTTTAGTGTTACCTTGCACTAATAATTTTTTGTTGTAGGCCTTTTTGCTGCTAGTGAGTGGGCTATCAGGGCACTCTTGGTCAGGGGTATAGCTTTCATTTATATTGAGTCCATAAGGTAAAATAATTGCTACTTGAATAATTTCTCTTTTATTTGCCCCTGTTCACTTTTTTTCTTTCACAGCTTCCACCCGATTTGTGAAGTGTGAAAAATGTCATCATTTTTTTGTTGTGCTATCTGAAGCCGACTCAAAGAAAAGCATAATTAAAGAGCCTGAATCAGCAGCAGAAGCTGTAAAATTGGCATTCCAACAGAAACCACCTCCTCCCCCCAAAAAGGTATAGGTCTTAGTTTAATCTTTGTAAGCATTCTTTCCTTAAAATACTCCATCCCCTCCCCCCCCAATAAATTCTAAGTCCGTAGTGAATTCTAATCTTTAATAGTGATAAAACATAGATAAGACTCCAAACCTTGGTATAGTGATCTGAAATATTGTAGATATTTAGTGTTTAACTTTTAGATAGAGAAATTATCTGCTTTTTGTGATCGTATCATACTTGCTGCATTGATTTGTAATTTTAATGTTTTTTTCCTTTTAAATACTAATAAAAAGCAAAAAATATTCAGATATTATTAAAGTAGCTTTAAATAAAAAATTACATGGTCCTTAATGAGCAGCAGCTATAATCATTTTTGTGTTAGTTTTAGCCTGTGTACCAAAATAAATCAGCATGCTATTATGACTTTCCCCTTTTAAACAGTGGGAATGAAATACTGTATTTCACATGTCTACAAATCTGCACTTTAAACTATGTACAGAAACTATTCCTTGGTCAAGGTGCCTGGTCTCACTGGTGTCCTACTGTATTTTCTTGTAGTGCTGGTGGTAACTAGTTTTGACTGTGGAATGACCTGGCCCTTTCATGGAGAGCCTAGAGCCCTTGTCATTGACTGGGTGCCTCCTGCTCAGGCTTTTCGCAGGCAGCACCCAGACTGAGAATCTCCCTTCCTTCTACCACAGGGTGACTTCTTTCATTTCCAGCTTGTTTTCTCATTATGCTTCTACTTTTTCTATCCCTCCCCCCACCCCTTTTCTTCACCTTCCCTCATCATTTAGTTTTTATAAGTGAGCTTAGGGATTCCCCTATTCAGGTGTGTTTTGACAGATTTACTTGATTTATAGATGTGATGTGTGTGTGTGTGTGTGTTAGATAAATGAAAAGTGTAGAAAAGAATTGTACTAAAATGTGTATTGTGAACTTAGAAACTGTCTGTGTAAAATAACAAAATAGGAAAAAGTAGCCTTTAAGATTATCTTGTGCTACTCTGTGTGGAATCTAGGCATCTATTTTCAGATGACACTTTAGAAAATATGTAGATGATCATTTTTAAAGGGTATAGTCCTACTCAAAAGGCTGAAGAAACTTTTTGCCTTTATGCCCTAAGCTATTGATATAAAAATAGAATTGAATCTCTTAATTACTTGTCATTCCACAGAGCCATAACATCTGGCTAAATTTTTCATCATGTCTGTCAAATTTTAAATGTATCTGATTTATATTTATATTTATATGTTATGAACATTGTGATTATTTGATAGTTATATAATACCTTTTTCTGAAAAGGTAAACCTTGGTTCTAGTTCTTATCTCTGTCTTTGTGAAGAAGGTAAGAGTTCATATGATTAAGTTGGAAAATTTATTGATCAACAGTGAGAAAAACTGTTTTGATACTCATTTATATTGTGGGTCTTAAAATGTTTTTGTTTATGTTGACATCTTTGTTTTTTGTGCTAGAGACAGACAAAGCACAAGTAATAAAAGTGCAAAGTACCTTTAAAAACATAAAGTTGAGCTTCTCTTTATTAAGAATTTTGTGCTTCTGAATTAGTTAACTAAGTCAGCATTTATTGCCTGCTGTGTGCCAGGCTCTGTGGTCTACAGATGCAAAGAAGGGATCGCTCCTGCTGTATTTCATTTCTTAGCATCTTAGTTCAAATTTCTTCAAAGTAAAATATGCTTGATATTTTTTGTGTTATACCTTTGTTAAGTAAATTCTGATAATTTTTTTCATTCCTAATCATTTTCCCTCCAGATTTATAACTACCTCGACAAATATGTTGTTGGTCAGTCGTTTGCCAAGAAAGTGCTTTCAGTTGCTGTGTACAATCATTACAAGAGAATTTATAATAATATCCCAGCCAACCTGAGGCAGCAAGCGGAAGTTGAGAAGCAGACATCATTAACTCCTAGAGGTTAGTGTTCTTGGTAATTTTTATAATGTAGTTTCACCATTTAGGAGGTAGTAGCTGTTTTTCCCTTTTGTCTTTTCTGAGTTCTTTTGCTATGGAGATGTGGAATTTTTTTGAGATTCAATTTTATGACAGTTATTTTGATATTTTGGAAGAATTTGCATCCATGGCTCACTTAGTTGTCATTATAAATGGTAAATTGTGATACCACAAACAGCTATCGTCTTGACATATTATGGACAATGACATAGTCAATAAAAAAAGTTTGATAAATACAGTAATTTTAAGTAGCAGGAACTAGTGACTGCTACAACTTTTTATTAAACATGTGTGACCATAGTATTTAAGGATGACTTACAGTGACTGAATATGGAACTGATTAAGTGAGGCTGCATCTTGAACATATTACAAAATAGCTCTACAGTAGAATCAGTTACTTTATTTTTAGAAGGCAGTGTGAGGTAATGGAAGAACTGGTATCTTTATTTTATTTATTTATAATACAGCACAAAATAGCAATGTACACACATAACATGTCTGTTTGTTAAAAGTTCGAATTTCTAGTAGGTGACAAATCTAAGATATCACCTAAGTATAATACTGTGAGGATAAAGTATTTGAATCTTGTTATCAAATGGTAACCATCAATAAACTCAAACATACAATAATAGGAATTTTAAAAGTTGGTACACGAAACTATAAATTTTCATTATTTGCACTTTGTTTAAAGACAGTATTTATTTTATTAATGGTAATAAGAGCACTCTTTTTCCATGTCCCCTTTGAATTTTTTATTTTGTGTGTTTTTTCTGATTTCTGTTGCTATTATCATTTACATAGTTATAGTCACGGTGTTGTTTTTGGCTCAGCTTTCTTTATTTTGCATCACTTGAACTGAGAAAAAGAAAGTAAGCTTTCTTTTTTGTTTTTATATTTGTCACATATAGTACAACAGAGAAGTCAGTATGGCATCTCAATAAACAAGTATTTATTAAGCTCCCTACTGTATAATAGGTACTAGGTTAGGTTCTATGGATACAGAGATTATATAATCCCTGCTCCCAAGGACCTTTTCCCAATCTTTCTTTTTTATTCTGGATGCATTGCCTTTTGTTGTATACAATCTCATATGTAAAAGCTATTTGTTTTGCATCCTGTAATTTCTTCTTTTTGTTGCATAACTAAGAATTTTCTGTCTCTCAGTGTGTCATAGGCATAATAGTCTATTATCTTCTTATTAAAAAAAATTTTAAAAATAGATCATCTAGTTATAATATATTGGTATATAGTATGTCATGTAGATGTGATCTTCTTTTCTGCTGTACTACTATCCAGTTTTTCAGAATTTTATTGGAAAATTTTTCTTTTCCCAGTGTTTTGCTGTTTTAAAGATTTAGCAAAAATTGGTTTGTTGTAAACTTTTGATCCTAGTTCAGGATTGGTTAATCTAATTATTTATTAATTTTTCCAGATGGTTTTAAAATTACTGCTTTATAATGTAATTCAAGACCTGTTGATGCAAATCTTCCCTCTTTTTTTCTTCATGATTTCCCTTAATCTTCTGTTATTCCAAATAATTTGTCATCCCCCTTTCTGATTCTATGAAACAGCCATTGGCATTATGATTACTATTGCATTAAACCGTAAGCTCATTTGGATAATGTTGTTCAAATAGTATACATTCAGTAATTCTCTACATTTATTTGTTTTTGCTCTGTTTCTGTAAAAATTGTTTTCTAGTTTTTTTATAGATCTTATTTCTGTATGTCCTGATAGGCTAATCTATCTATCTATCTATCTATCTATCTATCTATCTATCTATCTCTTATGTATTTTGTTATTATTTTAAATTATATTTAAAATATAAAAAATAAAGCATGTAAGTTTTTTAAAAGGTAAAACTCGAAAGAAATTTTATTAATAAACAGTTTTTCTTTTAGTATAATCAGAAGAGGGAAGGGGGTAGGATTTTTTTTTAACCTCCACCCTGCAAAGCAAATACATAATATTTTTATGTCAAGTCAGCTAGCATTTATTGAACACTTACTGTATGCTAAGTTCTGAGGATACAAAGAAAGACAAAAGACAGTAGTCCCTGCCCTCAGGTCATTGATACTCTAATGGGGGAGACAACATTGCAAACAGCTGTGTACAAACAAGCTATATACAGAATAAATTGGAGGTATTCTCATGGGGAAGGCACTAAGATTAATAAGGGCTAGGAATGGTTTCTTGTAGAAAGCGGCACTTTAGCTGAGACTTGAAGGAAGCCAGGGAAGGTAAGAGGTGGCATGAGAGCTAGTGAGAATGGCCTTTGCTTGGTAGAGGGAGTGTCGTGTGTAAGGAACAGTAGAGGTCCAGTGTCACCAGATTAGAGTGCATGGTGGGGGGGAGTAAGAAGTATGGAAACGTAGGAAGGGGCAAAGTTATAAAGGGCTATAAAAGCCAGAGGATTTTATATTTGATCCTAGAGGTGGTAGAGAACCACTGGAGTTTATTGAATGGAGGTGGTGGGGTGACATGGTTAGACCCGAGTTTAAGGATGATCAGTTTGACAGCTGAGTGTGGAAAGACCTGAGGCAGGGAGACCATCCAGCAGGCTACTGCAGAAGTCTAGTGAGGTAGTGAAGGTCTATACCATGTTGTAGAGTCACAGGAGAAAAGGGGATACATGTGGAGATGTTTTGAGGATAGAAATGACAAGACCTCATAACTGATAGATCAAAAGTATCAATATTTAAGCATTTAAGGAATCAGTGGAACTATTTTGTTTTGGTAACACACTGGGGAAAAATCAACTGATTAGAGAACTTAAATTTTTTTTTAACAAGTTTCACTAGGATTGCTAACTCTATGTTCAGAATTTAAAGTCCTGGTCAGGGAATCTCTCTAGGGGTCCCCGCAAATGCAAAGAGCCCATTTTTATACCCAAGAAGGGCCCATATGTAACAGTGATATAACAGTGATTATTTGGCTGTTTTATTTCTCTCTTAGAATTAGAGATAAGAAGGCGGGAGGATGAATACAGATTTACAAGTAAGTGACTTCTCAGGTCCTCCTCTGTATTACATTATTCCTTTAAATTTTGCTTTAGTGAAATATTTCAGTAGTAATGATAGGACTCTGTTTGCATGTATATCTTTGAGAAAACTTGCTGCCTTCTACATGTGTTTACTCTGTATGAAATATACAAATCTGGGAAAGTTTTTTCAGCTTTAGTTTGTAGTTTGCTTTACCAAGCTCTATCTGGTACTCTTAGCTCCTTTCTGTTGTGATTCTTTTTCATATGCAGAATAATATTCAGCAATATTTCTATGTAAATAATTTTGTCATTGCGTATTCACTTTATAATTTATGGGTGTCCTGTTTGTCAGATTACAAAAAATAAACTACTCGGCTGCAGATAGGACTCACTTATTAATGATAAAAGAGCATCATAGGGCCAGTTATCTTGTAGTTAGTTGCTTTTGGTCATTTTGTCCATTTTAATGTATTTGCAAAGCATTTTACTTGAGGGCACTTAGGAAATTTAAAATGACCGCTCCAATTAATTTCTGTTCAATAAACATTAAACACCTACTATGTGGGCATTGTATTAGGAGCTTGAAAAAATAACAGAAAAAAAACCATCCATTGTCATATAATCTCACGATAGCCACAGAGAGTAGATATGACAGATGTTTTAGCACCACTTTCGATGATGGAAACCGAGGCCCAGAGACGTTATGTTTAAGTGACTTGTTCATTTTCACATGCTTCCTTATTTTGGTCACTCTTCTTTGGAAGTTCTCTAGCTTGTCATTGTCCTTCCTAAAATGTAGCTTCCAGAATTAACTATGTTTCTTGAGTAGTTTGACCAGGAGAAGAGCATAGTATGGTGAGATTATCACCTTTCTTGTTCTGGCTACTCTGCTGCCTCTGTTAATGCATCCTTAAAGTCACATTTGCCTTTTTGGCTGCCACATCACATAGTTGATTCGTTTTGATCTAAAACTTATATCTTTTCCACATGTCTAGCTAGGCTTTTCCTATCCCTTACTTTAGAAGCTGATTTTTTTTTAAATTTAATTTGCTAGGCAGTGGGGTTAAGTGACTTGCCCAGGGTCACACAGCTAGTAAGTGTTACGTATCTGAGGCTGGATTTGAACTTAGGTCCTCCTGAATCCAGGGCCAGTGCTCTATCCACTGCATCACCTAGCTGCCCCCTGGTTTTTTTTTAAACTCCAAATGTAAGACTTTATACTTATCCTATTTAAATGTCGTTTTATTAGATTCTTATCTTTATTCTAGGTTTTTTTTGGATCCTAATTTTGTTATCGAATAGGGTCATTGCCCTTTCTGCTGGGAAAAACTGTTACGTGTTAGAGTCAGAAAGCCCAAGTTTAACCCAGGTCCCAGACTCTCAGACTCAGTTTCTCCCTATGAAAAATTGATATTTATCCTGTCTACCTCACAAGTCTGTTGTGAGAATCAAATGAGATAATGGATACAAAGTGATTGGTAAATTATTGTGTAAATGTCACTTCTTGATACCAGAAAGGAGCTTAAAAACCAGGAAGATGTAGATTCAAATACTAACTGTATGACTCTGAGCCAAGTCTCTTAGCCTCCAGTGACCCAGATAAACCCCCCAAGACAGTTGATTTCTTAGAAAGTGCTGATCTGTATTGGGTGAGGGTCTTATCCCATGTGTAGTCATGCAAACAGGAGCAAACCTACCTCTAGACCTGAAGACCTATGTTATTTGTGCCAGGCCACTTATCTGTGTATTTTAGTTTTTCAGTCAGCCTCTGGCTGGTATTTTTCACTTCACCATTTAATAGGGATGATGGCAAAATTAATTAGAAAAATAGTTAATTTTCTTGGCTTGAAGTGTATCTTATAAAAAGGTTTTGTGATATTACCTTTGTCTTAATACAGCACAAAGCATTTTTGCAGGTTAAATAAAATCTCACGTCAGCATAATTCTTTTGGCACTTGACTTTAGGGGGGTGTGGGGGGGGTATAACAATAAGTGAAACTGTCCTCGGTATATTTTCAGAATTGCTTCAGATTGCTGGCATTAGTCCACATGGTAATGCTCTAGGAGCATCAATGCAGCAACAGGTGAATCAGCAAATACCTCAGGAAAAACGGGGAGGTGAAGTCCTAGATTCTGCCCATGATGACATAAAGCTGGAAAAAAGTAACATTTTGCTTTTGGGACCAACTGGGTCAGGTAAGTAACTCAAACATTTTCCTCTTCCTTGAGAAAATATTGTATTATATATAGCAAGGGTAGGTTTAGGATTTGTTTTTGATACCCTTCTTTGTAGGGTTGTGGTTCTTTAGAAGGAAGTCTAAAGGATCAGTCTTACCATAAGTTGTCAGCTTCATGTAGGCTTCATGCTCAGCAGTGGGCCTGGCGTTGCTCCCTTGGAGGCTAGCACAGGAGTGTGGACATCTTTGATTTGTAAAAGTCCTTAAATTAGAGGAATGAAAGAGCCAGGAACGGGGTTGGAGAGGAGTTGGGGACTTCAGCAGAGGGACCACTTGGCTCAGTGCTCAGACAACTGCTGCCAGTCACTGGCACATCTTTGAAACTCCTGGGTGCCCTGCACTAGACTAAAGTGCTCGGGATACAAAGAGAGGCAAGAGACTGGCCTTGCCCTCAGGAAGCTCACAGTTCAATGGTGGAGAAGCAGCACAATGACTATATTCCACCCAGAATTCAGTTTTGAGTTTTGCTGTATTTCCAAAGCATGTGCCAGTATAGGTCCAGCAGAACTCTTGGTTATTGTTTCTATTTGTAGGTAAAACGTTGCTGGCCCAGACTCTAGCTAAATGCCTTGATGTACCTTTCGCTATCTGTGACTGTACTACCTTGACTCAGGCGGGATATGTTGGTGAAGATATTGAATCTGTGATTGCCAAATTGCTACAAGATGCCAATTATAATGTAGAAAAAGCACAACAAGGTATGTCTCTCTAGAATTACGTCCCCTAATTGACACCATGTAGAAATAAAGCTACTGAAGCAATTGTGTTGGGGTATTTGAATGCTGGCTTTTGTTTTGGTTTGAGAAATAAAATCCTCTAAATGTTAAGAAGTGTATATTTTGTCATGTAATCCACCACACCCAGTGTGCTCCAGAAAAGTCTACCCCAAAAGGAAGTTGGTAAGCTGACGGTATAGGTGGAAGAGGGGCCAGATGACTCAGCCATCCAGGAACCCCCAGCTTGTTATTGCCAGGCTCTGTCTGCCACTCACATCGCTGCCAATGTCATGGGGCTAAAACAGAGCAACTACTTAGGGGCACAAATGCTTATTGGTTGATGTGTGGACTTTTACTCTAATTGGAGACAAAGGAACAATAGAAGTAGCCTTGTACAAGATCCTGTGTATAGCTGCTGCGCCATGTCCCGTCTTTTCTCCCTGTCATCATACTCCCTGTTTCCAGTCTTAAAGACAGAACCGGCACATCATTTCCTTCCCTCCCCCTGCCTGCATTTCTCTGGGGCATTAGCACAAGCATATAAGCCCAATAGAAGTGAGAAAGGCCTGCCAGGACAGATTCTTTTCCAAGATTCTTCTCAGGAGAAAGAACTGGAAACCTTTAGCATGAGTTAGAGACACACACACATTCCTGGGAGAAAATATGAATAGGGTGTAGTTATCTGATAACACTGTAAATTATAAGGCATGAAAAAGATGAGTGGGGTAAACAGTGTGTCTGTGTAATAACAAATAAATGCATACGTTAAAGCATAGCATTTAATAAGCTTACTTTCATTACTTAATATTTTAAGGATGAGGTTATTGTATGTATTTCATATTTCATATTATAAATAGAATCCTCCTTAAATTATAGGAATTGTCTTTCTGGATGAAGTAGATAAGATTGGCAGTGTGCCAGGCATTCATCAGTTACGGGATGTAGGTGGAGAAGGCGTTCAGCAAGTAAGCAGTTGAATATTTTGTTCAAGCCCACTAAAAAGAAGGGAATACATCAACTTCCCAGATATTGTACGTTTGGTTTGACATTCAATTAGAGTCCATATTATTCCTGCTGTCTCCACAATAAACTTCATGTGTAATCTTGCAAAATCCTAGAGTTTACAGAAAGTTATTTTGAATGCTTAAATACCATACTACTGAGAATTCAGGTTATTTCAAAGGGAAAAGATGAATTTTGGTTTTCAGCGTCATTTTTCCAAAGCCCTTAAATTAAGCTTCAGTGACATTTGAGAAAGGACTTTCTCACAAATTATACCTGTTTAGAGAGAGTTCTATTATTTTTACACATGCATAAATTTGTCTGTTTCTTTTTGCTTTATACTTAGTTAGAAGACGTGTTTTAAATAGTTCTATTAATTTTTAAAGAGTTCTTTGTAGAGTAAGAAGTGAAATCATCTGTGAAGTGTCTTCAAGTCTCTTGACTCTCAGTTTTGTGTTCCTTGCATTATCTTTGCTACAGTAATCAGCCAATTCGGTTTATGATTTTGAGCAAGGAATAAACAGCAGAAATGCATAAATAAAAGCAAAATAGATATTTTTCCATCATTTAATTTTTTAATAAGCTTGGTCTCAAATTTTAGTGTAGGTGAGGGGAATGTTTTTGTTCTTATATGTTGAAGCATTGTTAAACTATAACATCATTTGATTTCTTTCATCTATTTAATATTCAAAAAATATAAGCCCCCTGAACTTTATTCTCCCAGAAAAATAAAAATAACAAATTGTAACAGATAAGCACAGACAGGCAAAACATTCTCATATTGGTCATGTCTAAAAATGTCTTCCTCAGTCTGTATATTAGCACATCATTTTTCTAATAGTAGGTGGGTGTCATTTTTATCATCAGTCTTCTGGAATCTAATTGACTATTGCTTTGAATGGAGTTCTTAAGTTTAAAGGATACTTCTTAATTAAAATGCCCCTTTTTTTGAGGGCTGGGGAAAGGAATACAGGCCATAAGCAGCACCTCAGAAAAACTTCATAAATTCTGAGTTGAGTAACTAGCTCCTCCCTAGTCTGAGGCATAGGGAGAGATATGATCACACTTTTAAATGTACTGAATATTGTAAAATTGTTTTTAAGTAGACATATTTTATGAAAGGTTTCCCAGGACCTAAGGAATCTCAGTGTTTAACACTAGGAATACAAAAAGGCCTTTTAATTATGTTAAAGGCAAATTAAAATTTATTTACCTGAAGATTTTCTAATCTTATGTGCAACTTACCTCCATAGAAATAAATAGTAGTAATAAATTTTGAAAAACTTGATCACATGAGCCAAGAAATTCAAATTGATTTCTTGAGTAACAGGGTCTTGCAATACTTGAGAAAGAAATGAACAACAGATTATAATTTATATTTTACATTTTTTTGTTGAGTGTGAAAATTGGGGATTTTTTGTTTGTTAATCTATTAGTATCTGTCTGCTTTTTCCTCTTTGAGAAAAGCAGTTTCAGTTTTTCTTTTTCCCCCTATCCTCTAATGTACTATTATATGGTGTTATATGCTTGTCATTTTTTTCTTTAGGGTTTGTTAAAACTGTTAGAAGGTACAATAGTCAATGTTCCAGAAAAGAATTCCCGTAAACTTCGTGGAGAAACAGTGCAAGTTGATACAACAAACATATTGTTTGTTGCATCTGGTGCTTTTAATGGCTTAGACAGAATAATCAGCAGGAGGAAAAATGAGAAGGTGAGCTTTGGCTTAATAAAATGAGATCATTAGTAATTATTACTATTAAAATGATTTATTTTACTTGGTCTAGTAATTAAACATGTCCAAAACTGAATTCATCATCTTCCTCCCCCAATCTACCACCTCTTCAAAACTTTTTTGTTGAGAGCATCATGTAGGTTCCCAGCCTCAGAGTTAACTTTGACCCTTTACCCTCCTCACTTCATATGTACAGTAAGCAGCCAAGTCTCGTCAGTGTTATCACCACTGCATGTCTAACATTCATTTCTTTGTTTGTGTTCACTTAGCTATCATTGTAGTTCAAATCTTTATCACCTCTTGCAGCAGCAGCCTCCTCACTTATCTCTCTGCCTCAAGTCTCTCTCCACTTCAGTCCCATCTTCCACATAGCCACCAAAGTGATATTCATGAAACATGAGTCTTATGTGTCACTTCTCTACTTTAAACCTCAATGTTTTCCTGTTACTTCAAGGGTTAAATACAGATGTCTCTGGCATTTTGAGGTTTTCCTGATCATCTCTTCCACATTTATTTGTGCTTCCCCATGCCCCCAGTAACTTGTGTTTGTGGGGTTTTTTTTCATATTTTTGCATATACTTATTTGTACATGTTGTCTTCCCCAATACATTATAAGATTCTTGAGGGCAGAGACAGTTTGACTTTTGTCTTTGTGTCCCCAGCAAAGGATAGTGTCTGGGAGTAGTAGGTACTTGTTCATCCTTCATACTCAGAGGACAAATGACAAATGTTGGGGTCAAAGTACAAGTGTGTTCAGCTGTGGCTGATCAGTGCAATATGAGCTCCAAAGACTCTAGCACAAGTCTGGCATAAATAGTCCATATGAACATTTGGGATGGAGATGTCTCGAGAGTTGTGCGTCTTTCCACAAATCTAGATTTTTTTCTGCTTTGCTCATAGAGCATAGCACCTTCTTTGATGCAGGCATGCCATGCTGGACAGTCCTCTGCCAGCATCTCCCATGTCTCATAATCGATATTAAAGTTCTTCAGAGAGACCTTGATAGCGTCCTCGCACTGTCTCCTCTGACCACCATGTTAGCACTTGCCTTCTTTGAGTTCTCTGTAAAATAGTCTTTGTAGGTAGTGTAGTGCATAGATCCTGGGCAAGTCACTTAACCTCTGTTTGCCTCAGTTTCTTCATGGGGATAATAATGGGAATCATAATGGTACCTACTTCCCAGGGTTTTTCAGGATGCGTTTTCTGTGTTCTTATAATAAAAAGCATATATGTTCCTTCTATAGCTACTTAATGTAAAAAAATTACCTTAGCTGTATGCTTTTTTTTTTTTTTGCTAAGCAATGGGATTAAGTGACTTGCCTAGGGTCAAGTCACACAGCTAGTAAGTGTTATGTGTCTGAGGCTGGATTTGAACTCAGGTCCTCCTGAATCCAGGGCTGGTGCTCTATCCACTGCGCCACCTAGCTGCTCTAGCTATATGCTTTCTAAAAATAACATTTGTTATCAGACAGAAATAAAGCTGTAGATGTCATTACTGTAACAACATGCAAAAATACTTTTTGCTGCTACTGTATTTTGGTCAGACTTAATTTTTGGAAGTATGTGTATACCTTCTCTTAATAAATTGACAGTTCAAAGGTGAGAACTGTATAAATGTAAACGTAAAATTACATCTTACCTCCTCATGGTTTAATTCATGCATACAGGTTATCTTTCTGTATTTGGTCATTTTATAATCTCTCATTCAAAAACTCTTTCCCCATTTCTTTTTTGTTTGTTTGTTTGTTTTGTTTTTTTGGTTGGGCAGTGGGGGTTCAGTGACTTGCCCAGGGTCACACAGCTAGTAAGTGCTATGTGTCTGAGGTCGGATTTGAACTCAGGTCCTCCTGAATCCAGGGCCGGTGCTCTATCCACTGCACCACCTAGCCATCCCCTCCCCATTTCTGATTAGTCTCAGCTGGATGTGTGTGTGTGTGTGTGTGTGTGTGTGTGTGTGTGTGTGTGTGTGTGTGTACATGCATATATATTACGAATTTTTTACATTTGAACTGATGCTAATTAGTATTTTCCTATTTTTTTGGTTATATTTTCCATTTTTTACTAGTGCGTATGAAATAGGAGTACTCTTCCAATTTTCTTACATGTTTTGTCTGTAAGAAAAGCTTTTTAAAAAATAAAATTTTCAGAAAGCTCTGTAAAAAGAGTAACCTCAAAAGGAAGAATGATTACATTTCTTGATTATCTATACTTGTTTCAGTTTTCAATAACAGTTGTAATGATTTTATTTTCTTTTTTACTTTAGAACTGATATTTGTTCTATAATTATCATTTTGATTTTTGTCCATAACATAAAACCCTACTGAGTATATCCATTTTTAATCTTAGAACTTCTCATAATTGTGTATTTTTTTTCTTTAACAGTATCTTGGATTTGGAACACCAGCTAATTTAGGAAAAGGCAGGAGGGCTGCAGCAGCAGCAGATCTTGCCAACCGAAGTGGAGAATCAAATACTCACCAAGACATTGAAGAAAAAGATCGTTTATTACGCCATGTGGAAGCCAGAGATCTTATTGAATTTGGCATGATACCTGAGTTTGTGGGACGGTTACCCGTGGTAGTTCCTTTGCATAGCCTAGATGAAAAAACACTTGTACAGATTCTTACTGAACCACGTAATGCAGTTATTCCCCAGTACCAGGCATTATTCAGCATGGACAAGGTTTGATCATTTTTCCTCTTATTCAACCTGATTATTTTAAAATTTCCCTTGTGGAATTCTCTAAACTAGCCCTGCCGAAAAAACAAAAAAAGCCACTTCCACTGCTGTGAATACCCAATGATAGCTCACCAAAGATAGGAGACAGTGAGATCCAAAAAGTTGAGAGGAAGGCACACACAATTGGAGCTATGATGGTGGTGGTTTGTTTCTTCCTTATTATAGAGTGGTAATGGTGATTAAAAAAAAAACCCAGAAACATGTAGCATCAAGTCATATCACAGCCTCCTGGGAATGTATCAGTGCCCATTTTAGGATGTCACCTTCTCATCATGGGATTATCATATATCCATTACTTTAAAAAAATAGTTATAGAGTGAAGATGGTAAATAGTTTACTACAGAGTCCTTATTCAAGGAAGAGCACACTTCAGAACTGGGGAAATCAGGGAAAACTTCACATAGGAGCTAGTACTTGAGCTGAACTCTGAAGGAAACCAGGGATTGTGAGAGATGGAACTGGGAAAGGAATTCATTTAAGCACAGGGCACAAACCTATACAGAGGCTAAAATGTAAAATGTTGATTTCAGAAAAGAACTTTGTAGGCAAGTTTGAGTGGAGTGGAGTGTGTGCAAAAGGGGATGTAACATGAAATAAATCTGGAAAGGTAAGTGGGAGATTAGGTTTTAAATGCTAGGGTTAGAAAATTGTATTTGATCCTAGAAGCAATAGAGAGCCTGTGAATATTTTAGAGCAGAGGGTAATGCAGTTGGAACTGCTGTTTAGGAAGATTATTTTCACAACTGTGTGGAGAATAGATTGGTGAGGAAAGAGATTAGAAGCAGGGACACCAGTTAGACTATTACAGTAGTCTAGATGAGAGAAAATTTCTTGCTTAACTAGGTTTCCTATATGAGAGGAGAGAAAGGGACAAACGTGAGAGATGTTCTGGAGACAGAGTCAATAAGTCATGGCAATTGATTAGATACAGAGAATAGTGAAAGAGGATGACTCCAAGGTTACAAACCTAGGTGACTGGTAAAATGCTGGTACTACCAAAAGAAATTGGGAAGTTTGGCAAAGCTGTGGGTTCAGGGGAGAAGATGAGTTCTGTTTTGAGCATAATGAATTTGAGATAATATCCAATTAAAGATGTCCACTAGGAAGTTGGTAGAGTGAGACTGGAGCTCAGGAAAGAGATTAGGGCTGGATATATAGATTTGGTAGTCATCTGTGGAAAGATAATTGAATCCATGGGAGCTGATGGGATGTCTAAGAGAAAGAGTATAGAGATAGAAGAGAAGATACTCATTACTTATGGATAATCCAGCAAAGAAGACTGAGGATTGATTAGATAGGTAGGGAGAACCAGGATATAGCATTTCATGTAAGCAAATGGGAGGAAAAGTATCTAGGAAAGGGTTGGTCATCTGTGTCAAAAACTAAAATGAGCTCAAGTAGGCTGAAGATTGAGAAAAAGCCATTAGGTTTAGTAGTGAAGAGAATATTGGTAACTTGGGAATAGCCATTTCAATCTAGTGATGGGATCAGAAGCCAAATTGAAGGAGGTTGAGAAGTAAATAGAATGTTAAAAAGTAGAAATAATGCATGTAAATGACTTTCTAGTTTGTGAAAGAAAGAAGAGATACAAGACAGCATAGGGGATGGCATTATCAAATGAAGGTATTTTTAGGACAGAGGAAACCTGGGCATGTTTATAGGCAGCCAGAAAGAAGACTGAAGATGAGGGAATAATTGAAAAAACATTCTCCCAGAGGAGATGCTAGGGGATGGACCAAGGACGCAAGTAGAGGGTCTTGGCAAGAAGAGTTACTTCTTTCAAAGACTGGTGCGAAAGAGGGGATTTTGAACTGTAGAGGAGGAAAATAGAGGAACTCAAAGTAGATGAGTTCTATTTTCCTAATAAAATAGTAGGTAAGGTACTTTGTTGAGGGAAAAAATGGTAGAAAGAGAATCTTTGGAACAACTGCTGTGGGAGAGTATGGTAGTCAGCTGTAGATGAAAGATAAGAGTGCCATGCAGCACTAAGGGCCCAGTTGAGATTAGATAAGACAGATATTTAGAGGACCCGGTCGTCATGGTTCTCCTTGGAACATGAAGCAACCTGTGAGTAGGAACAGAAGACACGTGGGGATGATATGAGGTTGGAGTTTGGTGTAACATGGGCAGTGGTAGACAGAGGTAGGGGATTCAAGGGTAGGGATAATATGGTTGAAGTAGTAAACAATAGGACTGAGGCTGAAGGGAAACAAAGGCATTAGAGGGGTTGTGGACTAGGAAAATCAGGGAGAGGGTTGGTGTGACTCTAGATCGTGGTAAGGACTAAGGATTTATATGGGCTAAACAATATTCAGTTCAGTTCAAGAGTTATGGATCATGTTAGTAGAACAGTTATGAGTTATGGTGAGATCAAGGGTATGATCATCCCTGTGTGTGCCCAAGGTAGAATAAAGGTGCAATAATGAAAGTTAAGGTTGATGAACTAGGGGGCCAACGTGTTTAAAGAGACATCAGTATGTATGTTGAAGTTGTCAAGGGCAAGTGTAGGGTGGAAAGGAAAACTGAAAGCCAAGAATTGAAAAAAGGAAAATGATCTTGAGACAAAGAGATGGCTGAATCACTATCTGAACTGGGAGATAGAAACAGATGGAGTGAACCTCAAAGAAGGAGGAGGTTGCTGAGTGATGGGAGTTAGAGAGACATATGAACTTGAATTGAAGCTGCAGTAAAAGATCAGGGAGTATCCCTACACCCCCTCAGTTTGTCAAGAAACACAAGAAAGAGACCTTGTTAAAGGTGGTTAGCAATACAGTGTTTTCCAAAGGGACATCAATTCTCTGAGTACAAAAAAATTTGGAAAGAGTACAAGAGATCTGGGATGAAAGGAGGTTATAGTGATAGAGGTTGCAGAGGGCACAACAGAAGATTGACCGCAGAGGACACTAAAGACAAGAGGCATAAAGCTGATGTGGGCAGGCATGAGAGAGACAGGTAATGTAATTTTAGGAGAAGGGAGTTTTCATCTCACTAGATGGCAGTTGAATCAAAGGGACTAGGGAGAATTTGGTGTGGGAGTTTGCTAGCCATAGATTAGGGGAACAATCGATTGGGTTTCCTACCTTATAGGGACACAAAAGATAGTGTCGGACTTTCAAATACTAGGGAAGTAGATATTGAGTGAACCAGGAGATGGGGTTAGATATTTGGATTGGCAGATACTGTAATCCAAGCATTTCCTTCACCTCATCTCAAGATGAGGTCTGATGCAACAGTATTTGGAAAATACCCTGCATTTGGAGTGTACCCTTTGTTGCTCATTAGTCCTGATATGTGAAGCTCTCTAGTCCTGGGCAGGGTCCTAGCAGTGAGAAACTGGCCATAAACTAAAGAACACCTGGACATTGTTGTTTTATCTCATACTGGTTTTGATGGGGAATCACCAGGTAGCTATTACTTTCAAATATAGTAGTAGCCTTTAGGGCAAGAGGCCTCCAAATTCAGTCTCTCAGAGAGACTGGGACTACAGTTTTATTCTCCAGTGTCCAGCGATTAAAAAAAAAGAGAGAGAAGCAGAAGGTTATGGGACAGGAGTTTTGGTGTCAACCTGTGCCCTTTTTTATATTAGTTGGACTAGATAATCTTTGAAGACTTTTCCATTTCTAGTAGTCTGTACTTATGTAATTCAGAGAAATTTGTGTTAGATATATTTGTTTACATTAAAAATTGAGAAAGCTTATTACAAATCATTTATAGCTATTCATTAAAATAAACACCCTTGAGGAAACTTTCCTTTGTATAAACTTTGTTACTGGACATCTACTTACAATTTTTTTTTAAGGCAATTGGGGTTAAATGACTTGCCCAGGGTCGCACAGTAAGGGTATGAGGCTGGCTTTGAACTCAGGTCCTCCTGACTCCAGGTCTAGTACTCTATCCACTGCACCACCTAGCTGCCCCTCACAAATTTTTTAAAGTACTTTTTTTTTGGTGAGTCAGTTGAGGTTAAGTGACTTGTCCCCAGGGTCACATGGCTAATTAGTGTCAAGTATCTGATCTGAGACTGAATTTGAACTCAGGTCCACCTGACTACCAGGCCCAATGCTCAATCCACTGCGCCATCTAGCTGCCCGTAAAGTACATTTCTTGACAAGCATTGCATAGTTTGTTTCTTAACGGTTCAGGCTGTCCTCCAGTCATTCTGAATTAGTGAGATTTCACTAATTTAAGAATATTATGAAAGACCTACTTTTTGTAACATATAAAACCTAAGCCAAAGGAGTTGATATTGGTCGTTAAAGACTAAATTGAATGATGTCTTTGTTGTTGTGGAGTTGTTTCAGTCGTGTCTGACACACTTTGTGACCCCATTTTGGATTTTCTTGGCAAGGGTACTACAGTTGTTTGCCATTTCTTTCTCTAGCTCATTTTACAGATGAGGAACTGAGGCAAACAGGGTTAAGTGACTTGTCTAGGGTCACACAGCTAGGAAGTGTCCGAAGCTGGATTTGAACTCACAAAGAGGAGTCTTCTTGATGCTAGGCCTTGCACTCTGTCCGCTGCCCACCTTGCTGCTCCACCGGTGATGTCTATATTAGGACAAAATAGTTGTCTCACTCATTAATTGTATTTGCATTTACACAAGTGTTTCCAAAGATATCATTTATTCTCTAACCATTAATAAATAAAAATCAGTTTGAAATTTCTTAAATTTTACATTTTAAAGCAGGGAATAAATTCAACCAGTACTTCTTTTGCTGACACAGTCTGCATGAATGCACAGATGCATGAAATCATACTTTAAAAACCAGCCATTGTAACAGAAGGGTTAATAAAACTGTAACAATTTTTTTTGCTAATTATTTTTCTTTTTTTTGAACATGATACTTTTTCATTTATTGAATTACTAAATCTTTAAAAAGTATAACACAGAATAATATTTTTAATGGGACTGTGCAGAATCACAAAAGTTGGAAGAGATTTCAAAGGTTTTCTAGTCCAACCCATACCTGAATAAGATTTGTCTTTAAAATATCCAGTCTCTGGTTAGAGACCTTTAGTGATAAGAAACTGCTGCCTTCAGAAACTGCCCATTCCACTTTCAGAAGTTTTCTTTACATTGCCCCTAAAGCTGCCTCTGTAACGTCCACTCTTTCGTTTTTGTACTGATCTTTGGGACACAGCCAGTCTAACGTGTCCTCCACAAAATGACTCTTCAGATAATTTAAGACGGTCTCCCCATCCCCTTTTTGTTAATGCCCTGCATTGAAACGTGGCCTCGAAAACAGGACATTATTCTCCAGAGGAAAAGGTCAGGGACTGTTTTGTTTTCTTGTATGTCTCCTTGGCACTCAGCAGAATGTCTAGCACTTAATAATGGGATGGAAAAGTCATGCTTTTCCATTCTATTCCATACTAACGTTTTTAGCTACCCTGTCATACTCTGTAAGCTCATTGAACTTGCTGTCCACTAAAAACACCCTGATCTTTTTCATAATAACTCTTGCCTGCTCATGCTGTGCTTATCTCAAAACTTGATGAGGCTCATTAACTTTTTGTGCTCTAGTGCAGTACTTTATACTTATTCCTTTTAAATTCCATCTTACCATTAGATCTTGTTATTCAGTATTTTAGCTATTATCATCTTGGGGTTGGCTGCAAATTTTGATTAACTTCTCAATCTATACCTTCTTTCAAATCATAGAATGGTAAATAACAGAACCAAGGGCAGATTTTTTGATCTTTGAAAAACTTCTTGATGTAACTGACACACAGTCAGTTGGGCATGTGGTTTTATCGATTTTTGCCAGTAGTGTTGATTTTGTATTGATGTTATCTATGTTCTCTTGTTTGGGCCATTTGTGTGGATTTAGAAGGATAACTAAAATCAGGGAGCATTTTGTGGCCAATGTTGAAATAAAACCTGAATCCTTGGCTTCCTTGACAGAATGCTCTTATTTATTAACAGAGCTAGTTGAGAGGAAAAATGAGCTTTAACCTGCTTTGAATTCTACAACCCCTTCAGAATTTCAAGGTGATATTGGACAGTGTCTCAGAAATCATATGCTAACAGGATATTTGTGCAGAATATAACAACAGCATTTCAGGGTATTCTGCATTTTAAAAAATACACTTGTGTACTCTGCTTAAGTCAAATACAGATTTGGGAGACAGAGGAGTGAATGATTATTTTCTCAGTGGGGAAGGGGAAAGGAAAAGGAAATGTTTACATAGTGACTGCTCTGTTCTAGGCATTGTGTTACGCATTTTTTACAAATATTATCTTACTTGATCCTCATAACAACCTTTTGAGGTAGGTATTATCCTCATTTTATATTTGAGAAAACTGAGGCAAACAGAGGTTACATGACTTGCCTAGGGTTACACAGCTAGTGAGTGTTAAAACTGGATTGGAACCTCCTAACTCCACACCCAGTGCTCTCTTCACTGCCAACCAGTTGCCTCTGGCTTTATAGGAGTGTTTAGAGAATTCCTTTAGTTAAGCTCTCCTAGTACATTTAACTTACCAAAATTCAGTCCTTTTCCAGGATGCGTAAAGTGATACCTTGTGTTTATTTTCTAATCGTAGTTGTAATTACATTCCTAAAATCTGCAAAGGTGATCATTGGTCTTCTATTTGGAATTCTTACTTTAAATACTTATTTGACTAAATGACATGAGATTTTATGCAGTTAGCCACTTTTTCTTTGGCTGAATTGGTTTCCTCTGACTGATTTCAATATATTCCATATTTTGCCTCTTAGAGTAATGTAGAATTTTCATCTTTCATGCAGGTTTTTTAAAAATGTGGTTCCGCTTTCCAGCATCTTCATGCCAGTGTACACATGTATTGGGCAGAGAGACCTTTGTGGGCTCTCAGTGAGGCATGAAAACCATGCTCCTATTTTTCTAAAAAGTCCAGCAGAGTCAAACCCTCACCATAGCATATGTGGCATGGGACATGCAAAAATAAATACCACATAAGAGCAAAATTTCCTGAGTAAAAACATGTGCATTTATAAAAAGTGATGTGTAAGAGGATCTCTTCCTTCCTCCCCGTTCATTTTTCTACTCATAGCTCTGGCTGTAGTCAAGGTGTAACATTGGTGACAAATGCAAGTTAGTTCTTTTCATGTAGTAATAAGAATATAGTTAGTTGTTTTGGTTGATTATCTTGTTTTATATGAAATAATAGGAATCCTGGATAAGAGAAACTTCTGTCAGGCTACATTAGAGATCTTATTTTGTTAGGTACATGTTTAACCTCATACATTATGGGGTTTTTTTCTTGTTGTTGTTTTTTGTGAGGCAATTGGGGTTAAGTGACTTGCCCAGAGTCACACAACTAGTGAGAGTTATGTGTCTGGGGCCGGATTTGACCTCAGGTCCTCCTGACTCCAGGGCTGGTGCTCTGTTCACTGTGCCACCTAGCTGCCCCAACCTCATACGTTCTTAATGAATGATTCTAAATGATGTAGTATATATCATAATTAATAAGATAATGTCTAAAGTCAGTATTTAAATGTATGTAGTGTCTACCTTAGAGTATTTTGTTACAAATAAATGGCAAAGTGGATAGATTGTTGGACCTGGAATTGGGAAGACCCAATTTAAACCCAACCTCAGACATTTAGTAAGTGTGGGACCCTGGGCAAGTTACTTAATCTATACTACTTCAGTTTCCTCATCAGTATACTGATACTATCTATCTCCAAGAGTTTACATGAGGATAAAATGAGATATTTGTTAAGTACCTTGAAAACCTTGAAGTACTATATAAATTCTAGTTGTTATTTCATTCAGCAAGTAAGGCCCTGTGTTAGGTGGTATGTTGGATACACATATTAAATGGTCCCCGCCCTAGGATATGTACATGCATAAGAAAATCAAAAAGCATTACTACTGTATGTGCCAGGCACTCTGCTGTGTGGGAATATGTGATAAGTGCTGTAAGAGTGATACAGCCAATATGTTGTGCCATATCAGAGAAGGGAGAAATTACTTCTGGGGAGGGTGATTAAAGGATGCTCAGTGGAGGGAATAGCATGTGAAATGGGTATTGGAAGGATGGATAGAAATTTGATAGTTGGAGAGAGGGCTTTTCACATAAGGGAAAGCCACTTGGGCAAAGCAGGAGAGGACAAAGTATGTTCAGAGAATAAAGAAATTTTGTCAAAACTTAGAGAATATGTAGAAGAGTAGTGGGAGATACGACTAGAAAGATAGCTTTTGGGTCAGATCATGGAAAGCCTTAAATGCCAGCTGAGGAGTATGTACTTTATTTCCTAGGCAATGGGGATCCATTGAAGATTTTTCAGGAGGGGAATGACATGATCAAAATGGTGTGCAGGATGGATTGCAGGGAGGAGAGACTGGAGGCAAAGAAACCAGTTTTAGGCAATTGCAGTAGTCCAGGCATAAGGTAATAAAGACCTGGACTAGGGCGGTGGCAGTGTTGGTTAAAGGGTAAAATACCCTATGGCCACTTAAGAAAGCTTTATCAAATATCTAACAAATACCTCTTTATTTTTTAATATGTAGTGTGAGCTTAATGTTACTGAAGATGCTTTAAAGGCTATAGCCAGATTGGCACTAGATAGGAAGACTGGTGCAAGGGGCCTCCGCTCTATCATGGTAAGTTTGCATTGCCTTACAAGAACTATATTGTTTTTACTTTAAATTTTGAAAGAAAAATGTGTATGTGTGTGTGTATATATACATGCACTTACATACGTATACACACACATAGATTATACATGCACAGAAACCTAAACACACACACATGTAAATATTCAATACACCAAGCAGTAACTCGGTTCAGAAAGAGATCATTGGGGGGGGGGAGGGAAGAGTGCAAGCCTTCCATTGTAAATATGCCAGTGGAATACTTAAGGAAACTATAGTAGTTATTGAAACCTAGCTGATTCTGAACTGAGAGTTACCTTTTGGTATGCTGAATATAAAACAGGAGCCTATCCACTGTATATTTTTATCATTTAGTGGCTGTACACAAAGTGCAAGAATTTAGGGTGGAACTTCCAATTTTCTATGTAGTCTTTTTCTTACTCCCTTAGGAAAAGCTGTTACTAGAACCAATGTTTGAAGTACCAAATTCTGACATTGTATGTGTGGAAGTTGACAAAGAAGTTGTAGAAGGAAAGAAGGAACCAGGATACATTAGGTAATATGAATTGTTATGTCAAAACATTTATAATTTGAAGTATAGATAATTTATTACATGGATTGTAAAATGCAGTATTTATGAGCCCTTGTTAAAAAAAATATAAAACTTGATTCTTTTTCAACCTAAAGAAAAAACAAAAATAAATATAAAGGTCGTATGTGGTTGAATTCATGAATAAGTAGGTGAAATGTTTGTGTAGTGTATGTGAATTGACAACACAGCGTTCCTTCTTATCTCAGGGGAACTCTTCTACTTTTATCCTGTATCTTATATCCTGCTTTCTCTGAGACCTTACTCCTTCAATTACTTCCTCTTTTTCTTGTATCTTTACTTTTTCTCCTTTCCTTTGGCACCTTACCAATTACCAGTCCTCTTCCTGCAAAACATTTACACCTCCCCATCTTGGCAGTTAGGGGAAACTTCCTTTTCTTTCCTCTTTACCACCAGACTTCTTGAAAGAATAGGCTATACTTTCTGGCTCTACTTTGTTACTACTCATTTGATCCTTAGTTCCCCCAGTATGATTCCTGTTACCCCAGCAACTCTACTGAGAATGTACTCTCAAGTCACCAGTAATTTCTAATTGCCAATTCCAGCTCTCATCCTTCTTGTCTTCTGTGCAGTAATCCATCTTGTTGCCCATTCCTTCCTCCTTTTACTTTCTAATCTCTTTTGGTTTCAAGGAAACTGCACTGCTGTTCTTCTGAGATACAGACCCATGTTTCCAGTAGCTTAATGGATATATTTGCCAGTTGAATGTTCCACTAGGACCTGCAGTTCAATATATCATCCTCCCATGTACACTCAACTTGTTTCTTCTCCTAGCTTTCCTATATCTGTTAAATGATACCACTACCCTTACAGTCACCCAGGCTTCAAACTCTGCATTTTTTTACCCTTTCTTCCTAACACCCAACATCTGATTAGTCATCAGTCCTATTTCTGCTTCTTTGATATTCTTCATGTAAGTTCCCTTTTCTCTATTCTTACAACTACCATCCTAATTCAGATTTCATGTATTAACACTTGGATTACTATAGTAATCTACTGGACATCCTTCTAGTCACTCCCTTCATAATTTGTCTTAAATTGATTGTCAGATTAATCTTCCTCAGAAAAAGTCTGATCATGTGAAATCCCCATTCTCATTTTCAGAAACCTTCAGTGACTTTCTGTTGTCTACCATGTCAATTCCAAAGCATTCAAATCCCTCCCAACCTACTTTTTCAGCTTTGTCTCATAATAAGAGAACATTTCTCAAACACTTTGCTCACATATTCCCTTCCTTCTCGTTCCCCATTTGCCACTCATCTTTTCAAGTTTCACCGTGAAATCTTTGCCTAGGAGTGCATTATGCCTCTTTTATTGCATTTTCATATCTGCCTCATATTACATTTATCCCTTCCACATTGTAGGGGGTTTAGGAGCACAGTGCCCCCTGCATTCTGGAAAATCCGTGTAAAATTTTTTGGCCTCCCTTTGTACCAGACAAGAAGTCTGAATTTTGTTTTCTTCTGTGGGGTGTTTACAGTACGTTATTATAAAATTTGGGTTGATATTATACAATACTATACATATGTTTTATGCATTTCTGAGTTTCTAAACTTTTTCTGTGGCATCTGCTGGCCTTTGTGTGGCATCTGTGGCATCTGCAAAACTCCCCAAAAATTCCCATCTAATTTCTTATGCCTGCCTGTGATGTATCAGAACTACAGTGGGGAAAGTCAGGATGTGAAGGGATAACTATGTATGTCTTAGCTCCTTTTCTAGACCATAAGCTCCTTGAATCAGAGGCCTTGCCTTATTAATTTTCCACACTACAGGGTTTTGCATATATACTTATATGTATGCATATATACTTGTTTATATGTGCATATATACTTGTATATATGTACATATATACTTACATGTATAATTTTTCAAATATTTAATGAAAACCAACAAAGGAGAAAGGGTAAAGTTGACGAAGGCATTTGTTTTAGCTTAATCATAAATTTTCTTTCATCTATTTTCTTTCATTAGAAAGAATTGACTGATTTTAACCATATTTGCTTTACTTGATTTTGAAAACCAACCATGAAAATAATTTTATACCTGTGCCAGAATATATTGTGGAAGGTGAAGAGAATGAAAATTTTACAAAGAACTGTCCAAAACCCTCTAGGTTAATTCAGTATATGCTTTTGTCCAAAGATGGACATAGAAGATTATAGCTAAAAAAAAAATTGCAAAAAATGGATCAAATAAGAAACAAAAAAGACCAAAGGCTTTTATAGACATTGTAAAAATGCACATAGATTATGAATACTCTCTTTAAGAAAAAGATATGGAGACACTTGACATGGCAAATACCAAATAAGCATGAGAAATTAAATTGTTTAATATCCTAGCACTTGGGAAACAACTAGTTACTAATATAGGAACTGATTGAAAAATTAGCTGTGTAGTCAGACCGTGAACCAAATTAGAATTAACATGAGATGTTATGTGGAATTAAAACAAACCCAAGATATATATAGAGGCCATACTGTAGGTAATGCATTAAATCTGTGATACAGCAATACTGTGTAGGTAGAACAGGGGAAAACCTACCTTCATGGGTAGAGAGATCTGAAGGAAACCCTTTGGCATGTTAGGTAGACCCCTTTGGAGGGCTGAGAGGGGGTTTATGGACTAGAGTTACATGGGATGAGGTGGCACAGACTGGTTGCTCTCTGTATTACTCATTCAACAAGCATTTTAAAGCAGTTTCTGTGTGGAAAGCTCTGGAGAGTTACAAAGACAAAAATTAATAGGTTCCTATCCTCAGAGTTTACTTACATTCCACTGGGGTGGGAGCTGGGGATGTGGAACATAGATAATTAATTCAACACAAAACATACACAAAATAAAAACAAAGTGTTTTCTCAGGGGAGGGTACTAAACATGTAAGGAGCTCAGGCTCTTTGTAGGAGAGGCATTTGAAGTCAAGATTCCAACAGGCAGAAGTGAGGAGGGAGTGCATTCAAGACAGGGCATAGAGTGTTGAGTATGGGAATCTGCAAGTGGGCCAGTTATATAAATTTATTTATTTTTAGTTTTCAACATTTGCTTCTGCAAGATTTTAAGTTCCAAATTTTCACCCCATCTTGCCCCTCCCCCCACCCCAAGATGGCATGCATTCTGAATACCCTTCCCCTAGTCTGCCCTCCCTTCTATCTCCCCCCGCAATTATCCCCTTCCCCTTCTATTTTCCTGTAGGGCAGGATAGACTTCTGTACTCCATTTCCTGTATTTCTTATTTCCCAGTTGCATGTGAAAACTTTTTTTTAAACATCTGTTTTTAAAACTTTGGGTTCCAGATTTTCTCCCTTCCTCCCTCCCCACCCACTCTCATTGAAAAGGCAAGCAATTGGGGCAGTTAGGTGGTGCAGTGGATAGAGCACCGGCCCTGGATTCAGGAGGACCTGAGTTCAGATCCGGCCTCAGACACACAATAACACTTACTAGCTGTGTGACCCTGGGCAAGTCACTTAACCCCATTGCCTAACCAAAAAAAAAAAAAAAAGGAAAGCAACTCAATATAGGTTATACATGTGCAGTTATGCAAAACACTTCCATAGTAGACATATTGTGAAAAACTAACTCTATTTCCCTTAATCCTGTCCTGCCCCCCCATTTATTCTATTGTTTTGATCCTGTCCCTTCTGAGAAGTATTTGCTTCTAATTACCTTCCCAAACTTCCCTCCTCTCTCATCCTCCTGCTGTCTTGTCCCCTTCTTCCCCTGTTTTCCTGTAGGGTAAGACAGATTTCCATATCCAATTGAACGTGTATGTTATTTCCTCCTTAAGCCAAATCTTGATTCACCCTTCCCTCTCACCTTCCCCCGTTTTCCCTCCACTGTAAGAGCCTTTTCTTTTCTGTTTTTTTTGTGAGATAATTTACCCCGTTCTACCTCTCCCTTTCTTCTCCTCTCCCTTTCTTCTCCTAGTATAATCCTCTCCCATCCCTTGATTTTATTCTTCAGATATGACCCCTTAATCTTCAACTTACCCGGTGTCCTCTATCTGTCTATCTACATACATATAATTTTTTCCCTCCAACTACCCTAATACTGACAAAGGTCTCATGAGTTATAAATATCATCTTTCCATACAGGAATGTAAACAGTTCAACCTTAATAAGTCTTTTATGATTTCTCTTCCTGTTTACCTCTTCATGTTCCACTTGAGTCTTGTATTTGAAAGTCAAATTTTCTATTCAGCTCTGGTCTTTTCATCAAGAATACTTGAAAGTCCTCTATTTCATTGAATGACCATTTTTTCCCCCTGAAGAATTATACTTAGTTTTACTGGGTCAAGTGGGCCAGTTTATCTGGAATGTAGAGGGTATGGTGAAGTAGTAAAGAATAAGCCTGGGAAAATAGCTTGAAAGTCAGACTGGGAAGGACTTTAATTGCCAGATTAAATTGCCAGATAGAAGAATGATATATTCCATCACAAAGACAAAATGTTACCCAGCAATACTTCTTGAGTAAGTGACACTGCCAGATCCATGCTTTAGAATAGTACTTAAGCAGTTGTATGGAGAATGGATTAGAAAGAGGAGCAACTAGAGAACCATTAGGAAGCTGTTGCACTAGTCCAGGCCAGCAATGAATGTCAAAAGTGAACATTTCAGTATAGTGTTTACTTGTTCCAGTATTAAAGGTGTTGGGGAAAATGTTTGATAAATATTGTGTTAAAGTTAATTGAGTTTTTTCCAGCTATGAAACACTGACATGTTGATTGGAATTTATTTTTATTTGCATCTAGAAAAACATACCTACACACACTTTTCAGTTTGTTTTTTTTTTAAAATAACTGATTGCTTTTCATCATAGGGCTCCAACTAAAGAGTCATCTGAAGAGGAGTATGACTCTGGAGTTGAAGAGGAAGGATGGCCTCGGCAAGCAGATGCTGCAAACAGTTAAACACCGTTAAACCTTTATCCCATAGAAATTTCTCCCTTTTGTTTTAAGATCGTAACTGACTTTACAGTCTGACACTAAAGGCATTGGATCTATCCTGGATATTATACATGGTCAGAAGCCTTTAGGATAAGAATCAAGATCATGTATGTTATTGTAACATCACATTGATTTTATGCAGTGGACATTATGTGGACTTTAATGGCACAGTGTTCAAAAATAAAATGTACATTTTTTTGGTTCAGTTTTTTAAAAATATGCTTAAACAAAATTCTGAAGAGTTATATTAAGCAATGCAGGTGTTGCCAGTAACTAATGAATTTTACAATAATGTTACTCTACAAATGGGAAAATAAATTTCCTTACAAACTGAATATTGATATACCATTAGTTCAACTTTTTTTATCCACATTTGTTTCCTGAAAAGATCAGACTTTTTATTCACATTTGAAATTGAAATGGATACTAATGGTGACATTAGTAATGGAAAAGTGCCCAAGATTACTGAATTTTGATGATGTTTAGTTATGTTCTTAGGCTGCTTTGCTAATTCATGACACCAACTTAACAGTTGATTTCAGTATAAAAGGCAATTTGCTTATTGGCCAGTCTGATTTATTGGCCATTTGAGATGCACTTCAATGCAACGGAAAAGCAGATGTAATTGGAATCTCAGTGAATTTCTCACAGGAAAAACAAATGAGGAATATAGCATGTAGGTCTATTTAAAGTAAAATACTTTTAATATTGTGCAATTACCTAAGGAGCTCTAGTGTGCATCAGTTTTTTGGTGCTGGATATTTGTCCAACCTCCTATTTCCACATCAAAGAAAGAAAATGTATATTTTTTTCTGTAATCAGTAGTGAACTTATTCATACAAAAATGACTTCTAAGTTGTTCTCATTTCTTGTACATCTTTTTCTTGGTCATCATTGTTTTGGGACTTGCAGCAAAACAAAGAGGAACAAAACTGAATCTCTTGGAGGACTTAAAACATGAAAAAAATGGTCCTTTAGCAGAAAACTTAGGAAACTAGTAAAGGAGTTTTGATTTTTTTAGAAAATTTAAAATACCAAAATCTTCAGATACTTTTCAGTTTTTCCCCTTCTAAGATATTGCTGCAGGTTTTATTGTTATTCATCTTGTTATTCGTCTAGTTTGACTTTTTAAAATTGAATTTAACACTGATTTAAACATTCGTTTATTTTCATCATTTAGCCTGCTTACTAAAGATGAGGATTTTCCTCATGCATTTTGTCAGGAAGAAAAAACATTAAGCTTATAACAGTTTAATTACAAGCCCTTATCTTGTACTGAAGAGCCAATTTAATTAGGGCTTTTACATGACTTAGGTAATAGGAGAGTTGTGAAATATATCTTTGGATGGGATAGGTACAGAGATGCACATTCACCAAGTCAGGTTTGTGTAGCAATGAGCAGGAACAAGAATCCTACTTAGTCTCCCCAGTAATGGTTAAAGTTACTTTCAGGAAGTCCTTGATACAGTGTTGTAACTTCATTCATTACTTTCTTTTATTATATAATTTTCCTTTTTGTAGAGTGGGAAAATCGAAGTAGATTTTTATTCTTTTGAGGATAATCCTTCAGAAATGGACTGGGAGACATAGTGACAACAGTAAAACAACTTGCATTTAGTTTTGGAAGTTGTTTATAACATTATGATCGATGTTTTTAAATCAAAGACAAATGTAATGTAACTACAATTTGTACCTTGGAACTTATGTTTTGGCATTTGAATAAAACGAAGCTATTAATGAAACAGCCATCTTGTCATCTCCATGAAATAGTGAGCAACAAGCACCAGATAGTCCGGGGTGGGGGGGTGGTGTTGGTAGGAGGAGGGAACAGCCAAGGTTTGAGCGCAAAGGTGCTTTAAAATAATGTGGCTGAAACAAAGAACTCCGGGCATTCACTTTGGAGACTCTGGCGGCTGACTTTGTTGCCTCTGTAGTTTGTCTTTTCTTTTAGTCATCCCAGCCTGGTGTTAATCTCGCCAGCACCCGGGTCGAAGGGACAGCGTTTACGGGGAGGGGCCAGCGAAAAATGAAATTTCATTCATTGGCTCGTAGGCTCTTGGGGCGGAACTGTCAGCTCTTTCAGCTGGACGTCATATCCGGAAGAATTGCCCTAGGAACCTCTCGGTGCTTCTTCCGGGTCTCCTGGCCCACTTGGGCGGTAGAGCTAACACCTCCATGGCTCTGCCGCCTTACCCCGGCCGCTTTGCCCCTGTATGTCCGGTCCCGCCGCCGCCACCTCCTCCTCCCCCTCCTGCTCCATTCCGATGCCTTCCCTTCGGGCCACCCCCGCCTCCCCAGGCCTATCCGCCTCCACCGCTACCTCCGCGACTGGGCCCCTTCCTGGGAACTCCAGGCCCTAGCTCGGGCCCCTTCCTGCCGCCGCCGATCCCACCCCCGCCCCCGATCCCGCCACCCCTTCCTCCCCCCCAGTGTACGCCTTTCCCGGGGCTCGAGGGCGGGGAACGGCTTCCGCCACCCTCCCCGGCCCCTCCATGGGCCCAGCGCTGGGCAGAGGCCCCGCCACCCGACGGGCTCGGGGACACGGCCCTGCAGCGCCAGCGGGATCGCCAGTGGTTAGAAGCCGTCTTCGCAGCCCCACGGCGAGCGAATGGCCCGTCGGCCTCAGGGGCAGCGGCAGCGGCGGCTGCTCCTCCCGGGCCCAGCCTCGGCGAGCTCCGGGGGCGGCTGCGCGGAGCCCTGCGCCTGGTGAGCCGGCTGCGCGGCCTGTGCCGGGCCCTGCGGGAAGCCGAGGCGGACGGGGAGGCCTGGGAGCGGCTGCACCAGCAGGCGGCTCCGCTACGGGAGCAGCTGCGCGGGGACCTGGAGCCGCTGAGCCAGCCTGCCTATGTGGGCGCCGCGCGCAGGAAGCTGGAGCGCGTCCGGCGGCGGCGGCAGCGGCTCCGGGACAGGGCCCGCGAGCGCGAGGCCGAGCGCGAGGCGGCCCAGGCCCGGGCGGCGGAGCGCGAGGAGGAGATCGACCGCTGGAGGAACAAGTGTGTGCAGGAAGTGGAGGAGAAGGCCCGGGTAAGCGTGGAGGTCGAGGGCACCGCGCCCGACCTCCCTTCTTGGTCCTGACGTGGGGCTCTTCCAGCCCTGAACTTGTGATTCCGTCATCTGAACCTGGAGGTCCTCAGCCTGGAAGGGGTGACTCCCACTCCCTGGCGCACCTCCCCTGTAGAAGAAAGACTAGAAGTAGTCCTAGTTGCAGGGCAGGCAAATGTAGAGCAACATTCAGAATTTCTCTCAAATTCCTTCTTCTTAGATTGTAATACCACCGTATGTGGTTTTAGCTGCCTAGGCAAGATTGGAAGTTTTCCATCAAAAAAGAAAAGAAAATGGGCTTTCGCTTATCTCCCTCCCCTCCCCCCATGTTCTGTGGTCACGTCCTAATCTCTCCATTGTATAACAGTAATTATTAACTTTTGTGTAGCTTCCTGTGTGCCCGGCACTTTTGTGATTATTATCTCATTTAATCCTCACAACAACCTGGGAGGCAGGTACTATTATTATCCCCATTTTGGAGATGAAGAAACTGAGGCAAACGACTTAAGTGACTTGCCCAGAGTCCCGCAGCTGGTAAATGTCTGAGTTTGGATTTGAACTCAGATCTTCCCAACTGCAGGCCCAGCACCGCAGGGCTGCCTGTGCTGCATTTATTAGTGTCCACGTGCCCCCTGGCTCTCGAGGCACTGTCCCCTCCCTTCCCCTCAAAGAGTTCTGCTCAGTACCTGGATAGTTATCCCTTCCTCCTGCCATCTCACAGTCAAAACTCCTGTTTCCTCAGTGTCATGATCTCAGTTGTCACATAACTCAAAAAATCATAAATCTAGAGCTGGAAGGGACCTTAGAATTCTTCTAAGGCAGCCTCTTCATTTCACAGATTAGGAAACTGAGGCCCAGTCAGGTTATGTGAAGGATACACAGTAGTACTAATTCATACCAGCTTATTCTTCTTCCTTCGCCCAGTAATCCAAAGGGTGTTTATTATTACCTGTGATATTTCAGGTGCTTCTTAATTAAATTGGGGAAGATTTTTTAGGTAGGAAGATTTTATTGCCACCCTTAAAATTACACTTTCTAGGCAACTACTTACTATAAGATTGACCTTGAAGATAGAGGTTGGTAATTTGTTTTCTTACCAGGAGCAAGAACTCAAAATTGCTGCTGATGGTGTCTTATCAGAAGTGAGGAAAAAGCAAGCAGATACCAAGAGAATGGTAGATATTCTTCGAGCCTTAGAGAAACTGAGGAAACTGAGAAAAGAGGCTGCCGCCAGGAAAGGTAACTAAACATACTTTCATCCTGAGGCGTGCTGGAGCGAGCTGGTACCTGTTAAATTTTCAGTGTGAACATTTACACTTTAGAAATCAACAAATGCTACGTATCAGGGTTTCATTGGACTTAAGAAAGTGATGGGCGAGATTTAAGTAATGCAGATGAAGCTTTAAAGTGTGCCTGATATAATTTTCCCCCAAGATTCTGTTTTATGAACATGCCCACTGCCAAAATGATTTCTTTAAATCTCAGGTCTAATCCAGTCACTCTCCTGTTCAGTAAATTACTTTGGCTCTTTATCTGGATCAAATACAAAATCCTCTGTTTAAACACTTTACCTGCTGGCTCCATCCAACCTTTCTAGCCTCATTATCTGTTCCTCCTCTTCTTGAGACAGACACATCTTTTGTTCTGTTCTTTCCTACCACATTCCTTCTCTTGTGTCTGTACCTGTGTAGAGACTGCTCCCCATGCCTCCAGTTCTCTCACCACCTCCTGTAGGTGGCCTTTCTTGAGTCTTGCAGGTGTGTTCTAGTGCATTCTTCCTCCTAGCCCCCCCAGTTAAATTTCCTTGCAATTTACATTGTATATATTTTGTATTTACTTATATGTGTTTGCAGTGTCTGCCCTGATAGAATGTAACTTCTTCCCTGAGCACAAGAACTACGTTCTGGCTTTGTAACACACACCTAACACTGTTTCTGGCCCATAGAAGTCACTCATTCATGAAGTGTGGAGCAGTTTGATTAGCAAAGAAACAATGTGTTGGAGATAGAAGAGAACTGAGTTCAGATATTGACTCTGATGTTTGTTTGACATTTCTCAGGGGGTCTCCTATAAAACCTACTTCATGGGATTGTTGTGAGCAACAGCTAGGTGGCGCTATAATGTACAGAATGCTGGGCCTGGAGTCAAGTAGCCCTCAGTTTAAATTTGGCCTCAGACACTTCTTAGGGGTCGTGGGATTCTGGGCAAGTCACTTAACTTCTCTTTGCTTCTGTTTCCTCACTGGGTTGTTATGAGGATCAAATAAGATGATAATTGTAAAGTGTTTAGCACAGTGCCTGGTACGTAGTCAGCCTATCTAAATGTTTTGTTACTGTGTAGTCATTTCAATAGTGTCTGATTCTTCATGATTCCATTTGGGGGTTTTTTGGTCAAAGATAGTGGAATGGTTTGTCATTTCCTTCTCCAGCTCATTTTAAGATGAGAAAACTGAGGCAAACAGGGCTAAGTCACTTGCCCAGGGTGATACAGCTGGTAAATGTCTGAGGCCAGATTGGAACTCATGAAGATGAGTCATCCTGACTCCAGACCTAGTGCTCTATCTTCTTTGACACTTAGCTGCCTATGTAAATGTTAGCTAATATTATCATCATACCTTAAAACACATGTAAATTTCTTTTATTACTATGGTTTGGAATCAGAAGACCTGAGTTCTGGTTCTGACTGCCCCACTAACTAGCAATGTGACCCTGGTTATATTGATTACTAGGGACCACATTCTTCTTAATTAAGTCTTAGAAAGAGCCCCACTCAGAAAGAGCTAACTAACTTAAAATCACACAGTTAATGCCAGAATCAGGATTTAATTCCAGGTCTCTCTGGCCTCTAACACTCCAACAATTATAACTTTTATATAATTTTTTTAAACTTAGTACCCACTGTTTTTGAAGTGTCATGCTAAGTACTATGGGATGAAAAAGAATTTGTCCTAGAGGAAACCTCATGTAAAGCAAATTAATTAATAAACAACAGATGAGTAGTTTACAATGACAGTATAAAATAAGCATAAATGTGTTTCTCTTTTTTCTTTTTATTTATTTTTTATTTTTTTCATAAATGTGTTTTTAAAAGTTTGGCCTGGGGAAAAAATGTACTGTGTGCCTTTTAGTAGCCTATCTGGGCTGTAAACTCATTTAGGTTCTAGTTCCCTAGCTCTTCTGAGGGTAGACATTATGACAGCCTCCAAGTAATCCTGATGAAAGGCGTAGCTATCAGCTTTCATTGCCTTCTCATAGAACAAAAATTTGGAGCTGAAAGAAACTTTAAAGATCATCTAGTCTTGTTCCTTCATTATCCTATGTTCAGAGTTGGATTTGGAATTTCCTGAATAGGAGAATTCCCCATGCCTCATGCTAGGCATAGTATACTTTTGGTATATATAATTTACTTAAAGGGAAATGTTTTTTTTTTAGCCAAAAAATTCTCATATTTCTTCTTCAAACAAGCAAAAAAGATTAGCCTAGAAGCTTAACGTGAGATAGACTAGATTGGGGACTATCTGAGATAAAGTGAGACCTGCCAGCAGGCAGTTAAAGGAAACCAGCTAATGATTTAATAAGGAGCTAAGTCAGGGTTTTTGCAGTTCAGCAGAAGAACTAATGTGTCAAGCAAGTTCCACACTTTGTACAATGATATGTGTAATTTAAAAAATGTATTATAAAGGCTGTCTGTCTGTATGCACATACATGCATATAGACATGTAGGTATGTATATATACATGTGTCTGTATACATATACACCCATATGTACATATTATATATATGTATATACACACATATACACACAGTTATTGTCAACGTGTATACAGTTCCGGTTTTGCTGTTCTCACTTTGCATTGTTTCATATTGCTCTATCCATTTCCTTACATTTCATCCTTTTAACAGCACCTTAATATCATTACATTAAAATACTATAATTCAGTCATTCCTTAGTCATTGAATGTAAAAGTTGTTTTCATTTTCTTGCTGTTGCAGTTACAAATATTTTTGTGCAAAGAGATCTGCCCCCCGCCCATTTTAATGATTTTTTAAGGAAAACGTTGTAGCAATTTAATCTCTGTCAAAAATTATGATCGCTTTTGTGATTTTCAGTGAATGCTGGCCGAGTACTCTCCATTATGTTTGTTCTGGTCCACATTTGGGTGGTGAGGACTTTGAGAGATGCCAGCAGTTAAACTGTGGACATCTTCATACTGTAGCTGGGATTTTGGCTTCATAAAAGTAATAGGTTTGGTTACTCAGGTCAGATATTTAGATACATGTGTCTAAATTGTTATTTGGCTCTTTCTTTGCAGGTGTTTGTCCACCTGCCTCAGCAGATGAAGCTTTTGAACATCACATAGAGAGACTGAGAAAATTAATCAAAAAACGCACTGAACTTTATGAAGCTGAAGAAAGGGCACTACGAGTTATGTTGGAGGGAGAACAAGAAGAAGAGAGAAAAAGAGAATTAGAAAGGAAACAGAAAAAAGAAAAAGAGAAGATTTTACATCAAAAACAAGAAATTAATTCCAAGTTATTTGGGGATCCAGGTATGTTCTGTAACTAAAGAAGAAATGGATGGAATTCTCATAGCAGGAATTACTAAGCAAGGGTCTCCACAGACGAACTAAAACTTGGTATTTCCTTCTGTTATGATTTTTTAAAAACAACGCTATTCTGAGAAAGGGGTCCATAGGCTCCACCGGACTGCCAAAGGGGTCTAGGACACACAGAAAAGGTGAAGAATATTGATAATAGATAACCAGAAATTGCTTTAGAAAGCTGGTAGGTAATAAACTGTTTATTTCTGCAGGGTCTTAAATAGTAAGAATTGGAATGAGATGATTAACGATATAAAAGTCTATCAAATCACAGTAATAGACTAAGTTGATGTACTTTGCTAACCATAGTTTTATAAGTTATTCTGAATGTAAGAAATAATAAGTTGTATGCTATGTTTGTTTTTTCTTTTTCAGCTGAGTTTCCACTTAGTCACCTCCTACAGCCCTTCAGGCAGTATTACCTACAGGCAGAGCATTCCTTACCAGCTCTCATTCAGATCAGGTAAGAGCATTAGTTATTTGTCATCATGATAAGCTCCCTTTCCAGTAAATAAATAAGAAGTTGTCCATGTGACATAGTAGAGTTATGTTAATTTGTTAAGTTATTTGTGTATCATGTTACTTATGAAATAGACTTTTAGAATCAGAATGTTAGTGCTATTATTTTTGTAAGGCCAGGAGCTAAGAAGGGACTTGAGAAATAATGTGGTCCAAGTCTTCAATTACATAGATGACAAAATGTGTCCAACAGGGTTTAACTGACTCCCTTGAGCCACGTAGCTGGTTGATGGCAGAGTCTGGTCTAGAATCCTAGGTCTTCTGACTTTTATCACAGAAGTTCAGAGGTGGAAGGTATTCCACAAGCCACCTGATGTAACCTGTTTCTGAAAAGGAACCCTCTGTATAATTCACATGACAAGTGACCATCTAGCTTCCACTCAGAGACTTCCAGTGAAGGGCAACCCATCTACCCCACAAGCCACTTTTTGATAAGTCTGTGTTAGGAAGATTTTCTTGACACCAAGCCAGACCTACCTCTGTGATTTCTGCTTGGTGCTCTGAGTCCTGTCTTCCAGGGCTAATAAGAAATGTCTACTGTCCCTTGCACTATCATTTCTCCCTGTCCACATACCCAGAATCTTTTTTTCTTTAGGTTAGACATCCCTAGTTCCTTCAGTCCATCTTCTTGTGGCATGGTCTCCTCTTTCCTCATCATCCTACTCACCTTCTCTGGATGTACTCCACCATGTCATTGTAATTAAAATGTGAAACCCCAGGGGAAGATGCCACCCCAATTCTGGTCTGATCTGTACAGGACATAACTATGACCTTCCTCATTCTGGCACTTCCTCTTATAACTGGGGTCTTGCAATACACTTGCTAAAAAAAGGGAAGGTTACTTTTCCTTTTCACCGTACTGACACTCAAACAATATTGATTTGAAGTGCTAGCATCATTTTTCCAGTTCTTCATGCTAATGCAAAACAAACTTCTCAACAACAACTGACAGTGGAACTGACAGCAATAATCTTGCAAAATCTGTTCTGGACTTAAGTCCTGAGAGCAGGAGCCCTGTGTTTTCACCTTGTCCTATCTGGGTGACCTTGGGCAAATCACTGGCTCCATTTTCCTCATCTCTGAAATGGAATTAAATTGTGACGTAAAGGACAGGGATTTTCAAGGGTGGGTATCTGAGTCTTGGTTCTGTTATTTATAACCCACATAACCTAGGGCAAGCCACTTAATCTGCCTTGATCTCACGGTTCTGATCTGTAGAGTTGGGGAACGGGACTATAGATAACCTTCAGGATCCCTTCCGTCTCTCACATTTTATGATTCTCTAAGAACGTAACATTTTCCATACTAAGGAGAACTACTTACTTTATTCTGATGAAGGACAAAACATTTATGTTTGGATACAATTCTGAACCTCCAAAAATAACTTCCCATATTTTAGTCAGGAGTTTAATCAATTGATAGTATTTGTAGTTGAAAAAAGAAACAAATAAAGAATGTTTTCCTCTCTTTGTTTACATTTGAGAAACTTAGTCTTTTACATTTTAGAACAAGACAGGTTCTATAATAGTGTAACAAAAATAAATTGTATGTTTTTGCTGAAGTAAAACTGAAATAAACTTTTGTTCTGAAATGTTCTTCAAAAGGCACGAATGGGATCAGTATTTGGTGCCCGCAGATCACCCTGAAGCAACCTCAGTTCCTCAAGGATGGGTCATTCCTACACTCCCCAGCAGTGATGCCTGGGCAGCTGCTCTCAGACTGAACCAATGAAGATGGTCTCATGAACATGCTTGTGTCTCTACAGACTGAGCCAGGACAGAACCTTTGAACTCTCTTGGGCAGCTCTGAGTGAAAGTTCTGTTTTCATGATGTAGAGTCCTGTGCTAGAGGGACCTTAGGAGTCAGTAGATTAATACTGATCCTCAGGAAAGGCAAAGGACAGGGAGGAAGGGATGCAAATTGTACTCTTACTGTATAGAATGGCCTTTGTTGTTGCACTTTTAAATTTAATTTGTCCCTGTTTTGAGGGGGTTGGTCAAATGTAACCTCTCTTATGCAATATGTGTGGGTGTGTTCACATACACAAAGAGAAAATCCAGGTGTGCACTGTTGATCTTTCCTGAAAGATTTGAAAAAAAGCTGATCTTTCCTGAAAACAGAGGGTTCTAATGTGTGTTAAGGCCAAATATCTCGTTCTCTTCGCTTCAAGTCATAAGTCCTAGGTTGATACTAATGGTCTTTTTTTTTTAACTAATAGTCTTTATAAAGCAAAAATAACACAAGCTTGTTTTAAAGTCCTTTGTTGGAGTAAGGGCTGCACATTTAAAAACAGATAAAGCACTGATGAGAATGATCCGTAAGCTGCCTTCCTCTTGCCGGCCCTCTCCCAACCATAGTTTTGTAGCTTCATTGTCAATACTACTTTTATCCATACAACAGGAGAAAACATGTTGGTGCTTCTCCACTGGTTCCAGCCTGCATTGGGTCACCTGTGGTTTTTGGATAGGGTGTCTTCTGATCCGGGCTTTCTTCTTCAGGAAACTTGAACAAGGTGTTGAATGCTTCTTTCCACAGGTTAGATGAATCTGCCTTAATTGTAGAGCTATGCCTTTTCTGCAGATTGAAAGTTCTAACGTAAATACATTTCTGTATAGAGATTGGAAGGTTCCATATCCTCATTAATAAAGATTGTAGTGTGCCTCTGGGAGCAGACTTCCTAACCTGAAACTGTTACACATTGGAAGAAATATACAGCTATGTAAAAGCCGTATATACAGTCAGTCATATTGTTTACCTGTTGCTAGCTCATTGATTGTAGATGAGCTGTCTGTTGAAATGCTGCTAAAGCATTTATATATATATAGAGAGAGATATAGATGCAAATATGTATATGTAGCTATGTATATGTAGCTATATATAGCACAGGCTGAGAGGGCAGATTTTCACAGAGTAAAATTTATTTTCATCAATGAAATGGTGTTCTTGAAGATGTTCAGTACTGTAAAATAAGAGTTTACACATGCTTTATGCCAGATGGTATAAAATTAATTTATATTTTTATAAAGTCAAATAAATATTTTATTTTTTAAATCAAGGCTTTTCTCAGTTGTTTGACACACACACAAATGATTGTATAAAGTACATAGCCTGCTATGCAAAAGATATTTAAATTGTTTTAAAATTGTGAAAGCAACAGTAATTCTTCAGAAAAATTGGTCCTACTGGCTGAAACCTTTCTCCTTTGATGAATGAAATAGAACATTTGCCACCTTCAAACCTAGAGGCAAATATTATTACCAACCTGGAAAATCCTTGAGTGTGAGACAAAAATTTTTGTCCCATTTAAAGACATTTAAAGAATATAGACCACTTCTACATTTTGCCCCTCTAATTCAATTCAACAAATGTGTGTAAACATCTGCCAACAGAGCACAGGCTCCGACAGATCCAACCAAATAATCTGAGTGTGGGCTACGTGATGGGCTCCATGTCTGTTGTTCCAAGGACTAGCCTTCTCCAGTTTTGGAAATGTATCTCATCAGGTCAGCCACAGAAACTTGGAGACAGGGTAAATTATAGAAGAGTCATGATTTTCGTTAGTGGAGGTAATGTCTATGGATGAAATCTTTGACCTATGAAATAATGGAGTTTTAAGAAATGTCCAGAACACTCCATTCAGTGCTGGGGGAAATAGAAAGTTGGGAAAGACACGATCTCTTCTTTTGTTGCGCATGTAGGCTGGTGAGACAATGACACAGACAGAAAACCAGACAATGTATTGGGATGGCAAACTGTGGCCTGAGAGCCAAATCCAGCCTCATGTCTGTCTTTGTAAGGCCAGTCAAGTGAGCTAAGAATAGTTTTCACTTTTTTACAAAAACGGGCCACTTGCTGTAGGTTGCCAATTCCTGCTTTCCATGATGAACACAGGAGCGTAGATCTTTGGCTGGAAGGCTGCTCAGAGACTACTTACTCCAACTCACCCATTTTACAGATGAGGGTATAGGCTTAGGGAGACTCGGTGATAATCAGGCTGACAGCTCATAGTATCAAGAAATCTGAACCCGAGTTCTCTGATTCTGGAGCCAGTGCTTTGTTTTCCACTCCTCCGTGCTGTCTCCTAAGGGGAAAAACCAATGTGAAGTTTGAGACAGAGAAGGGTTAGTTACCCAACGGGAATGTTAGGAAAGACTTCAGATATGTCAAAGTGGCGTTTTGAGTTGGGCTTTAAAGGGTGGAAAGGAATTTAATAGGCAAAGAGGAAAGCATAGAGAATTATGAAAAAAAAGACAAGGAGGAAATCATGTTTGCCATGTCTAGAATTTTTCAACGCATATTAGGGAATATGTAGTTCATTTCCCCTTTATTACACCACCCCAAACTCAAGAGCCATAATGCCTATAGGTTGAAACTGGGTTATTTTGACAACAGATTTAATCAGCATTATAGACAGTTGATTTGTTCAATGCCGTATTATAAAGTATCTCTACATCGAGGTTATTGTATATACATTTTTTTTTCTCACTGTAGAAAGGGCATCTGAGTTGAGACATGCCATGCTAGGGGAAAGTACAGCTTATTTTAGATGCGATAATCCAGTACAAAGATTTGTGGAAGGCTAAACGGCAGAATTTGATTACATAAATACAGCATCAGGGGATGTTCAGCCTAGTAACTAGGGTTACATTGTGAGAGGATTTGTAGCTATAAACCACTAGGTTTGCTTCCTGTGATCTAAAGCCATTCACATTGCTAAGCCTATGTCACTGCCTCCACATGTAAGAGAACACAAAGAAAATCCACGTGTCATAGCCATCAAGGCAGCCTTACTGCTCCATCCACTCCAATGAGAAGAAGGAAGCTGCCCTGCATCCTTGCCAGGTAAGCACTAACGTGTGCATGGAATGTTGGCATTTGATATGATCTGTGGGCCATTTATTACATATGGAATTACTGTTTTATGTTTGTGTGTTTAAGGGGAAAGGCAATATATTACCAGGTTGTGGGGGAGGAACACCGTAAATCATACTCCTCTTTTTAAAATGTATATCTATAGACAGACAGATATTTTAATTTAGCACTGATAATTTATTCCAAGATAATGAATGGCTGGCATTAGGCTAACTAGTTGTCCACATGGTGATTTCCCAACTTGGCCCAACCTAACCTTACCACATAGAATTTTTTCCAAAACAGACCCCAAGTAGAGAGTTTATGACCAAACAAGTTATGGAGAGGCTTACAGGAGGTAAAATGGACAATTTTTATTACATAAAATTAGTTTCTAAACAAATAAAGCTAATGCAGTTAAAATCAGAAGAGAAGAAAGAAATTGGAGGAAAAAATTTGCCACAAGTTTCTCTGATAAAAGTCTCATTTCTAAAATAGAGAACTGAATCAAATTTATAAGAATAAGAGTAATTTCCAAGTTGATAAATGATCAAAGGATATAAATAGGCAGTTTTAAGAGGAAGAAATCAAGATATCAGTAGCCAAATGAAAAAATGCTGTAAATCACTAATAGAGAAATGCAAATTAAAACAATTCTGAGGTACTACCTCATACTCATCAGATTGGCTAAGTTGACAGTAAAGGAAAATGATGTGCTGGGAGGGTTGTGGGAAAACAGGTACTTTACTGTTAGTGAAGCTGTGAACTGGTCCAGTCGTTCTGGAGAACAATGAGGAACTATGTGCCTAAAACTGTTCAACTGTGCATAGGAGTGCCCATCAATTGTAGGCAAGTTTTAGTATGTGTATGTGATGAAATACTATTGTGCTGTAAGAAATAATGAAGGAAATGGTTTCTGAGAAACCTGGAAAGACTTAGATGAACTGATGCAAACAGAAGTGAACAGAACCAGAAGAAAAATTTATGTTAACAATATCGTAAAGACAACATCGAAAGACTTAGGAAATCTGATCAACACAATGACCAGCCACAATTCTAGAGGACTCATGATAAAACATGGTACCTACTTCCAGGCAGAAAGATAATGAACTCAGAGTACAGATTGAGGCACATTTGAGGGGCAGAGGGCATGGCTAATATGGGAATTTGATTTGTTTGACTATACATATTTATAACTTGTTTTGTGTTTCTGACTTGGGGAGGGGGAGGAAGAGGCAGAGAGAGGGAGGTAGAAGGGAGAGAATTCAGAACATAAAATTGAAGCAAAAATAAAAACAGGATAGGGGTGGGTGGGATGTAATATGATTAACTTTTAATTAACTAAATTTAAATTAACCACTTAATTTACTTAGATTTTTTTTTATGATTTAACTTTTTGGAGGCAGTCTTGTGTTCTTGCTTACTATTCAGATTCTTGGACATGGACAAGGTCTTTGGTTCAACTGACAGTACCTACTCTGCAGAACCAAGGGTGTTTTAATCAAATATCAGACATTTAGAGACCTCACTGACGTTAGTTATTAGGGGGGAAATGTGAGTTAGGATGGTGATTCTGCTGCAGTTTCCATTCCTGAAAGGATTTCTCTCTTCAGGCCAAAAGGGAAACGTCTCAAGATTTGGATTCCCAAAAGTCAACTTTGCAAAACAGTCTATACAGAGCTTTTCGCTATAACAGATATCACCTAAAATAGAATTTGAGACTTAACGTATAGCAAATTCATCACGGCAGCAAGTCTCCAAACAAACCCAGTTCACTGCATTCCCTATGCCTATGTGGTAATTTAGGAGTTTGCTTCCTGGCTCTGCCTTTCATTTCCCCTCCATTCTCACTAACACCACCCCGGTCCAGATCTTTTAAGTCAATTGTGGCTAGATGCTGGACCACCCACCAAACATTTATTAAACTCTTGCTAGGGACGGGATACTGTGCTAGGGCTCTGGGGATCCATGCGAAGATAAAAATGAAACAGACCCTCCCCTCAAGAAGCTTCCACTGTGCTTCTGAATCTCCCTGCCTCTAGCTTTCCCCCATCTCCAGTCCATCTCTGAAAGATTCTACTTCGAACACTGCTTTGTGTGTATATCAAGATCCTACACACAAGTCTGCTTCCAAAGAGGATCAAGTCCAAACTCCTTGGCCTGGCTTTCACAGCCCTCGACGATCTGGCCACAACCCACCTCTCCAGCTTTATTCCCTCAGTCTTCCCCGTGTGTCACCTGCCAGAGCCAAACTAATACTCCCTTTCCCCAAAGCACAGGGCACTGTTATAGTGAGTGCCTTTGCTTGCACTGCTTGTGATGACTTGCTTTCTCTCCACTTAACTAAATCCTGCCTGTCCTACCTGAGGGCCACTAGGTGGCGTCAGTGTCCATAGAGTGCCCGAGTCAGGAAGCCTCATCTTCCTGAGTTCCCATCTGGCCTCAGACACTTACTAGCTGTGTGACCCTGGGCAAGTCACTTCACCTTGTTTGCCTCAGTTTCCTCATCTGTAAAATGAGCTGGAGAAGGAAATGGCACACCACTCTTTGCCAAGAAACTCTCAAGTTGGGTCACAAAGAGTCAGGCACAATTGAACAACCTATCCTTTAAGGCTGAACTTAAGTCCTACTATAAGGCCTTCAGCAACTGTTCAAACCCACAGGGTTTTCTCCCAAGTAGGGACAGTGTTAAATATTATTATTATTACTATTGTCTTCCTCTATCAGATTGTAAGCTCTCTGAAGGCAGGGACTGCCTTTTTCTTATTTGTATCCCCAGCACTTAGCACAGTGCCTGGCACATAGTAGCCACTTAATAAATGTTTATAATAAATGTAGACCTCCCATTTATTGTTTGGCGCTTAGTATATGGTGTCTTGTCTCGATTAGCAATTTGGGATGTGTTTAGCCTCACCAATAAGATGATTGTAAAATCCTTGAACTCAGGTGTGCCCTCATTTCTGCATATTCCCTCCTACTCTCCACACATCACACACACGGCACCTTCCATAGCGCCTTTGACATAATTGCTCCCTGATAGGTGTGTTGACGATGATTTACCTTTGAGCACTGGACTAGGCTCTTTGCCCCTCTGTTCTTCCTCCCCTGTGGAGGGAGAGCAGACACTTGCCACACAGCAGGGCTGCAGTGAGCAGAGCCGGGGCAGAGTTGACAAGTAAGAGGTTTAGCCAGATGGCCTTATGCTACCTTTCCAGGCTCAGATTACCCTATTTCCCACGTGGAATGATGTCATCATTTGTGTAAGAGGATGCTTGGAGCTGTTGGTTCAGAAGTGGTGGGGGATTTATGCTAATCCCTTACACAGTAAGCAAGGCCTCCCCCTCAGCCCTCACCTCATTGAATCCTCTTTTGTAACAAAGAAAAACAGTTAAATCACTTGACTGTGCCAAAGTGTCTGGCTGAGGTAAAGAGCCCAGCATAACTGCAGATTATCAACAAATTTAACTAGCTTCGTTTTACCAACAGATAGAGCAGTAGGTCCCATCTTTCTAACACTTTGAAGCTTACTAAGTCCTTGCAAAGGTTGTTTCATGGATCACAGCATTCAGGTTAGGAAGGAAACGGACCTTGGGGACCTCCTAGACCTCTCCGCACAGCAAGCCTGCAAGGCTAATTTTCTTATCCTCTGGTTGAATGGATAGCTCATTTTCAAGTGAAGAAAATGAGATTTGAAGTGAAATGAATTGCCCAAAATTGCACAGGCAATGACTCGAACCTAGGTCCTGTGGGGTATTATAACCTATCAGTACAATCTTAAATTTTGTCCTTAAAAGGAAAAGAGCTACCTTGTTTCTTACTTTAGGGATACCCATAGGTATGTGCTGGTAAGTGTTAAAAAATTGGTTCTCTTCGGGGATGAGAAGGGGGAGGTAGGTTTGCACAAACTACACACTTTTAACTTTAATCTTCATTGTTAATGTTTTCTCCATCTTTTTTTATGTCTAAAGAGTCAACAGAACAATAAATCAAGTCATAGATTAGTAGTGTTTGCTGATTTCCATGGTGTAAAAATTCACACTGATCTAACAATAAGCCACCAGGCGTTGAGGTGAAGAAATACAGTGGATAGAGCCCTGGGCCTGGAGTCAGGAAGACCTGAGTTCAGAAATGACCTCAGATATTTACTAGCTGTGTGACCCTAGGCAAATCACTTAGCCCTGTTTGCCTCAGTTTCCTCATCTGTAAAATGAGCTGGAGAAGGAAATGGTGAACCACTCCAACATTTTTGCCAAGAAAACCCCAAATGGGGTTGTGAGGAGTCGGATACAATCGAACAACAACCGTCTACACATACACATCTACTTTTGACATGTCTGGGAAACTTTCACTCTATTCCTGCCTGAACCCATTTAAGGGGAAGTCACCTAAAAGACCAACAAGACCCCAAAATGTGGGAAAACGGCGCCACGCACCCCACCTTTGCTGTTTTGTTGAAATATGATCTGACCGATCCAACATTCAACCACAAAGATAGACCCCAGTTTTCCTCCTTTGTTCTTTGATGTGTCTATGGGCTCTCTATTGACCTTGAGACATCCCCTGGAGCCTCTGTGATTACAGCATCTGAAAGCCTTGGAAGACCATCTCACAGTGCTGGCTCCTTAGATACAGATCATCTTTGTGGGGTTAGCCAATGAGAAACATCCTAAGTGTGTAAATATGTAAATCTGGAAAGAAGGAAGAAAGAGATGAAGTCATTTTGGTCTGTAGTGATTGGCTCAAAAAAAAAAAAAAGGAAATGCAATGATTGACACCTCTCCCTCTAGGCAGCTCCGTGTGTTCTATTCTTTAGTCCATTGTGGAATTCTGTAGCTTCTCTTTCTAGTGTCTCTCTCTCTCACAAAGCCCCATCCCTTGCTATGCCTCCCCCTGGTACCAGCAAAGAAAGTACCATGGACAAAAATTGGGGTAACCCTGGAATGTGGAGTATTTCCCATTAGCAGAGCAATTTATCACCAGTTACTGATGAACGATATTAAATTGATGCTGTTTGAAGAATTCACACCTTGCTTTCCCCCTGCCTCCGCCCCAAGCATTTTGGTGCCAACAAAAACTAGTTTCAACGAACTTGAAAGGCAGCCTTGAAGAGGGAAAGAAGGAGAAAAGATAGTACAAAAGGGTACCATTCAGGCAGCCAGAGTAGAGAGAATATGGAAAATAGGGTGGGGACTTGGTTGTTAATCACGGTCTCCTAATGGCGGGGTACTCTACAAACCTGATTGAGTGTACGGGAGCCCCCTGTCCTTTTTAGCACCGGCCAACATCAGCCAACAAGTACTTATTGTCTGCTGTGTGCCAATTATATTTTCCTCTCTCCCAATGACTGGAGCCATTGCCTCCAATTTTTTGATGTGAGAAGCAAGATGATCCACCCCCCCAAAAAAAAACCCACTGGACCCCAAAATGACCACCCTGTCTATCTTGGGGGGCAGTTCTGATTACACAAGGCGCTGTGCTAGACACAGTACCTTGATTCATTGTCTAGAGAGCAGTACTAGTAAGTCTCTTCTCTGCTTCATATCTCTCTAGATTAACTAGGTCTTCTCCATGGCTAATTATCTGGCCAAAACGTTCCCTTTTTCTCAAGGAAGACCCATTGGCAGTGTGGCTAACTCATTGGAATCCTTCATTACTTCTTCCAAGTGCATCCTCTACTATGATAATTTTTTTTTGTGTAAAAAAGGCAACATATTTACATTTAACTAAATTTTGTCATGAAAGAGAGAGTCCCTGGTCTCTTGGGGCTATATGTCAAGGGGAAAAAACATATTTTGCAGGGTTTTTTTTTTGTTCAGTCATTTTAGTCATGTCTGACTCTTCTTGATTCCATCTGAGGTTTTTCTTGGCAAAGATACTGGAGTAGTTTGCCATTTCCTTCTTCAGCCCATTTTATATTATAGATGGAAAAACTGAGGCAGACAGGGTTAAGTGAATTGCCCAAGGTTACATAGCTAATAAGTGTCTGAGGTCACATTTGAACTCAGGTCTTCCTGACTCTAGGTCCAGCACTCTATCCACTGCACCAACTAGCTGTTCTTTACAGATAAAGATATAGATAATATAAAATCTGATTCTTTGACCCGTACAACATGGATTATTGTAACACTATAGAGTCACCTACCTCCCTCAAGTGTGATTGTGAAGAAAATGCCTTGTAAATGTGAGTTATTATTATCATAAGTCATGATTATGCCACTAGTTGACTCTGTGTCCTTATCTCTGAACACCTCAATGATGTCACCTGTGAAAATGAGGGCATTAGCATAAATGACCTCTGAGACTCCTCTTTGCTCTTAACCTGTTATAATTAAAGGCAAGAAATTTCAAAATCACTAAAGCATTTCAGAGACATCTATGGGGAAAGGGCTTGGATGAGGGTCATGGATGGCCATGAGAGAGGGGGAAGCTGTCACTTATCATGCCTGGAGGGCTCCAAGCTCGAAGCTTTTCTGAGCAGCTCCACTGTTATATGTAATTCAGGACAAATAGACACCTTTATAGACTGAGTTATATATGTAAAGTTCTTCAAAACAATATGAATAAATAGTTATCATAATAGCTAATATTTATATAGTGCTTACTATTTGCCAGGCACTGTGCTAAGTGCTTTACAATTATTATCACATTTGATCCACACAACAAGGCTGAGGGAGCTATTATTATCCCCATTTTACATATGAGGAGACTGAGGCAAAGAGCGTGACTTGCCTAGGGTCATAAGGCTAGTAAGCATCTGAGGACAGATTTGAACTCAGGATTTCCTGACTCCATATCCTGACTCTAAGCTCATGGCTCTATCCACTGCACCATCTGTATGTAAGGTCCTGTGCTAGATGCTGTGGAGGTGAAGAATACAGGAGCAGAATTAAACATGATCCCTGCCCTCAAGCGGCTGACAGTCTAGTTGGGGAAAGAGAACATAAACACTTGAAAAGGTAGATAGCAACCTAAGATTTAAGAAGGTTCAAAACAACAGTAAAAGGGATAACCATGATGGTGTTTTCTATGTGCCAAAGAGGGGGTACAGACAAGAAGTGCTGTGTAGAAGAGAGCATGAGTACCATGGGCACAGGTATTTAGGGACTGCTTTTGGCAGAGGACAAAGGACCTTGAAGGACACATAGAATTCTAATAGATAGTAGTAGAGAAAGCATCTCATCTGGAAGAAATAGCGTGAACAGAAGGTGGAAAGAGGAAGAGTGAAAGGTGGTTTAGCTCATTAATAAACCATTTTTGGCAGAAGAGGGTCGAAATAGGAGTTTGGGAAATAATAAGGCTAGAAAGGTAGATTGGGGGCCAGCTAGATGTTGGAGACAACAGAGCACCCAGCCTGGAGTTAGGAAAGCCTGAGTCCAAATCCAGCCTCAGTTTACTTATCTGTAAAATGGGGATAACAATAGCACCCACCTCCCAGGGTTGTCATGAGGCTCAAAAAAGATATTTATAAAGTGCTTAGCACAGTACCTGGCACATAGTAAGTTCTATATAAATATGAGCTATTATTATTATTAAGTGAACACTATATAAATATCAGCAGTTTATAGTATAATTGTTGATAACGTAATCCCTGGATTGTTGTTTTTTTCTTCCTTGGGCAGTGCCAGCCTCTTCACCTTTTTCCTTCCTGGGTCTTCCTCCAAATTCCACAATCTGCTGTTCAGAGCCTAAGTGAAGTCTTCTGGATTCCTTTGATCATCTTTGAACTACTGAACAGCAGGGGTCCAGGATGAGTTACCTGGATGGAGTCCCTTTCAGGGTTTCCAAGAGTTTTATGGTAGAATGGGAACCAACCACAGCCTCCAACTTCTGTGTACCTGACTGCAGAGAGCTCCTGCTAGGCTCCATGGTGAGTATGTCTGTCTGCCAGCTCCCTTTTAGTCTGGGACCATGAACACTTGTAGTTGATGGAACGTTAGAGAATCCCAGAATTCCGGTCTTTTGGAGGAAAGCCCATGCTGTCAGAAGTTAACGGTACGTGTGTTCTTATGTGCATAGGGCAAAAATTTTACCAGGTGATTTCATTCCTTTAAGACTGGAAAAAATGAAGCAGTTAGACTAAATAACTTGGTTAGCTTTAAGGGTGGGGTAAACGGACCTCTAGCTATAATTTTGAGGGTCCCCAGGAGTCCTCTGACTAACACCTCTACCTCACCAATATGGTAAACCATTGGCAAGCCATTGGTGGAAGCAGTGAATCCTGAAAGCCTCCATTCAGATTCAACTGTTACCTAAAGTGGAGAACACATTAATCCAGCCCGTACCTTTGAGAATCTCTCAAGTTAAATGTCTTTTGGAGAGAAGGAACTATTTACTTCCTGGACTCCTTTTTCCCAAGAATTCTGCCAGCTCTGTTGCAGTTCTAGATATGGGAAATGAATATAGCTACACCATGGGAATAGAGAGAAGCAGGGTAGAGCATCGGGTAGACCATTAGAGTCAAAGGCTCTGGCTTTGAAATCTGACTTCTAGCCCCCATGTGACCTTAAGAGCAAATCACTTCATCTCTCTGGATCCCACTTTCCTGTTCCGTACAAGGGAGGGTTTAGACTGGTAATCTTTTAGATCCATTTCAGTTCTGACATTCTATAGGAATCAGGTTCTGTGACTGATAGCAGGCTGTATGGCATTATTGAACCACAAGGGGGAGCCTTTGTCCCACGTCTTGGACCTCATTGGGTCTGGACTCATCTCCCAATGAGAGCAACCCTTCCAAATTTCCCTGAGAATTACCCTTAGGGAATCAATCAATCATTCAATCAACAAGTAGTCATTAAGCACCTGTGATGATGCCAGAAACTGGGCTGGACGCTGGGGATTCAAAGACAAATATGAAACCATCCCTTTTCCTGAAGGAGTTTACCCTGTTTCTCTTTCCTCCCCAAATAAAACCCCTTTGGGCTGTCTTCTGGTCGTCATCATCTCATTGTCATCATCATCACTAGTATTTACATTACTGCTTTAAGATTTGTGAAGCACTTTGAATACATCTCATTTTATTTTCACAACGACCCTTGAAAGGTTGTTATTCACTCATTTCAGTCATGTCTGACTTCATGACCCCATTTGTAAATTTGATGGGGTTGAAGAAGCCATCTGGGACTTTAAAAAAATTCTTGGAAAAGATATTGGAGTGGTTTGCCATTTCCTTCTCCATCTCATTTTACAAATAAGGAAACTATGGCAAACAGGGTTAAATGACTTGCCCAGGGTCACACAGCTAGTCTGAGGCTAGATTTGAACTCAGGAAGTCTTTCTGACTCCAGGCCTGGCACTCTATCTACTGCATCACAGTGCTATGATTATCCCCTTTTGACAGATGAAGAAACTGAAGCGGTCACCTTAAGGCAACCGCCTGGTTGCCTTCAAGCTTTCCTTTGGCATTCATTTTACTTATTTTTGTGAGTTTTATTGAGGCCTTTTATTTTTGCATCACAGTCATTTTCTGAGAAAGCTTGCCCCAACCCTACTGCAGCACTGAACCCTCAGTCAGCAAAAAACGACAAACCCAGTGAGCCTATATCTGAGAATATAGGCGGCATTCTGGTCCTATCATCCCTCTCTCTCTACCGGGAGGAGGAAGATATTCGTCATTATCTGGTCTCTCTAACCAAGACTGGTCATTGCAATTACTCGGAATTTCATCCACATTCATTTTAACCAGATTACAGACACATAGAAATGTATGGGGGGCGGGGGGAGGGGAGTCACAGATAGATAGGCATCAACCGAGAGCTCTCCAAGTCCCTCTGACCCAGTCTCAGCTGAGGGGGGCAGTATTACACTGTCCTTCTGAGGCACCAATCAAACTTGTCAACAGAGGAGAATGGAAAATTGGTGATCTGGCCTCCTTTGATTTATTGCTAAATCCATCCAAAAGTTTAGCTTTTTGGGAATAGAAACACAGTGTCCCCAGTGATAGATCAGTGTCTCTGAGAGTCTTCCACCATCTTGTTCTCTTGACCTGGAAGATGGCAACTACCAAGTTATGAGTAAAAGAGAAAAAACCTTTTATCCAGAGATTTATGTACTCAGATGGATCTTAGATTTCATCCAGTAAGAAAAGGGGTAAGTGTCATGTGCCTGAGACTGGAGTTGAACTCACGTCCTCCTGACTCCAAGGCCAGAGCTCTATCCACTGCACCACCTCACTGCCCTGATGTCTTTTTTATATCACCATACTCTCCCACACATACTCCTCTTCCTCCCTCTCCTAAAGAGCCATTTCATCTAACAAATAATATTTTTAAAGGCAGAGAGAGAGAGACAGATAGAGGGAAAAAATCAGCATAACTGATCAGTACACAAAAAAATCCTGAAAAAACCCCACCCCTCCACCCCCACCTCTGCAAAGGGATAGAATAAGTCAATAAATTTAGTATCTTTTTCCATCCTGAAAGGAGGGACTTGGGAAGCATGAGCATAGTAGGTGTCTTATGGATTTAGGAACTAAAGGTAGTGGGGTGGGGGTGGGGATAGGAAAGAGAAATGGAACCTCCAAAGGCAAATTTCAGCAAATTCACAAAATTACATGGAAATTAATTAATTAGTTAAACCCCCTCCTTCAATTTTTTGAAACAAGTTCACAGACCTCAGGTTAAGAACCCCTGTGTTAGAAAGAGAATCTGTGGGATCCCCAGTATATGGGTGGTCTAGGGGGCAGCCATAAGAACAATTCAACCAGAAGCCAAAGAAAGGGGTTCTGGGGCCCAGACAGAAAAAAGTTCTGCTTCTCTTGGGACCTGGGAGACCCAGAGGGTGAGTTCATCCTTGCAGTAACACTGCAATAGCCAGGTCCTTCTCTGGCCTGAAGAGGAAAGTGCCAAGGAGCCCTGGAAACTCCTGTCTGGTGCTCCAAACCTGCGCCACCAGAACTCAGTACAAGCTGTGTATCATCCATACTTCGAACTTCTTCACATGGTAGTAAAGTGTAGTCATGCGCCTGAACTGACTGACTTAAGGATACAGTGGAGGAAGGAATACCACCTCTGGAGAGGAGGAAAGAATGAAGAAAGGTCATAGTCTTCATATCCTCAAGTAGCAACACTGGAGGGGACAGCTAGGTGGTGCAGTGGATAGAGTGCTGGGTTTGGAGTCAGGAAGACCGGAATTCAAATCCAGCTTCAGAAACATGTATGACCTTGGGCAAGTCACTTAACCTCTGTTTGCTACTGGAGAAGGAAATGGCCAAGATAACCCCATGGACAGAGGTCCTGGGGGTCACAAAGAGCAGGACATGCCTGAAATGACTGAACAAAACAAAAGTAATACTGGAACATGACAAACAGGGGCAGAAACTTGTGGCTGAGAACAACCTTTGGTGTGTTCCCTGTTTCATGAGAGGCTGAATTTATACAAAGCTACAGAACAAATATTAAGATGTTTTGGAGACAGAGGACCTGGGTTCAGATTCTGATTCTGCCAATTCTTACCTGGGTGACTTCAGGCAAATTGATGAACTTCTAAGGATTACAGTTTCCTTATCTGTAAAATGAGAGCTTGGAATTAGATGACCTCTAATAATCCCTTCCAGCTCTCAATCTGTGAACCTATGTTCACATGTGAATCTTCCTTTCTGAGTCTCTTTTTGTATGTGTCTATTTCTGTTTTTTCTCTGTGTATCTCTGTGTGAGTACCTCTCAGAGTGTCCCCCATTCATCACTGGTGTGGGACTCTCTTTGTGTGTGTCTCTGCATACATTTTTTTCATGTTTGTCTCTTTCCTACTCCTCTGCCCACCTCAAACTTTGCCCATCTTTTCTTTCCTAACTTGGCTATAATTAGAGTGTGAGGTTGTTGTCTTTTAACATTTTTTAAAAATAGAATTCTATGTACCCTATTCTCAAACTTAAAAGTAAATGAATGGAATGTTTCCTATTTCTCTCTCTCAAAAAGAAAAAGCTGCAAACCACCTAACTAAATTAGTTTCTTTATTACTTTTGCTTATGTAACTCTCAGTTGCTTTTTCTTTTCTTTTTTTATTAGTACCCACTGGGTTGGGTTCTAGGGATATTGGGGCAGAGGGAGAGGAGGAGGAAAGAGGAGAGATATGGTACGTACACACACACACACACACACACACACACACACACACACGAGATACCCTAATGGGTGGACAGCTTACAATTTTCTGAGGGAAGATGAAGCAGGTGATGATGAGACACCCTCCCCCCAAAAAAACCCCCAAACCAGAAGGTCTCTATACCTTTGACCTAAACCACACCACCTTATAAAAGAACTGTCTTTTGTTGTTCAATTGTTTTAGTCATATGTGAATCTTTGTGACCCCATTTGGGTTTTTCTTGTCAAAGATACTGGAGCAGTTTGCCATTTCCTTCTCCAGTTCATTTTACAGATGAGGAAACTGAGACAGACAGGGTTAAGTGACTTGCCCAGGGTCATACACCTAGTAAGTGTCTGAGGTCAGATTCGAATGTAGGTCTTGCTGACTCCAGGCTGGGCGCTCTATCCGCTGTGCCACCTAGCTGCCTCAAAACAACTGGGGAGGGGGGAGTAAAGGGGAGACTTAAAAATGTTTGAAATAATTTTGTCTTTTGGGGTCTTAGATACTGGATCTCACTCTTGCTTTTTCTCCTGTAGCATGATTTTTCCCTGGAGAGAAAGGTGCTTTACTGGTTGGAGGCTGCAACAAGACAAGAGATGAGTTGGGGAAATGAGGCCCCTGGGATGGCCACTGCACCTCCGTGTTGGCTCCTTTTGGTTGACTCATTGGATACATCCAGTGCAGCTGAAGCTGAGCAACAAGAGGACGGAGAGAAAAACTCTACTCAACTTGGGAGCTGGAAATGTGGGGAAGATGGATTCACTGAGGAGGAGGAAGAAGAAGAGGAGGAGGAAGAGCAAGAGGAGGAGGAGGAGGATAGTAGCCCCAAGGAGATGCCATCTCCCAGCTCTTTCCGGGGCCCCAGGCCATTCCTTGAAAAAGGTTATACTAGCTCCCCAGGGTCACCAAGTCTAGGCCATCGGAGGAGGTCTCTAGACATCTTCCACAATGTGAAGAACGAGCTGGAGGGTGTCCGAAGAAGGTTATCATTGCTGCTGCCTCCATTGAGTCGGGCCGCTTCACCCGAGCGCAGACTGGCTGCCAAGTCCTTGGCTCTCTACCACCGATTCAGGAACAACAGGACCATGACCTCTACCGCACCTGTCCTTGACGTGCCTCCCCCGGCACCCCCAACAACGCCTCCAAGACCATCCACAGCCGGCTGTATCCCTCCCATCTGGAGTCACAAGCCCACGGTCCCAGTAAGGCTAGGAGTTGTGGGCTCAGATCCCATATCCACAAAACCTTTCTCACCAGTGCCCTTGACTATCCCATGTCCCCCCACCCCCAAAAAAAACCACCAAGCTTTAACCTGAAGAGAGAGAGAGAGAGAGAGAGAGAGAGAGAGAGAGAGAGAGAGAGAGAGAGAGAGAGAGAGAGAGAGGAGAGAAATAGTGTGGACTGGCAGATCCTGGGGCCTCCCAGAAACAGGGGCTTTACCTGCATTGGCCAGTGCCAGGTCTAATCAATCAGCCAGGCAGGAAACGTTCATTGAACCAATTCAATTCAACAAATATATTAGATGACTGCTATGCACAAGAAAATATTGTGGGTGCAGGAATACTGGAGGGAAGGGAGGGACATAGCATTTACGCATACATACAAGATGCCCTAATGGGTATAGAACTTAAAATATTTTTATGTGGGCATAAAAGCACAGGTGGTAGAGAAAGAAGACAAACACATGGAAAAGGAAGTAGCAATAAGAATGCAGATGTCACAAAGCAGTACGTGGTGACTGCCAAATGGATGGTGCAGACAAGTGAGAAGAGCATTGGATTTAGAGGCAGACAACTTGGGTTCAAGGCCCAGCTCTGCCATCTATTGCCCATGTGACCTGGGACAAGTCATTTAACCTCTCTGAACCTATTTCCTTATCTATAAAATGAGGGCACTGGCCTAAATGTATGGAAGGGCTTTGATTTGGGAAATCTTCAGAGAGGAGGTAGGCTACGAAGGACAAATAGGTTGGTAGTGAGAAATAGTGACAGAGACAGAAGTGGGCTTTCCTACTGATAGCTGAACTGTCAGTAAGTCAATAAGCATTTATTAAGCACCTAATATGTGCCAGGCACACAATATACAGATCCTGTGCTTTAAAATCATAGAATACTACAGAGGGTTGCTGTTGAGTTGTTCCAGGCATGTCTGACTCTCTGTGCCCTCTTTTGGGGATTTGTTGGCAAACATACTGGAGTGGTTTGTCATTTCCTTCTCCAGCTCATTTTACAGATTAGGAAACAGAGGCAAACAGGCTCATGTGACTTGCCCAGGATCACATAGCTAGTAAGTGCCTGAACTCAGGTTTTCCTGACTCCAGGGCTCTGTCCACTGCACCAAACTTAGCTGCTGTGGGGGAAGGATCTTTAAAGTTTATCACAGTCCAACTCCATGTTATAGTTGAAGAAACCATGGTTCAGAGAAGGAGGATTAAGTTGTGTAACTAAAATCACACAGCAAGTTAGTAGGAAAGCCTAGACTAGAGCCTGTCTCCAGACTCCTAGTCTTGCATTTTCTCTGCTACATCATAGAACCATGGCAAGGAAGAGGAGTGGGACAGGTACAGGAAGAATTCCCATCCAGGCCCCAATAGCTAAGTCTGGTTTTCTGGGGCGAGTCTTGGAAGGATGGTTTTCGTTATAGTTACATGTTTCTTTCTCCAGGTGACCTATGGAATAACTAAAAGGAGATTTTCTTTCATCTGGGGGAGAGGGAGATGTTTAAAACAAAACAGACTGAGACTTTCCCAAGCCTTCTGTCTTCTGATTTTTATCAGTTTTGGCCACAGGACTGTTTGAGGTTTCCCAAGCAACATAACAAAGCATATTAGATTCAGTCTGTTTGTTGCAGAAATAAGCTGGCAATACGCTTTTTTAAGAGAATATAATAGGGGAAAAAAGGCTAGTGTAGACAAGAGGGAAAATCCTCTGCCTTTGTGTCCCACTCTTGGAATAGATCAAGTTAAGTCTGCTCGACTTAACTCTAGCTCATGGAGAGAAGAGCACAATCTAATTCAACAAGCATTTATTAACCGCCTACTTCATGCTAGGCACTGTCCGTGGTGCTGGGGGTAGTAAGGTAGAAGTGAAACAGTCCTTACCCTCAAAAAACTTACATAAACAGCATACGCACAGATAAGTCTGCATAATATATATTCAGTGTAAATGCAAAGTAGTTTGTTGCAAGAGGGGACCAGAAAACAATTAGGGGGATCAGGAAAGACCCCAGATAGGAGCTGGCACCCAAACTGTGCTTCACGTGTCCACTGAGATCTGAAGAAAACAGAATTTTAAGATCCAACAGGACCTCCTGTTTCCTCCTTCATTGTGGATTTGCCCATGAGTGATCTCAGTGCACCTTCCCAAAATCTACCCTTTCTTTTTTTTATATAAATTTATTTATTTTTAGTTTTTAACATTTACTTCCACAAGATTTCGAATTCCATATTTTCACCCCATCTTGCCCCTCTCCCACCCCAAGATGGCATGCATTCTGAATACCCCTTCCCCTAGTCTGCCCTCCCTTCTATCTCTCCCCCACCTCCTTTTCTTATCCCCTTCCCCTTCTATTTTCTTGTAGGGCAGGATAGATTTCTGTACCTCATTTCCTGTATTTCATACAAAATCTACACTTTCTTCATATTTCAGTCTCTCAGCCCATACTCCTGCCTCCCACCTTGTCCTGGCACTCCAAGTCCTCTCAGTTCTGATAACAGCCACCCAGATTCCACTGCTGATCTGCTGTCTGCCCTGAGTCAGGAGGAGCGAGACCTCATTGAACCTGTACTGGCTCTAGGGTACCCCCTGCGCAGGGCCGTTCTGGCTCTGCAGAGGACAGGGAGGCAGAGCCTGAGCCAGGTGAGTGATGGAATCCAAATCAAGTAAGTGAGACAGTCTGGAGCAGGCAGATGGTAGAAGGTGGGGCAGGGAAGTGTTGCTTCTAGATGGCTTGAAAAGCCATTTACTTCAATAATTCAATTCAATAAACACTTGTTAAACACTTGCTGTTTGCAAGGCACTAGGTTGGTGTTGGGGATGCAAAAATAAAACCAAAAACAGTACCTGTCTTCAATGACCTGACATTCTACTGGAGGAAGAGGAGAATACAACATAAACACAGAAGGAAATACAAAAGAATTTGATGAGGGAGAAAGCAATAATGATTTGGGAAATCAAGAAAGGGGAGTCACCCCACAGATTCTCTCTATACAGGGTAGCTTATTCATTTTTTTTAAATAGGCAATTGGCATTAAGTGACTTGCCCAGGGTCACACAGCTAGTAAGGGTCAAGTGTTTGGTCTGAGACTGGATTTGAACTCAGATCCTCCTGACTTCAGGGGCACTCTATCCACTGTACCACCTAGCTGTCCCCAGGGTAGCTTATTCAGCTGAAAATAATGATTATTATTTTTTTTGGATTTTTTAAAATAATTTCAGAAAGTAAAAATCCTGATAGTTTTGGAATGTTCAAAACCACCCCTTCCCCCTGCAAAAAAAAAAAGGCAGAATTGCATATTGGCTAGAATTCTAAATTTACAGTCACCAAGTTCTAGGTTCAAATCCTGCTAGAGATCCTTATTAACATTGTCTCTGGGCAAGTCACTTAACCTCTCCAAATCCCATTTTCCTGAAAAATTATTATAGAGCTCCTTGTAGCTTGGGAATTACCTTGTAGAGTTGTTGTAAGGACCAAATGAAATAACATATTCTTGAGGAATTGACTTGATACTATGCATTTTTTAACTTAGCCAAGACATTGTTCCTTATTACTTGTCTGTAAGGGAGTAAGAATTTAAAACACAGACACAAAGTGTTGTTGCTCTGAAGAAGCTCCTTCCTGAGTCAGTCAACTTATCTGGAATCTTTCAAGAAGACAAAAGAAATCATATGATAGCGGTGCAAAGTTATCTGAGAGATGGAGGTACAAAGTTAAGAGATTAATAAAAGAAAAATAAATACACTTTAAAAAAAAAAAAAGAAAGAGGAGAAGAATGGGAGGCAAATCCAAAGAATATTACAGTGAGCCAGGCCAGAGGTGATGAGCTGGCGGCCATGAGAATGGAGAGAAGGCAACAGATACAAGATGTGTTATGGTAGTAGACTCAATAAGGCTTGGCCATTGATTGCATATGGGAAGTAGATAGCTGGGTAGCACGGTTAATAGAGCGCTGGGACTCAGGGAGACTCCTCTTGGTGAGTTCAAATCCAGCCTCAGACACTTACTAGCTGTGTGATCCTAAGCAAGTCACTCAACCCTGTTTGCCTCAGTTTTCTCATCTGTAAAATGAGCTAGAGAAGGAAATGACAAACCACTCCAGTATCTTTGTCAAGAAAACCCTAAATAGGTCACGAAGTCAAGCATGACTGAAATAAAAAAAAAAAAAAAAACCAAAACCCCAACTCATCAATATGGGAAGTGATGGAGAGGAAAGAGTTAAGATGATTGACATTATAGCATTTCCATATACACAATAGAATAGAAAAAGAGGATTGCCCATGAAGTTGCAGACCTCTATTATGTCCAGCTTTCTTTTTAAGTATATAATAAGCTCAACCTGTAGCTTTCAATGCTGTCCACTTATCTGTGCTTCTTTCTGGCCTTCTGCCTTCTTCCTCTGCATTAGTATAAACGTGGGGTCTAGCATATAGGCAGACAGGAAGATACTGTCTAAGCAAGCTAGACTGCCATTGCGCAAGGCACCAGACCCCCATTATATTTGTAAAAAAAAATGCCCCAGTGCTTCTGGGTTTTTTTTCTATCCTTATCACCCTTTCTATACCCCACTGGAAAAAGAGAAAAACAAAGTCCTTGTAGGAGGCAACTAGGTGGTACAGTGGACAGAGTACTGGGACCTGGAATCAGGAAGACTTGAGTTCAAATCCAGCCTCAGCTACTTACTAGCTATGTGGCCTTGGTGAAGCCACTTAACCTCTGTTTGTCTCAATCTCCTCAACTGTATAATGGAGATAATAATAGTACCAGGGTTGTTGTAAGAATCAAATGAAATAATATTTGCAAAGTGCTTAGCACAATGCCTGACATATAGTTGGCATTCTATAAATGCTAGCTATTATTATTATTATTAACAAATATGTGCAAGAACCTTATAAGACAGATCCAACAGCCCGAATGTCTGTGAGAGTCCTGCAAGCAGGTTGTATGGATGTAATTCCAAATCTTTGATAATAGATAAGTCCTGGAACATATCAGAGAGGCTACAAGGTGATTCGTTATGAAGGCCGTTGTTAGGTGAGAGGGGAACATTGACACAGATCTACTTAACCCTTCCTGACCAAAGGGACAGAGAGAACTCAAAGACCTAGTATTTAAAACTTTTTTTAAAAATTGTTCTGGGAATAAGAACAGAGCAATCCAGGCCATAACTTAGGGACAGGGGAAAGGAGAACATTTTGTCTCCAGATTCGGGCCATGATTGTAGAAGGTTCTGCTTAGACTCCAAAAGCCTGTCCAGATGAAATGTCAGAGTCTATGTCCCGCTTCCTTTAGAAGCGATGTGGAGGAGGGCAGGGGAAGATCCGTGAACCTTCATCCCTAGATAAGGGGCCAAGAAATTCAGGCTTTGACAAGTGAAGCCCTGCAAGGGCCAGAAAGAGGAAAGACAGGCAGTAAGCGATGTTCCCTGCAGATAAGACGATGCCAGGGCATCCACCCTGAGGTGGATGGAGGAGAGGGAGGGGACGATGTTCTTTCCATCTTAAGTGTAGCTTGAAGGAATGTGCTGTTACCTCTTTGATCTTGCCAAGCCCATCACACAGTGCTTCTTTTCCCTGACACAGAGTTTATGACTTTTTCAAACTTTTGGAGGAAAGGTGACACTCTGAACCCATTTCCTTTGGAGCCAGCGGGATTCCATCCAAGCTGGTTCCAGGCTGGCTTGGTCTTATGCAGGAGTTGGAGTATGGTTCTGTTTCCCAGGTGACAATGTAATAATAACAACAATAGCTAGCAAATAGATTTCCTTGTCAAGTGACATACCTGACCCTTCTAATGTTTAACTTCTCTGAGCCTCAGTATCCTCATCTGCAAAATGAGGATAATAATGGCATTTCTATAGCTCCTTAAGGTTGGCAACATCTTTTACAAATATTATCTTATTTGGTCCCCACAACCCCGTGAAACGGGTGCCATTATTATCCTGATTTTGCAGATGAGGAAATTGAGTCCCAGAGAGGTTAAACATTAGAGGGACCAGGTATGTCACTTGACAAGGAAATCTATTTTGATAATAAATATGTCTTTCTCCCATCTGTGCAAATGCACTTTAAATACAAATAATTACAAGCAGATGTCCTTTAAGACGTACTGTGACATAACAGATAAAAATGCTGGATTTGAAGTTAGAAAATTTGTATCCCAACTCTGACACTAGCTAGTTTAGGTGTCCCTGGATAAATCACTTAAACTCTCAATCTTAGTTTCTTTATCTGTAAAATGGGATTAATAATAGCTATCATCTCTATTTGAAAGGATTGTTGTGAGGCTCAAATGAGCAAATGCATATAAAGTGGTTTGTAAACTTTAAGTTACTAAGTAAATGTCAGTGATTATTTTTGGCCCCATTATAGTAAGTGGTGAGAGGAGATTCATCCTGGGAGGTGGTACTCAGAGGTTAAACACATCTCTCCCCAGTGTCTTCCCCCCCCCACTCCCCACTCCCCAGACATATATGCACACCTGCATATATGTTTGTGCTTGTGTCTATACATAAGACACAGAGTCTTGCAATAAGGCTTATGGAGGTAGCTAGGTAGAGCAGTGGATTGCTGGGCCTGGAGTTGGGAAGTTACTATTGTTCAGTTGTGACTGACTCTTTGGGACCCCATTTGGGGTTTTCTTGGCAAAGATACTGGAGTGGTTTGCCATTTCCTTCTCCAGCTCATTTTACAAATGAGGAAACTGAGGCAAACAGGGTTAAGTGACTTGCCTAGGGTCACACAGCTAGTAAAGTGTCTGAGGCCAGATTTGAACTTAGGAAGAGGAGTCTTCTTGACTCCAGGCCCAGCACTCTGTGCACTGCACCACTTAGATGCTCAAGAAGACCTGAGTTTAAATCTAGCCTCAGATGCCTATCAACTATGTGACCTGTGGAAGTCCCACCAAATTCCGAAATTCTTTTTTTCTGTGATTGTAAGAAAGGCAGACACACGTATACACATAAAAGTATAACTACCAGATGGTGTATGTCTAACATAACCGTGACAATGTGTGCCAGGTACAAAGCTCTGGTTGATCATCAGGGCTGTAGATGAAAAGACTGAGAGATACTTGGTGCCAGCATGGTCAACTTCTCAGAGGTTTCATGGAGGAGTGGGGAGCTCAGCTGAGCTTTGAAGGATGGATAGGACCCTGATATAGAAAAGAAAAATGGAAGGAAGGGTCTTCTAGATGGGGACACTAGACAGAAAGCAGCCCACTTGGCCAAGGAAAGGAGAGAACACAAGATATGTTTGCATAATAATAATAATTAGTGTTTATAGAACACTTTAAGTTTATATAGAACTTTAAGTGTTTTAAGGCTGTTTATATAACACCCTATATAATGTTTTATAGCACTTTATATAGCACTTTGCAAAGCACTTTACAAATAGTTCATTTTTTCTTCACAACCACCTTGGGAGATAGGTGCTATTAATAGGTAGATGTCATTATTATCTTCATTTTACAGATAAGAGAACTGAGACAGACAGAGATCAAATGACTTGGCCAGGGTCACACAACTAGTAAGTGTTTGAGGCTAGATTTGAACTCTAACTCAGGTCTTCCTAACTCCAGATTCAGCACTGTGCCACTTACCTACCTCTAAGTTTCTCTCTCTCTCTCTCTCTCTCTCTCTCTCTCTCTCTCTCTCTCTCTCTCTCTCTCTCTCTCTCTCTCTTTCTGTCTCTGTCTCTCTCTGTCTCTGTCTCTCTGTCTCTCTCTGTCTCTTTCTCATAGCTCCAAAAATTCAATGAATCTGAGCTTATTCCCCACTAAAAGCTTCCATAGCTTTACCTTGCTTTCTTCAAAAACTGCAGGTCTAGACCAGCAGGAAGGTTATTTCAGCCCATGAGTGGGCTGGAGATTCAGCCTCCCAGCCCTGAGGGTCTGGCCACCCCTACCCCTGTGGAGCTGGAGTAAGGGTCATAGGATCATAGACATAAAGTTGAAAAGGACACACTATAGGCCATTGAGTCCATCTTACAGATGGGGAAACTGAGACCCTTCAAGGTTAAGGACTTGACCAGGGTCTCACAGCTAGTGAATGTGTAAATAAGACAGTATTTGAATCCCCATGCCTCTCTGGTTTCAGTTTCCTACCTGTCTGCCATGCTCCCTCCCTACAGGTGAGGAAAGGTCTCAGACTGACTCAAGGATTAGGACCCTCCTTAATCTGGAGCTCAGCCTGGGCTCTCAGGATCTCTTCCCAAGGGCCAGGAAGGAAAAAGAGGAGGTAGACTGAAGTCTGTGGAGGTTCCAAGAGATTCCCCAAAGGAAGCCTCAATTATAGATAACACCCAGGGATATGCAGGACACACTTTTAAATTTAATCTGAATTGTTAACATTTTCCCCTCACTTTTTTAAGTCTAGACAATTAACAAAATAATAGATCAACCTGGTTTGCATTGATTTTCAATTTCCAAGGTATAAATGTGCATTCTGAAATCTTAAAAATGTATCTGTTCTTCTGAACCAGCAAGAAGTGATTCTAACACACCCCTGGACAGTACTCAGGGATGCCCAGGAGTACTGACCCCTATTCACTTGACCACAGGCTACGTGCTTCTGGGGAGGGGTAGCAAGTTAGAGATGCTAACCCATGAGGAGGTCAGGGCTGCTGAGTTAAGTAGGGGCCAGGACTGTGCAGGCCCAAGAATCCTAGATTCTTGTCCCTGGCTCATTTCCAACAACATTTCTCCATGAACCAAATCCTTCCCCTTCCAGAAGAATCCTCCCCCTACCTTCCTCTTATCCTCCCCCTTTCCCCACCTCCAACTCAGCCATCCCCTTACTCTTCCTCATTATCCCCAACCACCCCCAATAACCTATTTTGGGTCCTCTAACCATTCCCTTCTCTGTCTCTTGCCTTCTGCTGTAGTTTCTCAGCTACCTCAGTACATGTGATCGACTGGTCAAGCAGGGCTATTCCGAGAGCCTGGTGGAGGAGTCCATGGAGATGTTTCAGTACTCGGAGAGCAAGGTCAGGCCAGGCTCAGGTGCTCAGCACAGAGCTCTATACCTAGACCCCAGCCCCTAAACCTGCCTTTGAGGCCAGCCTATGCATTCCTCATTCTGCTTCTCCACTCCAACTCCCACCACCTCACGGTTCTCTTTGGCGAGAAAGGCCCTGCTGAAGTCTGAGCTTGTGAGGTTTCATGTCCAGAGTTGAGGGAACATCTGAGACTATGGCAATCCTGGAACAGCTCAGCCCAGGCAGGATTCCATGAGGTACAGAGGAAGCCAGTGGGTCAGAGCAGAAGGAGGAGGAGGGGTGAACCCAGGGGACAGAGTCAAGAGGGACCAGAAGGCAGTGATGAGGGAGCAAAGAAAGATGTTAGAGTTGGAAGGAGCTTAGAGGAAGGGGTGACGGAATGTGAGAGGATGAGTTTTACAGATGGAAGCCTATAAGGGAGAGGCAATGTAGCCCAGCGGGAAGAGCAATATACTTAGAGTCCAGTTCCTCTGAAGTCCCTCTCAAAGGATCTGTTTTCCTTCCTTCTCTATCCTCAGCAAGGGTTGAACTGTCCCCCCCCCCCATCCCTGCCCAGTACCTCTGCACCCATGGTCAGACTGTACTTGGTGCCACTGCCTTCCTGACCCCGCTCAACTGTAAAAATATTCCAAGTGAAAATATTCCTACTTATGGCTTTGCCTGACCTGTTGGAGTTAGCAACCTAAATCAACTTTTATTCTCAATCCTCAGGAGGAGGCAAAAAGAAAGAGGGTGGCAAGGAGCAGACAGAAGGATGACAGCAGAGAAGAGGGTGATGGAAGGAGACATAAATGAAAATGGAAGACAAAAGGTCAAGTGGAGGAAGGAGAGAGAGAGAAGCAGAGATGAATGACCAAAGGCCAGGTGGAAGGAGAAGAGGGCTAGGGTCAGAGTAGGGGGCAGAGAGAAGAGCAGTCAGGACTTTTTTTCCCCCCAAGGAAGGCTATTGCTTATTTGCTCCTTGATGGGAATGAGAAGATGGAATCTTGCTATGTGAGAGATGGATTTTAGCTATTCCTATGTACCTTCTTTTAGTCTAGGAAAGCCAAATCTTTGCAAGTCTCCAGGGATCTGGGGCAACATCTGTGTCCAGTGACAGGACACCTCTTCCCTGACTAGTGGCCAAGTCTGTACTGTTTCTGTCCCCATCAAAGACAGTCTGTTCCAGATGGACTGTGGGGAGAAGCAGCAGTTGCTCTGGCCTCCTGTGTTGGAGTGTATTGCTTCATATCCTGGAGCTGGGACCCACCAATCTTTTCTTCTTTCTCTCCGGTATCACAGGCATCGGAATTTCTGCATCTCTGGGAGCAGTTCAGTGACATGGGCTTCCAACAAGACAGGATCAAGGAGGTCCTCCTGCTTCATGAGAATCACCGGGAGCATGCTCTGGAGGAGCTCATGACTCGAGCCCAGTGAGGTGTCACACTAAGACTGTCACCCTGATGGACTCTGGGGGGAAAAGGGATTCCTCACTGGGTAATTAGTGAACCCCTAGCCAGGAGCAGAAGAAGTAGGGCTTCTCCATTTCAGAAGTGCATCTCCTGAGCCTGGGAGTTTTGACCCAATGTGTGAGGGTGGGCTTGGCCAATCTAGGTGTCTGCCCAATCTTGACATGATCCCAGAGTTAGAAACAAGTCCACTGTCATAAACGCTTGTGCAAACCTTGGAAGGGCTCTAACCTCTCAAGACAGCATGATAGAGTAGAAACGGGTCTGGCATCAGAAGACTTTGCTATTTATTACCCATGTTACCATGAACCTCTTAACCTCAGTGGGTCTCAGTTTACTCTTCTATAAAATGGGGATGCTAATATACAACTGCTTACCTCACAGAGCTTTTCTGAGAATCAAAGGAAATTGTACAGGTCCAGTGATTTGCAAACTTCAAAGCTCTAAAATGTAATTATCACCCATCTGGAAAGTTCGCTGGATTTCTGAGGTAGGAGAGATCTTAGAAATCCACTTAGTCAAACCTCTTCATTTCACTAATGAGGAAACTGAGGACCAGAGGGGTAAAATAAACTCAGGTTCAGGTTCTGTTCAACTCCAAGTGTTTTTAATCAACTTCTTCACAGGATCATAGAGCAAGAAGGGGCTTCAGAGATCACCTAAACCAGCAGACTCTGGGCCATGGGCCTTGGCTGGCTTCCACCTATTTTTGTACATATAGCAAGCTAAGAATGGTTTTTGCATTTTAAAATAAAGGTTTGTTGTATTTTTAAATGTGAAAACTATTCTTAGCCCATGGGCTATACAAAAACAGGCCTATGGCCTTCTACAGAATGTCATGTCAAGTCAACAGAAATTTATTAAGAACCTATTATGTGCTGGGCACTTGGGATACAAAGAAAGGCAACAGCAACAAAAATAGTCCCATCTCTCAAGGAAGTCACAGTCTCAGCAAAGAGATAATAACACGCAAACAACTGTGTACAAACAAGATAGAGACCAAGTAAATTGAAACTGATTTTAGATGGAAGGTACTAGCATTAAGGGGGATTGGGAAAGGCTTGCAGAAGGTAGGGTTTTAGCTGGAACTTGAAAGAATCTAGAGAAACCCAGAAGCAGAAACAAGGAGGGAAAAATTTCCAGGCAAGGACAGCCAGTGAAAATGCCAGGAGTGGGCAGCTAACTGGAGCAGTAGATAGAACACCAGCCCTGGAGTCAGAAGGACCTGAGTTCAAATCCTACCTCGAACACTTACTAGCTGTGTGCCCCTGGGCAAGTCACTTAACCCTGGTTGCCTTTCCCCCCAAAAAAAGAGAAAGAAAAAAAGAAAGAAAAGAAAAAAGAAAAAAGAAAAGAAAAGAAAAAGAAAAGAAAAGAAAAGAAAAGAAAAGAAAAGAAAAGAAAAGAAAGGAAAAGAAAAGAAAGGAAAAGAAAAGAAAGGAAAAGAAAAGATTTAGACCCAGAGCAGTGGCTGCTTCCTGAGCTCTCTGCCCACAGACTGAGAGGGAATCGGGTTGCTGATCAGAGGGGGATTTCAGGGATCTCTTTGCTGGTGCTGAGGCAGGATTCTCTTGCTTTGCCCATGCTTGGATCTGGGTCATAGTTCTGGGTGGTGGTCCTGGGGTGAGGAGGAGTCTGGCATGGTGGAGCTTGTAGTGGCAGGTGCTTAATAAATACTTGTTGATTCAATAATCGGTGGATTGAATGCCAGCTTTGGAGCCCACTATTTTTCCTTTGATACATACTGTGTAACTTCAAGCAAATTTAACTTCTCTGTGTCCCAGTTATCTTCTTAAGACTAAGTTACAGACCAGTTGCTGATCTGCATCTGAGGCAACTAGGTCCCTAAAATGATGAAATTATAGATCCAGACCCCAGGCCCTACCTCCAACCAAAAAATGAAAAAGAGAAGCTGGAAGAAAATTAATCAAAAGGCTACTTTTCTTTTCTTTCTTTTTTTTTTTGACTAGGCAATGGGGTTAAGTGACTTGCCCAGGGTCACACAGCTAGAAAGTGTTATGTGTCTGAGGTCACATTTGAACTCAGGTCCTCCAGAATCCAGGGCTGGTGCTGTATCCACTGCGCCACCTAGCTGCCCCAAAAGGCTGTTTTTCAATTGAACAAACATTTTACCCAACTAAAACCTTCTCTTGTGACTTTTTTGTTCAGGATACGCTAACAAACACTTCCATTGAACTAAATTGATGTAAAAAGGGAACTTCAATAACTTGAAAAGGAAAACATTTTGGCTTAAAATTATTTCATTTTTTGAAGTAAGTTTTTTATTGATATCTTCTGTTTCGTACATCATCATAATCATTCCAAGTATCCCTCCTTCCTTCTTCCCGGAGAGCCATCCCATATAATAAATAGTATTTTTTAGAAAGAAAATAAAATCAATATAACTGATTGATATGTTGAAAAAGTCCTCTAACTCTTATTTGGTTAAGAATACACCTTTTATAGCTAGGAGAAGTATAGGATCTATTTCTTTTCTAACTTTTTTCTAGTATGATCTTTAATATTATGATTTCTTATCCATTTAGAGGTACAGCTAAGTGCCTCAGTGGAGAGAATGCCATCTTTGAAGTCAGGAGGACCTGAGTCCAAGGAAGGGAGCGGCAGACCCCTCCAGTATCTTCACTAAGAAAACCTCCCCTGGGATTACGAAGAGTGGAACACAACTAATTGACAAAACAACAAGAAGCCATTTAGAATGTTTTGTGGAATGTGGTGTAAGGTGTTGGTATAAGCCTAATTTCTGCCAGACTGCTTTCCAGTTTTTCCAGCAGTTTTTATCAAACATGGTTTTTTTTCCTGGTTAATTTATGTTTTGTCCTTTCTCGAACACTAGGTTATTGAATTGTTTCTGAAACTCCCTTGACTAGTCCGTTCTATTGATCTAGCTCTCTCTATTTTTTTTAAGGCAATTGGGGTTAAGTGACTTGCCCAGGGTCACACAGCTAGTAAGTGTCAAGTGTTAGGTCTGAGGCTGGATTTGAAGTCAGGTCCTCCTGACTTCAGGGCTGGTGCTTAGCTCTCTATTCTTTAACCAATACAAGATAGCTTTGATGACTGCTGCTTTGTAATTTGAGGTCTGAAAGTACTATGCCCCTTCTTCTTTTCATTATTTGCCTTGACATTATAGATCTTATGTTTTTCCAAATGAATTTTTTTATTCTGTTTCATTTTTATTCTGAACTTAACAAACACCAAGACGAGCATTTCCATCTACATAGAACAACAGAAAAGAAGTTTACTCAAGCAGCCACCAATGTCTAATATGTAAAGCTCACTGTTCCTTGGAGTACACTACAGAATATGTTATTTTTAAAGCTATCCTGATTTTCTGGGCTCCCTACTGACCTGCCTTCTGTTCTCTCATTTGCATTTTTAAAAAATGCATCAATGACCCTATTTTCTTACTTTTCTTCTTTTTTCCATTTTGATAGCTCAATCTCTTTTCGTTGTTCAGTTGTTTCAGTCATGTCTGACTCTTCATGACCCCATTTGGGGTTTCCTTGGCAAAGATACTGGAGTGGTTTGCCATTTCCTTCTGCAGTTTCTTTTTTTACAGATAAAGAACTGAGGCAAACAGGGTTAAGTGACTTGCCCAGGATCACACAGCTAGTAACTGTCTGAGGCTAGTTTGAACTTAGGAATTGAGTCTTCCTGACTCCAGGCCTAGCGTTCTACCCACTGTGCCACCTAGCTGTCCAATTCCATCTCTAGCCCTCCTCTAAAAGGAAACAGATATATTTGAGAATTGCTGTTCAAACTAGCTGTGTGACCCTGCACAGTCCTTTAATTTTTGACTTTCATCTTCCTCCCTTGTAAAATAGGATTAATAATAGCACCTCCTTACAAGGCTGTTGTGAGGGTCAAATGAGGCATTCTGGGTAAAGCACTCTGCAAACCTTGAAGTGATATGTAAATGTTAGCTATTCCTAATAATAATAAAATGGAAATAAATAATGATCATATGACCAGCTTCATTGGATTGTTGTGGGAAGGAGTATGGTACACTGAAAGTCCATTGGAAGGTTCACTAGCTTCAAAGCCCACCACGTATGCTTCTTAGCTGTGCAATCTTGGGCAAATCATTTTCCTTCCCCGGGCCTCAGTTTCCTCACCTGTAAAATGAAGAGTTGGAATGGATGGTTTCTGAGGTCCCTAGTTCTGGGTGTGTGATCCTATGAAAAGCACTTCAAAAAAACCTTCAAAGTCCTGTTATTATTATGAACTCTTGAAGAAGATTGTGGTTACACTTTACTCATTCAGCAGCTATGTATAGGGCAACTTTTTGTAATCATAATAATACTGCAATGCTTTGAAAGGTCTGTAGTCTCATTTGAATAGGTGCCTCTCTCTACTCCAGCCCTCATGGCTTTGTGGATGGCTTCATAAGTTTCTTTGGCCAAAATAATTTATTGTTGTTCAGTCGTTTTCTGTTGTGTCCAATTCTTCGTGTTCCCTTCTGGGGTTTTCTTGGCAAAGATACTAGAGCGGCTTGCCATTTCCTTCTCCTATTCATTTTACAGATGAGGAAATTGAGGCAAACAGGGTTAAGGGACTTGACCAGGGTCACACAGGTAGTGTCTGAGGCTGGATTTGAACTCAGGTCCTCCTGACTCCAGAGCTGGTGCTCTATCCACTTCTCCATTTAGCTGACCTAAAATAATTTTTGAAAAAATGAGAAAAATAATTCATTACCTCAGGATCCCACCTTCTGGCAAGGAGCCTTTCTGAGCTTCACTGGTTGAATCATCAGAGAATGGGCATAAGATGATAGGTTCAGAGATCTGGAGTTGGAAAGGAACATGGAAGACATGACATCCACCTCCTTTGTTTTACAGATGAAGAAACTGGGGCCTAGGGAAGTTAGGAGACCTACCCTAAATCACACAAGTAGTGTTAGAGGTGGGATTTGTCATTGTTGTTTTTCATTTTTATTGATAGCTTTTGTCTTTGCATCACCTGCATTTCCCAGTGTAGTCCTCCCTCTCCCTCTCCTGGACAGCTATCTTTTATTTTATTTTTCAAATTAAATTTTATTTTATTTTTAGTTCTGAATTCTCTCCCTCCCCCCTTTTCCACTCGCTGAGAAGGCAAAAAAAAAAAACCACCACCAAAACCCATTTCAAATATGTATAGTCATGCCAAACAAATTCCCTTATTACCCTTGTCCAAGAAGAAAAAGAATGAGGAGGAGGAGGAAGGAGGGAGGAGGAAGGAAAGAAGGAAGAAAGGAAGGAAGGAAGGAAGGAAGGAAGGAAGGAAGGAAGGAAGGAAGGAAGGAAGGAAGAAAAGAAAGAGAAGAAAATATGCTTCAGTTCTGAGTCCACCAGCTCTCTATCTAGAGGTATATGATAGCATGTTTCATCCTTTAGAACACTGGTTGGTCATTGGATTCAGAATTAGCTTTCATAATTAAAAAAAAGAGAGAGAGAGAGAGAGAGAAAACATTTAACCAAAACTAGCCAACACATTAAAAAAAACTGGCATTACCAGCAGTGTTCCACATCCATAGTCCCACGCATCTGCAAAGAAGGGAAGGCTAGCCTTCAGAGACAGGATTTGAACCCAGTTCATCAGTGTCCAGAGCTCTCCACTTACGATCTTTCCGGTACACTGTGCTATCTCACTCACCAGTTAGGCCACTGCTAAAAGCCTTTCCAGCTTAGTACCACCTGCCAGAGTTTAAGCTCAGTCATCAGAGCTTTCAAAACCCCAGCATCATTTCCTTCCCACAATGAGGCAGCCAGTAGGATTTTAGTATAGCAATAATCATTGTAAGAGCAGCTAGAATTTCCATAATACTTAAAGCTTTGCAAAATGCTTTGCATTATTATCTCACTTGACCCTAAAGACAGCTGTGAGAGGTAGGTACCAGGTACTATTCCCATTTTACAGATGGTAAAACTGAAGCTAAGACTCAGAGTCTCACAGCTGAGGCAGGATTTGAACCACAGCCTTCCTAACTCCAAATACCATGTTTTAGCCACTAGTGATTTTTCTGTGCCCTGCACATACATGAAAACACTGTGTAAAAGGTTTACTGAGAGGGACACAAAAATATACCAGACACAATCTCTACTCTAAAGGACTTTGCAGTCTAATTAGGGAGATAGGTATGGCCTCCCTGAGTTGCCATTGAGATATGAAAGATAATAGCTGTACAGAGAGTTTGGGAGCTTCTGATAGACTGAGCTTATGCTCAGGGATCTTGGGTAAGTCACCTAACCCCACGGGCCTCACTTCTTTTATCTATACAATGAGGAGATTAGCCTGTAAGGTCCTTTCCATCTCCAGATCTCTGATCCTATAATCTTATAACCATCCTCTGACAATCCACTGAGCTAAGCTCAGAAAGGCTGATTGCCAGAAGTTTGACTGTAGAGTAATAAATGTTTTTTGGCCACAGATAACTTAGGAAACCATTCCTAAGGTCTACATTATATACTTGAAGAATGCTGGAAAGGCTCTGCTGCCCCCAAATATCTGTCCTCCAGTAGAATGCCGATGATACCTGTGATAAATACTATGATCCCTCCTGAGGGGATTTCTAATTAAAAAAAGGGCCATGGGGGAAAAAGACAATGCTTAACCAAAAGGAATTAATCACTAATGGTAAAATTTCAGTCATCAGCCAGGAAAATAATTGGAAAGGGTGGGAGGAATGGGAAGAAGCCTTTCTGGTAACTTTCGTATCCCACTCTATAAGTGGTCATCTATTCTGCTTGTATGTAGGTAAGAACCTAGGAGTAGCCACCACCCAAAGTGATGGATCTGAGCAAACTCATCAATGAAGGGAATCTCTAGCCAAGGCAATCTAAATGACTCCCTACTCTCTGACACATAGTCCAATGACACTCCCTGGAATGCTTTTGCTTCACTTAAATAAATATACTTCTGGGGCTTGTCTGTTGGATCTCTGGGTTTACTTCGGAAGGCCTCCGCTGTGTCCCCACACTGGCTTCTGAGCCAAACCCTCCTCTTTGTTCTGGCCTCCTACATCCTGGGGCACCTAAGTTGGGACAGAGTGTTCCAAGCCTGCAGCCTGGTTTACGGGGAGCAGGGCCAGGCCTTGGCAATGCTGGGAAGTTGGCAAAGCCTGTCCTTAAGCTCGCTCTCACCTCCCATTACAGCTTCTCCTTCCCACCCCCAGAGCTTTCTTCATCTCAATACTCTCCCTCACACTAAGGAAGTAGACAGAATGTAGGATTTCAATTTGGCAGGGATTTTGGACATCATTTAGTCCAATCTCCTCTCCCTTCCCATTATATAGATGAGAAAATTGAGGCTTAGGAAGACAAAGTGACATCTCCAGGACCAAAGAACTAATAAGTGTCAGGAGCAGGATTCAAAAGCTAGACTTCTGGCTTCCAATCTTTCCATTACAGAGGTGTAATTCTTCAAGAACGTTTGTGTTTTTTTAAATCGCCTTTGGGGAGAAGAACATATAGGTTCCTCCATTCCTTGAATGAGTGTGAAGTATGGGATCTACTGTTGATATGTTGGTTAATCTTGCTGAAATGCTTTCTTTTCCTCTTTGTTACAAGGGATTGCTGAAGGGGGAGGAAGAAGGATGTGGTAGTGAATAAAGAAGTGAGAGTGATATAAAAACAAAAGATATTAATTAAAAACATTTTTGAAGAGGACCCTCAGGGAGATGGAAACCTTTATTCCAAAGGAATGATATAGTAAAAGTAGAATTTCAGGCATCAGTGGCAATCTAGTGGGGGATAGATATTTTGGGCTATGGAGCCTTTCCAGCATTCCTCAAACATATAATGTAGGCAAACAACCTCCTACTTTGTCTGCATGCAAGGGGCAGCTTTGCCAGGCAGTTTAATGCTTCAGGAAGTTAATGGTAGGAGAACCAGAACTTATTTTTGTTTAATCATGTGTGACTCTTTGTGACCCCATTTGGGATTTTCTTGGCAAAGATACTGGAGTGATTTGCCATTTCCTTCCCCAGCTCATTTTCCAGATAAGGAAATAGAGGCAAACAGGGTTAAGTGACTTGCCCAGGATCATGTAGATAGTAAGTGTCCAAGGCTAGATTTGAACTCCGATCCTACTGACTCCCAGCCTGGCTCTCCATCTGCTCTACCATGTAGCTGCCCAGAGCCAGAACTAACACTGGGTGAATGGGGCTTTTTTCCAGGGTGCTGACATCCAGTGAGGGGTATTTTCTCTCTGAAGTAACATCTATCCCTGAACTTCCCTCTTGGCCCTCCACCTGAACTAATTTGTTTATGATAATTATGTCACAACGACCCCCAGGTTGCCGCCTCCTTCTCTCCCTGCCCCCTCCCAGTCCTTACAGGGACCATTTTTTCATATCTAACTCTTTTTGCCCCATTTGACTAAGAATGTCTAGTTATACTTTTTGCTAAATACAAATGTTTGTTGAGTTGGACTGAATAGAAGATGTAGTTCCTTTGCTAAAGGTGTTGACCCTAGTTGGGGAGAAGAAGCCACTACCCATGAAGCAATTAACCAATATCTAAGAAAACATGTAACTGAGAGTTAGACTCGCAGCTACAGATCTAGAGGGTAGCCCAGAGGCCACCTAGCCCAGCTCATTTTACGGATGAGGCCAATGTGATAGAGTAGAAAAGTATTGGACTTGGACCTCAGAAGACCCGGATTGAAATCCTGACTCTACTACTTCTTGATGCTGTGACCACAGGAAAAACCATCTAACCTCTGAGGGCCTCAGTCTCCTCATCTGTCAAACAAGGGAATTAGATTTGATGATCTTTAACTAAAGTCCCCTCAAAGTCTGACTTCCCAGTGATTTTGATATACTTTAATGGATAGATCAAGATGATAGGTGCAGAAGAGACAAAGGGAGTGTTATTTGCACTGTTATATTTCCACTGGTGGATAGAGCGCTGGGCCTGAGTCATCTTCCTGATTTCAAATCTAGCTTCAGACACTCACTAGTGACCCTGGGCAGGTCACTTCACCTTGTTTGCCTCAGTTTCCTCATCTATAAAATGGGCTAGAGAAGGAAATGACAAACCACTCCAATATGTTTGCCAAGAAAACTCCAAATGGGATTACAGAGAATTGGACATGACTGAAAATGACTGAACATGTCTTTCCTCAAAGCTGTCTCCATTTCCATCCTGCCAAACCCTTCCTTCCTCCTCCTCCACACTCATCAAGCCAGTCTTCCTCAACAGCTTTTGTCACATAAATCCCTAGTTAGCTCGCTCTCCCTCGCCAGTGTGTGATTTTGATTTGCTCCCCTGGGCTCTTATTTCTGAACACGTCCTTATAAGGAGACCCCACTTGGGAGACCAACGTTTTGCATCTTCTTGGCTGTGGCCAAAGTGATGTCATCTCATTTTTTAAAGCTTGAAATTTTTAACCTTTGATTAAAATAAAAATAAAGGTTTCCAGTCCAAGTTGAGTCATAGATGGAGTGAGAGGCCTTGGAGAGTGAGAGGTAAGAGTGGGAGATAAGGGCTGGATCCAATGTAGAGTTCTGAAGAGTAACCCCAGATGACTGGTGGATCAAGTCTTGTAAAAAGATGCTCTTGACCAGATGATATAGGACTGAATTGTATATAGGTCTATCTGGGTGCTGCCCTTCTGGAAACAAACGACAGAGTAGGAGAAGGGCAACTCACATAAAGTAAAGTAGGAGGGACTGCCCTCTGGGGACAGAGAGACTAGCCTAGTACATAGACCACTGGATTTAGAATCAACGTTCTGGGTTCAAATTACACTCTCACAGCTTATCAACTGTGTGACCTTGTGTTTATTATGCTCCTGCTGCTTGTTAACGGTGTGACCTTCTTTTCTCTGGGTCTCATTTTCTTTAATCCATAAAATGAATACATTGGACCAGATCAGGGGTGGGGAACCTTTGGCCTCAAGGCCACATGTGGCCTTGGGTGTGGCCTTTCAACTGAGTCCAAATTTTACAGAACAAATCTTTTCATTAAGGGGATTTGTTCTGTGAAATTTACATTCAGTCAAAGGGCCGCACCTGAGGACCTAGAGGACCACCAGTGGCCTTGAGGCCAAAGGTTCCCCACCCCTGCTCCTAGTCCAACACTCTAATTTGACAAAAGAGTAAACTGAGGCTACAGGTTTCCCCCCCCCCCCGGTAGATCTTCTAACTCTAAATCCTCTGGTTTACTGGAAAGAACACTAAATTTATAGCCAAAGATTCTAGGTTTGAATCCTAGGTTTGAATCCTAGCTCCATCAATTGCTCACTATGGGCCCTTGGGCGAGTCATTTTGCCTCTCTGAACATCATTTCCCCAATCTAGAAAGAGAGGGATTAAACTAGGTGAACTTTAAGATTCTTTCCAGTTCTAAGTCTATTATTCTTCAGACTGTAACTAGACAGACAGATGATAGATCAGCAAATAGACATTTATCAAGCACTCACTGTGTGTCAGGAAAGGGGCAGCTATGTGGTGTGGTAGACAGAATGCTGGGCCTGGGGTCAGGAAGACTTACTTTCCTGAGTTCAAATCTGGCCTCAGATACTTCTTAGCTGTATGACCCTGGAAAATCTTTTTGCCTCAGTTTCCTCATCTGTAAAATGAGCTGGAGAAGGAAATGGCAAACCACTCCAGTATCCTTGCCAAGAAAACCCCAAATGGGGTCACAAAGAGTCAGATACAACCAAGAAATGACTGAAATGTGTCAGGCATTAAAGCAAAAAGTCTGGGGCTCTTCAGACTGAAAAGATGAAAACTGAGAGGAATTAGGACCAAAGTCCATAATATCAGGACAGATATGAATAGAAAGGAAGGAAATAAGCATTTATTAAGCACCTATTACTATGTCAGACCCTGTGCTAAGCACTTTACAAACATTATCTCATTTGACCCTCAAAACAAACTCTATTATCCACATTTTATGGTTGAGGAAACTGAGGCAAACAGAAGTTAAGTGACTGGCCCAGGAACACACAGTTTGTAAGTGTATGAAGGTGGTTTTGAACTCAGGTCTTCCTGACTTCAAGCCTGGGGCTCTATCCACTATGTTATCCAGCTGACTCAAATGAGTGAACATAGGCTTCCTCATCATCACAGAACAGAAGGGATAAAGGGCTCCCCCCAAGCTTGAAGGAGAATATCAGGACAAAATTTTTAAAGTTCTACTCAATGGGGGAATGAGTAAGTGGATGGAACACATCACCCAGATAGCAGGCCCTGGGTGAAAATATAATAAATTGACTGAAGAAAGGTTTAGCTATGCTTCTGGATACAAAAGCTCAGAGTATTTGGGTGCATCCCCCAGTTTTTGAAATGATACAGCAGGGAAGGAAGCTACAGCCTCAACCTCCCCGAGTCTGTCCCTTGTGCCCTTCAGGTACAGGATTGGAGAGACCACAAGGCTCACCTGGGTAGTATGGCTTGATGCTCTGGTCTTCTGAGCAACAACTTGGGCGGAATTAAGGAGTTCTGTTTCCAAACAAAGGCCTCTGGAACTATAGAGTCTTAGGACATTAGGACTGCCAGGGGCCTTAGAGACGCTCTCTAAGAGGCCCTCTGCTATGCCTTTTGTTTTTTTTAAAAGAAGAGGAAACTGAAACTCAGAGAGAGGGAAATGATTTGACAGTAAACCATATAGCGAATACAATGGTGGCATAGCCAGGATTCCAAGTTAGGTGTCCTGACTTGACTCTTCGAAGGCCCAGCATGCCAAATGACTCAGCCATGTCAGAGAGAACAGAAAAAAAGAAAAAGGAAAATATGTAGCTCTTGCCCTCAAGGAACTCACAATCTGGAAGCTAAGAAAAAAACCAGAAAAAAGAACACTGAGATACTTTCCCAGGACATTGCAGAGCCTCCTAGAAGAGGTCTATAACTATCCCCAGAGAGTCAAGCCTGACCACCCACACAGAAAAAAACCAAGCGGGTGAAGAGTATCCATTGTTCACATTATCATCCACGATGTGTAGAGCTTGGTCATCAAAATGTATATCTGGAACGATAATATAAAGGAAGAAGTTGAGCCTGGAATTAACCAGGAGGAAAGTAAGATAGATTTTTTTCAGTAAATTGCGAAACTCCTTTAATGACCCCACACTTTCCCAGAAACAAGGGCTCGTCATTTTTATCCCAATATTTTGCTAGTATTATGGTGTCACTGTGAGACACATAATAGATCATCAGACAAAGACAGAAAACAGCTATCACCCAGAGGACAATGGAGAGATACATGGTAGGTGTGAGAGGGTTGAGAAATAGGATAAATAAGGAAACTGAGGCACAGAGAAGGAAAAAGTGACTTGCCTGAGGTTAGTTACACAATAAATTAATTGCTGAACCAGAGTGGGAGCCCGGGCCACCTGACTTTGGCTCCAGTTCCACTAGTCAAGGGGCACTTTAGTTACAACATGACTGGGTTGTATAAATAAGCACAGGAACTGTGTATGCAGATACAGCCAAGGTTACTGCAGAGGGTGAATTTTTAATGATAGCTTTGAAGAAACGGAGGCTTGTTTGCATTTCTGTCAAGCAGCCAGGTGGTGTAGCAGAAAGATAACCGATCTTAGAACATTGGGTTTGAGTCTGAGCTCTGACAGCGGTTACCAGCTGACCCTCGGCAAGACCATTCACTTCTCTGAGATACAGTTTCTTCACCTATAAAATGGAGATAAAAATACTTTCACCTATGTCACAGGAAGGGATGAAGAAAAGGAAACAAGTGTTAATTAAGTGTCTACTGTGTGCCAGGCACTGTGCAAGTATTATCTCATTTGATCCTCATAACAACCATTACAGTTGAGGAAACTAAAACAGACAGGTTAAGACATTTTCTGGGGTCACACAGCTAATGTGTCTAAGGCTAGATTTGAACTCAGATCTTCCTGACTTTTACACCTATAGGATTATCTCTGCTGTTGCTGTTGCTGTTGCTTAAAGGGAGAATGAGTAGCGCACCTAGTCAACAAGGTTAGGACCTCCCTACATCCTCTGAGGCCGTGGCCTCTGCCACAGAGCTGAGAATGGTCATCAAGGCTGTGCAATAACAGCCCCGTGGTACCAAAGTCAAACAGTTCTGCTTTGGAAGCCTGGGACACCAAGTGGACTTTTCCAGCTGGACCCTGGTTCTTAAATATGTGTTTTGAGAAAAAAAAAATCCGAAGTCTCATTCCCTGGAGTGAACACGCATGTCCCAATAGGAACATTTGGCTCTGTTTCTGTTTGTATTTCCAACTACTCATCTTAAGCTTTGTAAGTGCCAGATTTTTTTTTAAATTCAAATTGTTTCTAAGACACGGACCTCCCCTTCCCTCTCCCCTTGAGCTCTCTAATATTTGATAAGACATTCCTCTCCATTCCCATCATTGTGCAATCAGACTACTAAGATGGGACCAAAATTCACATTTTCCCCGGTGCCCTGAGTTCTCTCCATCACCCAGCTGTGCAATAACCACTTGGTTCTGGTGTTACCACGATAGGGGAGGTGGAGGTGGGGGGTTGAAGCAGACCAATTGATGTAGTTGGAATGCAGTTGCTGTTGTCAAGTAATACCTAGGAGGACGTTGACTTTCTTTCCCTCTCTGAGGGTGCCTATAACTAGCCTTTAAAAACAACACTAGCCTAAGCTTTGGGGCAGGTGTTGTTAAATGGGCTAAAAGGGAGCAGGAGAGAATCAGGTGAGATCCCTCTGAGGCGAAGCGAGGCATCTCTGGAAACCTCCCCAAGTGAGTGGTTTTCCCTCTTTTTGCTCTGAGTGTGTGTGTGTGTGTGTGTGTGTGTGTGTGTGTGTGTGTGTGTATGTATGTGCACATGTGTTGTGACCCTGGGGAGAACTTTATGCAATGGACTGCTGCATTATCAGCTGCTAGCAGTCTTAAGGCACAGAGAACAGCAATGATGCTGTTGTCACATGCTCCGCAAGGTCTGTGTCCTGAACAAACCTTCTGAGCCCTTCCCTATTTCCTCAGACATTCCTAAGATCATGGAACTGGATCTGGGAAGGACCATGGAGGCCACTTGGTCCAACCCCTTCTTTTTTTTTTTTTTTTACAGATGAGGAAACTAAGGCCCAGGTAGGTTAAGTGATTTGTCCAGGATCACACAGGTTAAAAATCATGAGAGGCAGGATTTAAATTCAATCCCCTTACTCAAGAATGATTTTTTTTTTAGTCCAAATCTATGGTTTCAACAGTATACGGAATTGCAGGGAAGAAAGGCTTTCTATCGTTCCAGATCAGCTGCTGATTTACTGTCTTAGAGAGCTGCCTGAGCACTAAGAGGTTAAGTGATTTGCCCAGGGTCACACAGTGTCTGAGGCAGCCACATGGGCCTTACATATCAGCCTTCTTGTTTCCTAGGCTAACACTCTCTTGGTCATTGTTTTCTTCACTGTTATCATGTGCCAGAGGCCATGAGACCCTGGCTATTAATTCCTGTTGTGTTCCTATGTCTTTCATTTGTCATTCCTCCCCCGTTCCCCCATTCTGTCAGGCTGACTCATTACAGTCATTATTAATGATAGGAAAACTAATTTGCCTGGCCTACCTCAGCAATGCTGTGAGGATTAAATGAGATAAATGAATATGAGAGTGCCTTGTAATGAGGACTGCCCTATCCAAATGGAAAGAATCGTCATCTCTGCTCTTAACCAACATTGCTGCTGACTCCCCATGGGATTTGGGCACTTTAGAAGTGTTTAGATGTGTTGACAGAGTCTGACAGGAACCAAATCTGACCTTTTGGGGCCCCTGTTATGTAAAGACCTTAGAACATCTGCCTTCTTTTCTTCGGGGGAAAAAAAAGGAGTCTTCTAGAAACAATGGTTGGAAATTATAGACTACTAAAGCATTGGCAACTGGGTGGAACAGTGGATAGAGTGCTGGGCCTAGAGTCAGGAAGACCTGAATTCAAATTTGGCATTAGACACTTACTAGCTGTGTGACCCTGGGCAAGTCACTTAATCCTGTTTGCGTCAGTTTTCTCATTTGTAAAATGAGCTGGAGAAGGAAATGGCAAACCACTCTAGTATCTTTGCCAAGAAAACCCTATACGGGGTCACAAAGTGTCACACGTGACTGAACAATAGCAAAAAAAAATAATTGGAAAAGACTTTACTGGCAGTTTAAGCTGACTGCCTTATTATGCATTTGAGCAATCAGAGAGACCCAGAAAAATCCAGTAACTTGCCCAATATTACAGAGTGAGTTCCTTACCCTGACAGAGCCTCTAGACTTCAATGTGTTTCCCACTAAATCACCCAAGCTTCCATACCCCACTTCTCTGCTGCCTAGTCTCCCTAGCACAACAGGAGCCTGTCTGAGCTCTACCCAAGAGCAGGGTTTAGGGAGGACAGAAGGATTTCCCATATAGCATCTCAAATAAAGATATTTCAGGATGGGAGCAGAAGTGCAAGTGGGAGCATAAGTGCTTCCTCCTCAGAGTAGAAATCTCTCAAAATAAAAATGATATGATATAAGGAGAAGACCAGTCTATTAGTCATCAGTATTTCAGCTCCAGATCTGCCACAGGCTAGCTTGTGAGATTTTGGCCAAGTCCCCATAGATCTCAGTTTCCACTTCTGTAAAATGACTGGGTTGGCCTAGAAGAAGGATCATTAACCTTTTTTGCATCATGGACCCCTTTGGCAGTCCGGTGGAATGAGAATCGTGTTTTTAAATGTATAAAATAAAATACATAGGATTACAAAGGAAACCAATTATAATGAAATACAGTTATTAAAAAAATATTTTATTGTGCTCTTGGACCCAAGGTTAAGAACCTCTAGACTAAATGATCTCCAAGGTCCCTTACAAACTGGCATTGTAAAAAAGGGGGCCTCTTACCCTTTGTAAAAGCACTTTCTTGAAGAGGGACTCCCTTTTTTCGTGCCCCCCAGCCCCACCCCAGCAATGTCAGTGCTACTGGGAGGGATTCACATGGGTGCAAGAGACAGTGCCTGATTGATATCCCCAGTTGGTATACCTGACACGTGAGCTGGGCACGAGTATGTGTTTGCAAGCTCATGAATCCCATAGTCTCGGGGCTCCAAGATGATTCAGCCAGTGAGGGTGATAAATAGAGTCTTGGCAGGCTGGTGGTTGAATTTCCTACTGCAGTAATTTCCCTTGGCTTCTAAGAAGTGACAGCAATTTATAACAAAACAGTTAACATGTAAAAAGAAAAAAGACCAGCTACTCAGAGCAGGAAAGAAAATAAGCAGAGCTGTTCTGGGTCTATATCATGCCCAAGCAATACTTCAGGGGATAATGAATATATAGGAGGAAGGCTTTTCAGTTCCTAGGTCTTCCTGTCTCCCATCCATCAGAAAAGAGAATCCATTCAATTCTGAGTTTCCTGGTTCTGTGTTGCCAGGGTTTGTTGACGATGAGATAGCTGGAGTTCCTCATTAAGGACCCTCCAGGGACTTCCCAAAGCTGTCAAGATGAGTAGGTCCTTCACATGTGTTCTGAGTTGACATTTGAGGTTGAACACCCAAGACACTTTGTACCACTCATTCTTTTGTGTGTGTGTGTGTGTGTGTGTTTTAGGCAATTGGGGTTAAGTGACTTGCCCAGGGTCACACAGCTAGTAAGTGTCAAGTGTTTGGTCTGAGGCTAGATTTGAACTCAGGTCCTCCTGACTTCAGGGCCAGTGCTCTATCCACTGCGCCACCTAGCTTCCCCTATACCACTCATTCTTCACATGCTTGGTTTTAGTATTTGTGTACTGAGGAAAAGGGAAGAAATGCCTTGTTAAAAGACATTTGATTTTTCTTTTTTTCTGCTCCAGAGACAGAGATCTTGACTAGCAGCTCCAAACTGAACCTCCCTGACAAGCTCCCAAGATGAATCAAGAGTAACTAGATGAGAGTTGGAAAGTTCTTTTGCCCTGATGTCCGCAGGCTTCCAGTGGCCTCATTCTATCTTAGCCCCTGGCCATCGTGGGACCCCATCAATGGTATTCCATCTCTGGATGGCACCCCTCCTCTATAACATCTTTGGTAAATGAAAGTGCTGTGACTACAGATATACACTGGGGAAGCCCCAGTTAGGTAGATTGGCTAAACCACTGATAGAATCACAGCGTGTAAATCTGGAAAGGTCTTTGGAAAACAGGATCTTATTATCTAGATGAAGAGACTAGGAGCCAGAGATGTGAAATGACAAGCCCCATGGTCATATAACTAATGAATAGCTGACTCAGGGCCAGGACACAACACCACCTTGCTTCAGGCCCTTATCACTTCTTGCTCTGATGACTGCAATAGCCTCCTTAATTGTTCTCCCTGTCTTTAAACTTCCCTATTCAATCCATCCTTGAGCACAATTATAACCATGTCATTCCTTTGCTCAAAAAGCATCATTGGCTCCCTATCACCCCTAGGATAAAATACAAATTCCTCTGTTTTGCATTTAAAGCTTTTAATAATCTTTCTAGGCTAATTATATAATACTTAATTGTATATTACTTATTACTTATATTATTACTTTTTATATTATCACCCCCTGCTAGGAGGGTCCTAACCATGTATCTCCAATACTCTTCCTCTTCCCTACCCCCACCCTCCACCTCCAAGGATGACTTTAGTATTTGGGTCTTGGATGTCTCCAATTTGGCCCAATACACTGGAACAGAGTCCTCATAGAGGTAGAAACTGCCCAGAGAATCCAGGTCTAAGTGGAATACCATTGATAGGGTCCCAAGATGGCCAGGGGCTAAGATAGAATGAGGCCACTGGAAGCCTGTGGACATCAGGACAAAATGACTTTCAAACTCTCATCTAGTTACTCTTGATTCATCTTTGGACCTTGTCAGGTAGGTTCAGTTTGTCCTCCTAATTAAGATCTCTGTCTCTGAAGCAGAAAAAAAAAATCAGATTTTTAACAAGGCATTTCTTTCCTTTTCCTCAGTAAAACCAAGCATGAGAAGACTTCTGACACCAAGGTCATCCATGGCATCTCGGGCCATTGCCAGTCATCCTGACTTTTGTCTCGCCACTAGACTTCGAATACTCTGGAAGAGAGAATGGGGCTGACGACTTTGTGCAATCCTGCCTCACTTAAGTCCAACAAGTCAAGATATCACCCATCACATGGAGGTCATTACTCCTCTTCAAAAATGAAGGACAAACGTCAATAACCAAAAGCTTTGTACAGGCACATATTACTACATGTGGCCAGAGCCGTTCCTCTCCTCTGTGCATCTCTCCTGATCTTCCTGGGGAGAAATTAAATGGAATGAGAAGAAGTTGCTACATGTAGGCACAGGCACATCTCTAAGGTGGAAAAAGATATCAGAGATAGATTTCAACCACTTCATAATTTTCCAGAGGGTTGATCCTCAGATGGTATCCAAGATGGATTTATTTTGTACTAAATCCTAGATAGAGACTTTAGATAGAGAATCATCTAATAGCTACGTGCCTGGGTATCCACATTTCAAATTAAAGTGAATTAAAATTAATTTTCTACTGACAATCTTTGGTGAATTCCTCTGGATACTGTGGGGGTCATTGGAGACATCTGGGGTTGTTGTATTGCCTAGGCTGGGAGTCCTAGAAGTGTATAAGAGGTCATATTATTTCCAGTGGTCAATGGTGGTCAATCCTAGACTCCAGTGGTGACTTTGGGTGGGTAATATAAAATGATGAGAGTTCTACTGAAAATTCAAATTGTTAATGAGTTTCATGAGATCTGTCAGTATCCCCTCATTCCTTTTCTCATCACCTACAAGAATAACCCTCATGTTAGAGTATGAGGGAGCCGTGGAATTGATCGCTGACTGAGCCTATATCTTACCACTTGGCAAAAGCCTCCAAATTTCTGGTCAATGTATGTTTTACTTGACTGAAGGCTCCCAGGTTTCAAGGCCTGCTAGAGGCAAAATTAAGATATAGATGCATAGGTTCATAGATTTATGACTAGAACAGACCACAGAGGGCATCTAATTCAACCTCCTCATTTTACAGATGAGGAAACTGAGGCTAAGTGAATTCTCTGAGGTTATATAACTAGTGAGTGGCAAATCCAGGGCTCTAACCCAGATTGTCTGACTCCACATCCAACAACCTTTATAGGGTGTGAGGCAGCTGGTAGTGCCTACTACTCAGCCTGAAGTCAGGAAAACCTGAGTTCAAATCCAATCTCGGATACTTACTAGCTTGTGACCTTGCAGAAATCACATGACATCTGCCTCTATTTCCTCAACTGTTATGAGGATCAGATGAGATAATATTTGTTGGGTTTTTTTTTTAAAGGCGCTTAGCATAGTACCTGGCTCATATTAGTCACCACATAAATGCTTATTCCCTTCTTTTCCTCATTTTGCTTTCTGTCTCCTCCCAGTTGGGACTTGGTCCAGGACTCAAAAAATGTCAGTCAGGACAAGTAAGAGGGAATTAGGATCTCACCAGAGAGAGAATGGATTTGTGCACCTTTGTCACTGGTGAACTAGACCAGCCCTGACATTGTTCTAGGGATGAGAGCCCTGCACACAGACAGAATAAAAGGATACGTATGTGGTATGATTTGATGAGGATCAAAAGAGTCCCCCTTGGTCCCAAACTTTCTCGCACATTTTCTGTAAGACCATAGTCTTCAAGATGTGTGCATTTCAACTGGGTTAGGTCAAGTGAGAGAGGAGAACACATTAGCTAGTTAGCACATTAGCTTGGATTTATTTGCTGAATTATTTTGATCTATTAACACCACACTGCCTTTTGGCAGAGAGGAGGACACTTGAATGTCTGGGACACAGGACAAAAAAGCGTTGCTCTCCAGGAAGGCCCAGACACTGAGCAGTCCCGAGGGACAGTGTGAGGGCACTGGACAGCTGATGCAGGTAGGACCAGGAAAGGGACAATGGAGTGTTGAAGGTGAATCCTGCCCAGGACTCAGTTTTTGCCTGGTTAGGTGGGTCAGTGGATACAGCACTGGGCCTGGAGTCAGGAAGACCTGAGTTCAAATATGGCCTCACACACTAGCTGTGTGACCCTGGGCAAATCATTTAACCTCTGTTTGTCTTAACCCACTTGAGAAGGGAATAGCAAACCACTCCAGTATCTTTGCCAAGAAAACCCCACGGACAGCATGGTCCAAGGGGTCACAAAGAGTCGGACACAACCGAACAACAACAATAACAAGCATGTTTGCCCTGCCCATGAAGAAGAATTCTGGAAACAGCTGATGATCCAGGCACCAATGAGTCTCGAGGACACTGAATACCCTGTCTAAGGAGACCAGTAGGAGCAGGCCAAATCACAATGAAGAAGGGGCTTTTCCCTGACTCATTCAACATTTTTGAAAGCATTAGTCACCCTATACATGGAATTAATCACAAGATAATAACTTGGATTCTTAAACTTTTTTGTATCACAGACCCCTTTGGCAGGCTAGTGAAGTTTGTCGACTCTTCTCCGGACAATGCTTTAAAATATATAAAATAAAACACATGGGATGATAAAGGAAACCATTTTTGTTAAAATATAGTTATTAAAATATTTTTAAGAAACAAGTTCATAGACTCCAGGTTAAGGAATCTCAGGGGTGAAAAGCACTAGCAGGAGTCCAACCTACAAAAATTGGGTGCCAGTCCCTCTTTCACCGCTCATTTGCCCCAAATTCTATCCCTTTTATTGGTCCATTGGGGTTGGGGGAATCCAATAAGATAGTGAAACATGAAAGCATTTTAAAAACCATAAAAAACACACACATATTAAGAGCCTTTTATTTACCAGACCAAGATGCCCTGCATTCTGAAGGCCCCAGGCCATTGCCATTTTTTTTTTCACTAACAGCTTTGGAGAGACTGTTCTGCATTTCATTTTCCTAGTGCCTTCCCCTCAACGTCCCCAGGTTTTACTTGGTCACTGTCCCCTCTCCCTTCCCCCCATCTCCTGACTCCTATCCTGCCTCAATTCTAACCGTGTCCAGCTTGGAAGGGAAGAGATCCACTGTGAGTGGCTCCCCAGCAGATCAGAGGCCAGCAGGGTCACTGGCAGAAAGGGGGTGTAGCTAATCAAAAAAAAAAAAAAAAGAAAATCCTGCAGCCGTCTGCAGATCCCCAAAGGTTTATGCAATCACCAGCAGAGGAAGGGGCCTGGACCTACAGAATTCAGATTCTGGGACTCTTTC